TGAAAATATGATTTTTCTATGACATTAGGACTCCATTTCACTATTTGGTCCAACTTTTAAGATTTGACTTATGTAAATAATATGAAATAATTCTGCTCAAAATGTGACTCCTGATTTCATGCCCAAATGTGAAATCTGATCCTCATCCTTGATTCCATGTCTCAATCATCAGTTTCCTTAGTTTTTATAAAAAAATTGTAAATCCTTGAGATCAAATCTGAACCCTAGGATTTGTCACCTATATAGATTGACTTCTACTTATAAAATTTATTGGCTTTGAAAATTTTCCCTTTATCATCTTCCATGAGCTGAGTTATGTCTTGAAGTTGTCCCTCAAGGTAATTCATCTAAATTTCAAATACACAAATCTAATTTGAAACAAGAGCTTTTATCAGTCTGTGTTTTACTATGCTGTATTTTTACGTGAACACTTTCTATTTTGAATCTCTAATACATAACCAGTTGATGTAGTTGAATACACATAATGCCCTATAATGTATTACACAATAATCAGTGTGAAATCAGCCTATGAATTATTTAGCAGAACTAGGTGGATACATCTCTCTATAACTAGTTTCAGATTTTCTCATCAATTAGTCAATGAATTATTTTAAAAATATCTACCTTTCTAATTACCTTTCTAATTGACCTTAGATGAAACACTTATCCCATCACTAGTGAGATAAAAGCCAAAGCTTAAGGAATTCCAAGCAACTGACTGCCATTTAAAATTTAAATGGTTGAATAAGCTATAAACTCTATTCCTGTTAAAAGAATGTACTTTGACATATCATGTTCACCCAAGAATCTAAAACGATGTTCTTCATATTTCTTCCAAAATTCACATCCTTGACCTTCATGCCAAAGAAAGAGTTGCTATAACTGGCCATTTTCTTGTTTTTCATTCACTCATCTTCAACTCATAAATTTTTTAATACAAGATGAAATGCATCCTTAACATTTAGCCTTCCAACCCTCAAGCATGGTTGTCACCCATGTCTGCAAATACTATCAGTTTGATCTTCAAAAAAAACTATAGATCAAACTCTTTTGTTTAGAGTTCTAGATACTTCCCCTCCAAATCTCACAAGATGACCATTTTTCCAATAATTTTGATCCCCACTGACATACCTATAGTGAGCCTAAAGAAATTGACATTGCTAGAGCATATTTCTTGGGAGCAGTTTGAAAATTTTCTCCTTATTTTTATACAGAGGTGGCTTTTTGTCCAACCAACCAGAAGCAAATTCCGTAGGAATATTTGATTTCCTATTAACATAGTAAATACATAGGAAAGGGATTCTCTTCTCTTCTTTAAGCTCTTCCTCCTGGGGTTCCGCTCTTCAGGTTCGTTTAGAGAAAACAGATGCTCAACCACATTCACCAATTTCTTGTCTGCAGTATGTCTTTTGCGTTTTTGGAGAAGCATATACGATAAAAGTCGTGCAGAGCACGAGGAGACTGTCCTAATTCTCGTCTGTACAACCAAATCCCACATGCTCGGGCTTGCCGGGCTTGATTCCTCTTCTGGGCTGAAGACATCGTTTCAAGTGAGCAACATGGAGGAGATCACTGACGCATTCTGATAAATTTGCCCGCCTCTGCAAGAATTCCGTTGTTCCTTCGTGACTATCATTGGAATAATTTTAGCACTGTATTATGGTCTAAATTTTATTAGATGTGCATGTTTAGAGACCTTGGTCGTTGGTTCGTGGCAGGAGTCACGGGTTCCTCTTCCAGACTCTGCGGGCTCTACATGCTGGGGTTAAGAGAATTGTTTCTTTTTCTGATATACAAAATGGGGAACTTAGCTAACTCAATTCCTATAAAATCACAAATTGGATCATTGTCTTTATTTCATAAAAAGAAGCATGAATACCTTCTATACAACTATTTTGTTCTTGGACACAATTCAGTAATAAGCAAGTGTGAACTAATTGAATACTTGTGTGATTAATTCCTCGAATTGGCTTGTCATTTCCATAAAGAATAAAATTGAAAACTCCAAGTTGGACGTTATCTCCTTCCAGCAAAATATCCTGCGGAAAAAATGTTGGTAAATTTGATTTTATTGGGCTGAAATGGGCTCTTCAGCCAATGTGGTTCTTTGGATATAACTGTCCTTTATCTTTGTGTATTTTTCCAAATCCTATGATAAAAGGGGGAGAAGCCGCCGCCATCATTGTTTAAGGGTGTGGGCGAGGACCGTACCATGGGTTGTAAGATCTATGTCCGCTCCTAAAAGAAAAAACATCCTGTAAGAAAAATATCTGATGTTTTCCATCTTTACTTGCCCCCCTCCTTATCCATCTCTCATGGGTCTTTGCATTGTATTTAGCTGTGCAATATTTTTTTTGAAACTAATGATGTATAATTAGGACTTTTCTCCCCATCACCAGAATATTACCATTACTGCTGGCGTTTCTAGCTCTTCTTATTTGTGAATGATTTGATATTCAGCTGATGAACTGAGACTTTCTCATCCGGTCAGATGCCATAGAACTTTTGCCCCTATCAAAGCATGCAATTCATAACAGCTATTAATGAAGTAGGGCTAGCTACGTCAAGAAGTCCTTAATTCACATTACTATTTACGAAGAATAAATATTGTAAAAATTGACTTGTATTAGTGTTTCACTGAAGTCCTTCCTGAAGTATCATGCGAAATGATAGTATTGTTTGGGACCAAATGAAATAGGAGAGAGGGCGAGGAGGGCAATGAGAAGAACAAGGAACGCACGATATACGTGGTTTTGAGAAACTTCCTATGACCACGAACGTACACAGATCAAGCTTCCTTCTATAGGTCATCCCTTATAGCCCTCCAATGCAGAAAACCATTTTCATACCTTGATTACGTGAGATGTCATCAACCGTATTCCATGAGGACAAAGGACAAATATGCTCCCCAAAAATCAGAGTTGGATCTGCGCCAGTCGCCGAAGAGCACATTCCCATAGGAGATCAGTCTCCACCACTCCAACTATCTATCACTTGGAGATTAAACTTCAAGCAAAGTCAGGGTGCTCTTGATCTTGTGCAATACCTTCAATAAGTTAACTTTGGAGTCCCACTTGATCATAAATACTGTCTTCGTCAACATGCCCACTTGATTCTTCAATCCGTTTGATCTTTTCAAGCGTCAAAATTCTAACCTCCAATATGACACAGAAAAACTGATAGCCCCTAACTGCATGGTTTTTCGTAGAGTGGAACACTGATCCAGCAAAATACCTTTGCAACATATTTTTCTTTAGATAATCCCAAGAGAAAAATACCTTTGTTGCAAGTGATTCTCATTTTTTAAAATATTAGAATTCATTTTACTGCTCCGAAATTATTCATGTCAAATTCCTTTGTTAATTCCCGTTTTAGCTCGTTGATTTCCTGCATTTTATCTCCTGGAATCAACATATTATCAACATTAAAACCTCATACTCGCGAAAGAGTCCATAAAGGTCCATCAGGGCCCAATACCAGAGCAGTCAATGTACGCAGCTCCAACAAGAATACAGCTGTCAATGTAAATGTTCGAGCTATAAATTCGAGCTATAAAATAAATTCAACACATCGAACGTAAATGTTCACAATGCGTTATAAGTCTAAACTGGGCATTGAAGCTTTTGTGCTTTCCTTGGATGTGTCCAATCTACGGTTGTATAGTCTACTGTTCATTGACCAATGAGAAGATTGCGCTGGTATTATGTATTATGATCGGTACATATGTCTAATCTAGCACTTCCAGGAATCCTTGGGAATGGGATAACAGATTGTGACCTTAGACTGTAGATCAGTAACATCAGATAAGTTAAAGATATTCATCATTAGGACGTTGGTGAAACTGACAAAAAAATTCTTTAAGCTGCTGAATTCACTTCAGTTTTCTTTCAAGGATGAAAAACAGAGCCGCACAAAAAGCACCATCCTATTAGGTAAAAACTTGGAGTTGTGACTGAAGAAACCCCCAGAAGCTCAAGTCTATACCAAAACAGGATGAGGTTGAAGGTTTGAACCTGTCAAAAAAACAAGTCCCATCAACTCGAGAAAAGAAAGTATCAAATTCAGTTCAGTTGGATTTCACCGACTGTGTTGAGTCAATTAAGGGAACCTACAAGTTAATAAGATAACCAGGAGATTTTATCCAACAGTTAAGGGTTTTGCTGTTCTTCCTCAGTTTTGAAAACGGTTCTTTCAGGGAGAAGACTTGCCCTTACGGGTTTCATACTTATACTGTCGTGCCTCCTGGAAAGTAATAATGACCGACTTCGTCCCTTCCAGACAGTTGAAAAGAGCCATTAATCGATGCCAGTAATTGAATTACCTTTGGTTCATTAATGATCGAGCGGGGAGAACCGGGCAGGACTCCAGCGCTAGAAGACTTGCTCTTACAGGTTTTTTTATTATTATTATTTTGTTCAGCTGTCTTGTCTCTTGGCAAGTAATAACGGCCGTCTTTATCCCTACCCAACCAGTTGAAATTTGTTATTAATTGATGTTGCCCTTCAATTGACGTCCTTTATTGAATCGCCTTTGGCTCGTTAACGGCCCTGATGCTGGGATCAGGTACGAATGAAGCATTAGAAGACTTAACTTCGCACGTTTTATTTTTATTTAGTTATACTATCGTGTCGCTTGACAAGCTGACACCGTCTTCAATCCTTCAGAAAAAAGTAAAATGAGTCACAAATTAATGAGGTTGCTTGAATTAAAGTCGCCAATTGAATCGTCTTTGGCTTACTAACGGCCAAGGGGGGGAAGAAAAAGTAAGATCCATCTCCTTTGTCCCTCTGGTGCCTTATCCTGACACCAACACGACAATGCAGAGTGTGGTACTCCTATCCACGTCAACACCCCCTGGTAGGTGTGACGCAGCTCATTACATTAACGACGACAAGTGATGAACAGATAGAAGCCTTAAATATGCAGCCCGAGACTATAGAGAAGAAGCCTTTGTCTCCTCCTCTTCTTGGGATCCCAAAAATTAGCGGCAGTGGGTCAGGATGGACGTTCCTACGGTTCTCTTTATGAACGTAGGAGAAGGAGAGACCAGCTACGCCAAGAACTCTTCCGTTCAGGTTCCTACTCGAAGAAGGGAAAACTCTTCGTCCGCCTTTTTCCGGGTTTCACTTAGTCCTTCCAATATGTTTTCTGCAGAAAGAAATAATAGAGGGCGCGTGGTCTATCACAGTAGAGGCTGTCCTCAATCTAGTCTCCGCAACCAACAACGACAAGCTCAGTATAGCCGACCTGGGTTGCTCTTCCGGGAAGAACACCCTCCTTGTAATGGGGAAAATCGTGGATACCGTTGAGGCGGCATGCCAACGGCCCGGCCGGCCTCCGCCGGAATTCCAGCTGTTTCTCAATGACCTCCCAGGAAATGACTGGAACGGCGTCTTCTGTTCTCTCGCGACCTACAATAATCTGCGGCTGGATAAGGACCTTGGCCGCTGCTACGTGGCAGGAGTCGCTGGTTCCTTTAATGGGAGGCTCTTCCCCGCCAACAGCATAAATTTCTTTCACTCTTCTTGTAGCCTCCATTGGCTATCTCAGGTTTGTTAGATTTTTCTTTATTCAGATGAAACACCGTTATGTCAAAAGTGATGATAAGGATAAAGCAATTGAATGTAAGTAATTCACTTTAGAAGTCAAGTTTGTCTAAATCTATTGCCCTATGACCTATATTAGATGTCCATCAGATTAATAGTTGTTTGAAGGCTATGTCGTGGAGTAAATTTCTTCTGAATAAAACCTCTATTTGCCTTAGATATATTGTCTAGGGTATTAAGTGTCTTGTGGCCACTCTAATAAGCTAACCACAACACGTTTTAGAGATTCTTTTATTTATAATAAATTTTACATAAATTATAAATTAACCGTTTGTATAATAGGAAATGTATACCATAACAATAAATAAAAAATGGATTTAATACAAATTACCAATTTCATATAATAAGCTTAGTAAGGTATGACTCTACATGAATAAGAAGATATAGAGAATACCAAGCTTCAAAGTTGATCTATCTTTGTTTTATCAAAAATTATAATGTCAAAAGACTTATTGTGTCACCCTTAAGATTTCTTTCAATGCATATCCATTATCTAGAACTTGTTTAATTTTTTCATTTTGAATGCATATTTAGGATCCATTCAAGGCCATTAGTCAAGATAATAAGCCCCTTCTAAACAAGAGCATCAATATATCTGAAATAAGTCTTTCTTATATACTAGATACATACAAAATGCAATTCAAACATGACTTCTCAGATTGTTTAAGGTTCAGAGCCATAGAAATAGTTGTTGGAGGTCACATAGTGTTGAGTTTTTATGGTAGCTGATAAGTCTTCATTATCATGAGTTAATAATGAATAAATTATATAATTTAAACCTTAACTCATAATAAATAGACTTATATTTATGTTAAATTATGAAAAGTGATTTTCAATTGATTAATGTGAATTTTTGGTTAATTATTTAATTTTCTATAAATTTATATAATTTTTATAGTTTTAGTATAAAATTCATAAAAACTTGTATTCTTTAAAAAAAATTGAAAAAATATCTGATATTATATTATATCCCTACGATCGACCTAGAAGATTACCACTATTTTTAGAAGTTTTATTGAATTATAATTGATATATTTGTTCAGAAATACTACTAAATATCTAAAAGTTGATATTTTTTAATTTTATAAATTTTAAATTTACATGATTTACTATACAATGACTAAATCACATTAAATTTTGGCACCATTGCCATGAATGTATTACATAATATTTAGTATTTTTCTATTTTTCTCTTAGAGTACACAAAAAATTAACTCTTTTTATATTTTCTTCTTGCCAAAAAAAAGAAACGAAGAGAAGCAAGGCAAGCACTAAAGCATACTAAAGTAGGGTAACAATTATTAAAACATTTCCTCAAATTTATTGATTTTTATGCATGGTAGACGACCCTTGCATCCAAGGCTAAAAAATCATTCCTTTCACTATTTCATTCAAAACTAAAAATCTGAAAGAAAAATAAATTTTGATGGATCCTAAAGGAAGTATAGGTCAAACTAAGAACAATCCTATAGCTATGAAAAATTATTATATCCCTGATTCATTTCAAAGAGCATCTAATATTAGAGTCCTATCAGCACCCACTATGAAATTCGAAATAAATTTAAAATTTTTTCAAATGCTTCTTAATTTTCACAGATTGCCTTTAGAGGAACCTCATCAGTATTTAGAAAAATTTCATATGATCTATGATTTAGTTAATCTATCTCAAGTTACATCGAAAATTATTTAGATGAAATTATTTCTTCATACACTTAGGGACAAAGCTAGTCATTGGCAATCCACATTAGATATAGAATTAACTAGCTAGAAAGACATAGAATAGACTTTTCTTTGAAAATTTTGTCCCTTAAGAAAAATTTAAAATATGAGAAAAATATATAGAGTTTTCCTAAAAGACTAGAAGAAAAACTTTGCATGAGATGGAAAAAATTCAAAGTTTTACTTAGAAAATGTCCTCATCCTGTTATACCAAAGTGGCAGCTTAATAGAAGTTTTTATGATGAATTATTAAAACAACATAGAAATATGGTTGATTCATATGTAGAAGAGTTTTTATGGAGAAAATTTCTGATGAAATTTACACCTTTTATGAGAATTTAAGTGAAAAATCTAGAAATCAAACCTCTTTGGAGTTATATGATAGGGATAAGAAGAGAGGAATTTATGAATTGCATCATGATAATGATTCTAATTTAAGAAATGAAGTTAATCAGATTAATCAAAAATTAGAAAAACTTGATTTACTTAGTGAGAATATTAAAAACCCTCCCAACCTTTAATTGAATACATATAGTGCCTATCTTATGTATAATGAAAATGATTATTTTGAATTTCAATATTATAATTTAGATCAATCATTTCATCCTAAACAAGAGCAAGTGTAAGTACCTCACAATTTTAGTAAAAATAAGGAATATTTTTCTAATTCTTATAATCCTAATTGGGGGAATAATTTTTCATGGAGAAACCCAAATAATATTCAAAATCGAGAAGCACTTAGATCCAATTCAAATTCTAAATTTAATCCAAAATAGGAACACATTTCAAAAAAATCAGCCCTCTCAAATCCAACTTGATTTTATAAATATGATGTAACAAATAAGACAAATGATGCAGCAAATAATGAACCAAATGATGTTGTAGTAAAAATAATTTATAAAGGCTTTTGAGAATAAGAGAGAAGAGGGACAACCACTTAGTCAGCCCATAGAAAATTTAGGAAACTCTTCAACAATAGAATTTCAGCAAAGAGAATTTAGCTGAATAAATTTAAGAAAAAATCTACGAAATGAAAATGTTAGGACAATGAATACATTGAGTGAGAATATTTTACGTGATCTTTATTTTCAATTATTAAAGGAAATAGATGAACCATTAGAAGTAAATGAGAATATTAAAGTTGAAAATATAGTAGCAAAAAATTTGAATAAAATGATTTATTGTTCACAATTGATGAATGAATATAGTGAAGATGATGAGAAGAAAGAGCCCTTAAATGAAGAAATAATGGCTGATCATGGAAAAATCATTCAAATTTTAGTAGAAGGGAGTAAGGACAGAAATGAAGAAAAATATATTTCACGTGAAAAAAAATCAATTGATTTGAGAGATGTAACAGACGAAATTCATAAATCTAATCAGAATTTTACAACCATAGATGTTGATAGTGAGGATGATGATATATATCATATATCAAAATTAGAAGATAAACAAAAAATTAGAAGAATTTGATGAGTTGAGAAATGAAAAGCCAAGAAAAGAGTTGATTCAACTAATGGAGAGAAACGAAAATAATGAATATGAATATAGAGATAATTTTGGAGGAGAAATTTTAAATTTAATTGAATTCATTAGATCTAAGATTAAAGAAGACAATCCTTCCATCCTTCAAAACCCACAACCCATTAAAATCATTTCTAAGCTTGAAATATTTTACTCCTCACAAATTCAATAAATATGTATGGAAGATAAAATAGAGTAGGGGAAGATTATGTTGATAAAAGAATACATTAAGAAATGGGTGACTGAAAGAATTAGAGATATCAATTTAGATGAAAAAAATCTCGATTGAGTAAGAGCTAATTTGAAAATTATATCGCTTGATCATATTTTATGGTCTATTAATAGAAAGTATTTATTAATGAATGAGAGCTTATGAAACAAGATAAAAATGAGGAAAGGTTCTTTTCAAAATGAAAATATTATTTTTGAGAACATTTTGTTAATTTTCATTTTTTTTGGCTGAAAGTATGTCAAGGTATATATAAAAGTATATGAATTATGCTAAATTTGAAAAAGAATATCATGAAACTTACCTTAAGATCTGATAGTCATAGATTTGAAACTTACCTAAATTTGAAAAAGAATATATATTTTGATAATCATAGATCATCTTATATGATTTAAGATCTGTTCTAACTAAAGACATTAAATTCAATGTTATATGAGAGGCAACCCATGATTTCTATTTCATTTTGTTTGAATTTTTTTTTTAAGTTCTGTTTTTCTTAGAATTTCACAGTGTTTGTTTCTTACAATTATTTTTTTTCGAAAAAGTGTAAGAAAAGGAGTGCAAGATAAAGTGAAAAATTAAAAATGAGGTTTCAATGATGTCTTTCTGAGCATTATAATTTATGACAATATTTTTAGTACTTAACTTTGCATAATACATGCTTCACTTGAAAATTATATTTTCTACATATTCCGTTCTAATTTTTCTATGTTATTGAGGACAATGTCATTTTTAAGTTGAGGGGTCAAGTATTAATTCTTATTTTATGCTGTAGGACAATTAAGAACATGTGTTTGTATCTTTTTCATGCTCACTTAGAACATAAATTAAAAAAAAAAGAAATTCAGAAAAACTACAACATCTATTTTTTAGTTTTCTATCAAGAATAATAGATTGTCAAAAACAATAGAGAAAACAACCCAAAATTTGAAATTCTAGAGACCCTTTTCTCGCATTTCAATCCTTTAGACATATATTGTTGAAATTAGAAATTACAGCCATAAAGAAGAGAGTTTTGATTTATTTTTGACAAATTTATTGTTGCTAAAAATAGAACTGAAAATAGAAAGTAGAACTGTCAGACTATCGAATTTACAAATTTCTTACATCATATTGCATGCACGAAAATTTAAAATAATTAGATTGATTGATACCAAAGATACTAAGAAGATTATTATTGAGTTAAAAGAATGATTTAGTAGCATAAAATGTTGGAATACTCCTTAGATACATGATAGATAACATGGATTTGATTTTACAGATTTTTACTTCATGATCTTGATAGATAGTATTTACTTGATGTAAAAATTTGATTGATCATTTGAGTTTAATAGAGATTTTTATACCCTAATCTGTAGGACTTGTGAAAAGAAATTACTTATTTTGAAAAAAAAAGATAAAGTAATGTGAAAAATTTAGAAATGAAGAGTACACATGAAGGGTGTGAGATATCATTCTCATTGTCGAAAACCGTGCATAGAAAAACACCTACTGCAAAATAAGTAGATAAAGTGAAAGCCTGAAAATGAAGAGTACATATGGAAGGTGTGAGACATCATTCTTATTATCGAAATTTGTCTACAAGAAAAGCTACTTATCCACTATATATATATATATATATATAAAAGAAATATAGTACAAACTTCAAAAATCAAACTATAGAAAAAGAGAAATGTAGGATCAATATTATTCTTGAATGAGTATTGATAATTAGAACATCTTATAAATATATCTATGAGTGAATAAGTGGTAAAGATGTGAATAGAAGAAGTAAAAGTCTAGATTATTATTCCAAGGAGTGTTTGACATCATTTTTAAATACTTAATATAAAAATCTTAAGTGTCTAAAAGTACATCATTTATAATTATATTTTTCTTATGTATTAAAATATGATATTTGGGATTTATAAATTTTTATTTTCGTAATTCTATTGTTAAGGGACTAATAATGATTTAAATTGGGGGGTGTGATAAGTCTTCATTATCATGAGTCTATAATGAATAAATAATATAGTTTTACCCTTAACTCATAATAAATAGACTTATATTTATGTTAAATTTTGAAAAGTGATTTTTAATTGATTAATGTGAATTTTTGATTAATTATACAATTTCTTATGAACTTATATAATTTTTATAGTCCTATTTTTTAGATAAATGAAGAAAAAAAATTAAAATAAAACAATACAACAAAAATGGACCGTCAGTCAACCAGGCCCGCAAGTGGATCGAAAGTGCAATTGAGGGGAGCCACGAGTAAGGGCTCGAGCGACTAGGACAGATGAAGGCATGTGTGCACCACTCCTCTTCCATGTCACCAATGGCCAACCGACTTTGAAGCAAGGAGTGATTGTACATGCGAGAGAAAATAACTCATTACTTACAAATATAATATGACTATATATTCGCCCAAAACTTTGATGCACAAGTGATGTGAGACTAAACTTGCGTCACACCTTCTTTTGAAAGGCTTTAAAGATTTTAATATATAAATTACCCCTTAGTTGTAATAGAGATATATTATGATGATGTCACTTGATAAGACAATTAGAGTATTTATTTTAATCTCTCTCATATAGGTGGACAATTAGTGTGAGTTAAAATCCTCCTAGAGTCAAAACTAATATTTTTTATCTAATTATCACGACTTTCTAACAAATCACCAGTGAAAGATTAAGCCACCAAAATTACTGGTTCATTGGCAAAAATCTCATCAATACGATTTGCAGAGTATTATTATTAAAATTGTTGAACGATTCATGATAAAAGGATCATGAATCCATCAAGTAAATCATATCCGATTGATCAATGAACAAGTCATCGTCGAGAAGATGACAATCCACTAGGAGACAAGTCGTTACCTTTTGAGAACGTACCAGATGTGTTGAAGAGCCTCATTTTGTTGCACGGATCTGAGGATGAAGCTTCCTAACATGTCCCTCACCTCTATCTAGTTGCTCTCCATCAAGTGACAATCATTGGAGAACCGTAAAGTTGCCGTTTTTCTACTTTATCGGGTGACAGTCGTTAGAGATGATTTGATGACTCATTTCATTGATCTCTACACTTTCTAAAGAGATCTAGAGATTGCCCACGTCGTCCTTGTCGAAGAAGAGTTTTTGAGGCTGAGGACACTACATGACGATCCTCTCGAATGCCCAAGATTCTGATGCATCATTGATGCATCGTCACTATGATGTTAGAGTTTTGTTTTTCTACTTTCGACTTAATTTTTACTTCATTTAGTGATAATTTGTGTGATTTAAATTTACCGAGTTATACTTCATTCAACTATGATTCTTCTAGCTTTTACAAATCTTAATTTGATCAATTAAATCATTTATAATCACTTATGTAAGAATCACTAGATACAACTTTGTTTCCACCTAATTCACATTCATCAGGTGACAAATTTTAAATAGTTTCCTTTTTCATTTTTAAATATATTTTAAATATATTTTAAATATATTTATCTACATCCTTATTTCCATTTTTTGCAAATTATAAATATATTTTATTTTCATTTCTTTATATCAAATTTATAAAAACTTATATTCTTTAAGAAAAATTCTGATAAAATATCTGATATTATATTACATCCCTATGATCAACTTGAAAGATTACCACTATTTTTAAAAGTTTTATAGAATTATAATTGATATGTTTATTCATAAATACTTCTCAATATCCAAAAATTAGTATTTTCTAATTTTATAAATTTAAAATTTACGTGATTTACTATACAACAACTAAGTTAGGTCAGCAAGATTGGTTCGGATATTATTAATTTTGGAGCTATGCATCATTAGAACTTGGTGTCATTAGTGCTCATGGAGATGATCCAAGAGGTCAATAATTTACTCATAATTATAGAATTTCATCTCATTACTTTATCACCCCTTATTGTTGCATTCCCTATAGTAATATATCTCAATATTTTTTGTAGACTGTTTGTAGCCTCGAAATAATAGCTAGTTTTTTATTTATAAAAATATTTGGAAGAAGAATCTTAACATCCTTTCATCTAGAGAGAGAGAAAGCAAGAGCATCAATATTGTTTTTTTACCATCTTTCACTATTGAACTGAAAAAACAAACTTGTACTGCCATGACCAAAATGTATTGCCTTTTGAGTTATTATGAGAGATCTTGTTATGTCAAAATGGTACTTTTGTACTAAATTTAATGAAACATCATCTTGTTGTAATGATTATCAGAAATTTATTTCTTTTAAGATTTTCTTTTCATAGGGTTTTGTGGAAGAGGACAAGGTCGATTCCTTTAATTTACCATTCTATTCACCTTCTATTAAGGAGGTGGAGCATGAAATAGAATAGAAAGGGTCCTTTTCCTTGGAGTGCCTCAAAGTGTTTGAAGTAGATGCCAATGTCAATAATACTGAATTAAGTTCAGATACAAGTGGAAGTCAGACAATTGCAAAGACAATACAAGCAGCATCTGAGCCCATTCTTGCAAGTCATTTTGGAAGTACTATTATTGAAAGTTTGTTCTTTAGATTTGCCAAAGCTTTGGAGGAAGATACTACAAGAAACCAGTTTAATTTCACCAACATAACTATATCCTTAGCAAGAAAGACTTGAGAAAAAATAATGTTTATTTTAGAATGTGGAGATTTTGTTCCTCTTCCTTGTTTCACAAAATGATTTGTTGTACTGCAGCCTTTTGTTTAATGTTTGTTCTGATCTTGTTAATGTAGTTTCTTGTAACGGTGGATTGCTATTTTATGTGTACCAAAAGTATATTTACTATTGCTCTTTATCAAGATCTTTTGCCTCTTAGAATCTTGGAACAAGATAGTTCTTGTTGATGCATCTATCATTTTTACACTATTAGCTCCAATGAATGAAGCAATACTCCACTTCTTATACACTTTTTAATTACCTTGAATTGTGTTTGTGGCTTCTCCATGCAAAGGTAAACAACAAAAGAGGTGGGTTAGCATGGTAAAGAATATCTTCAATTATGACCTACAAAAAATTAAGAAGTTCATGAATGTGGAGTGGACTGCTCTTTTTCTTGGTTCCTAGTTTACTAGTAGAGCCAATCAAGAGGAGACAAGGTGAATTGAATAAGTGCCCTATAATTCAACATATTATTATCATTTTTTTGAAATGTATCTAATTGGATATAAGGAAAGAAACACTAAGAATATTAGGTTTTTATAGTGCTTAGGTCAAACCCCTTCGGCCTACATGCACTTTTGACATCATAATATTGATTCTTCTATTTTAGTCCTTAGAATATAGCTAATTTACCTAGGATTAGCAACGACAGCTCCTTATATAATACAAACCTTGTGAGGATGTAAAACTCCACTTGAATCTAGGTTCCAACCATTCTACGTCAACATCATTACAAACACAATACAAGTGCATCAATGGAAAAAGATTTACAATCAACACAACAAAGAAAATAACTCAAAGAATTTTTACCAATGCCTTCACTAAGGATTCTACTCGACTGAATGGGTGAGTCAAAGTAGACCAATGAGAGGAGTTGACATTTTTCTCCAAGATGAAGCTCCAAAGGATTGATTTTAGCCAACTTTCGTCACAATTTGATGGAACCAGAGAAAAAGGAACTCAATGACTAATGTCTCTCCCTAATCGCTCTTCTCTGACATGGGGATGGCTGCAGCTTGAGCCTCAGTGGCTTTTTTCTTCTTGGGCTGGCCCTTTTTAAGTGCCAATGGGCTGTGCTTGAATGGGACATGCCTTTAATTATGGGTTTTTCTTCAAAACCCCTGTAAAATATTTTAATTTTTTTTTAATGGGTATAAAATCAGAACCTTGATGATTTTACCATATTTTTGATGTTGACTTCCTCATTTTAGATTTCCAGCAACTATTTTTAGTGTAGTTTCCTCAATCTCATCTTACAACAAGAAACTTAAAAAAGAAACTCAAAATCAATCAAAACATAAAAATAAAATTACTGCATAAATCATAAATAAATATTTTGATGATTGAGTTTTTCTTTAATTTGATGTTTCAAGTTTTTAATATTTTTTTTAATTTACTTATCTAAATATTCAAATATGTTAGCTCTTTCAAATTCATAACTTTAGGCTGCTACATAATAGAAATTTAGTTTTAGCCACTGATCTAAGTTCGTATCTCTAGAAATCTTTGAGCACTGTACTGATAGTAATAGAGCTCCACTATATGAACCTAATATTTGAAGAGCTAAGATGAATCTTATGGTAATTCTTATCTTGAGGAAGATGAAGTGTTTATAAAGCATTTAGAGATTAAATAACTATTATAAAACTTAAATCACTATAGCTTGACTTTAAGTCTTTTAAGCACTTGATTTAATCACCATCTAAGCCTAATTAACTCATCATCAAACTTCACACAATTATTGATACAATATGGTTTTTAGTGGTTCAATCTCAAACCTTCATCCCATTGGTCACTAATTTGCAACAGGAATCAAGAGGATACTAGGTGGATTAATTTCTAATTTATCCTAAGTTATTTAATATATTATATTATATTATATTATATACTTTGTGATTTTTCTTTTAATTTATCTAATTCAGATATTAAAAGAAAAAAAATGGGATTCAAGGCTTTTATAGTGATTCAGCAAAACCTATTTGGCCTATGTCTACTTCAAGATCACTCCAAGAGATCTCAATTGGATCTCTTGGTTTAAAGGAGTAAGATATTCTCAGTGCCCTAATTAGGGAAAAATATCCCCCTTTTCATGTTTTAACACTATCAAAACTAATAATTATGTTGTGCAACACAAGTATCAATTCAAGAGTGATGCATTGATATCAAGCTTGTATATAACTATACATAATATATACTAAAATGTATTTCTAAATCCCTAGAGCAAGGTATTACTAACACAAAACATTAGACTCTTATGTCAAATATGACACATTATAGCATACATCTCAAACTAAACAGAAATCCATAACTATTTTCACCAAGATTATGTTATAATGGGTAGAGCACATGTTGTAGTATATAAAACCAACATGAATGTATGAATTTCGTTACCTCAGAACCATCCAAAATTATTGGCCAACACTTGATTGCATTAGCAAGAAAAGCTTGTATCAATATAAAATCTATAGAAGGATTATAAGGTAGCTATCTAATTCATTTTTTTCTAGCTTAATATTGGAATGACATCAAGTATTACCTTGCCTATTGAGGAAACAATGAATAAGCACCATCTCATAATAAATAGAAGGAAATTAAAAGTTTAGTTGGAAAAAATAGATCATAATAGAAGCTAATCTTTGAGAGGAAATTTAATTGAAGGTACTTACCTCAAGAATTACGCAGCTTTAGAATGAAAAGTTAGTTCATTCAATTTTAAATGATGATCAACAATATTTCAAGTTATTGGGATTTTATGAATAATAAATGTCAAGCCTACATGTCACACCATAAGTGCTGTGTTATTTACCTTAGTAATTTTGATGCTGACAAAGTGGTTATTGAGCCATATTGAAAGATATCTGATGACATGAATGTTTAAAAAACTTCATTGAAATTGAAATAAGATGAGTGAATAAGATGGAGTTCATGTGAGGGGAAATATTATATAAAAAATTAGGAGATGATGAGAAAATGAATTTTAGATCAAATCAAGTAGTAAACATAGACATTGACAACTTATGGGAAGGGTCATCTAAAGACAGTTAATGCCAAAAATGTGGGTCAAAATTTCAAATATTGTGATTTCTATGGATTTTATTTATTTATTGTGTATGTTCTCAATATTTTAATGTATCTAAATGAGGAGGCAGTGGTATATGTTAGTGGGCTGAAACTAGTTGGAAAGGCCAGCAGTCACCTAATAACACAAATAAAAGCTTCTCTATCACCTAGATACGGCCTCTTCTCTACCAAAGCACCTCCATGCCTTCTTAGAGTAAGATCATCAATCTCCCAAATTGCCAACACCTGCAACATTGAGAACGTAACACCTACTAGCACCCTTGTTGGTTCTAAGTCATAGTTAAAGTTTCCAAACCTTCTGACGTGACTCAGTCGTTGTATGTTAAATCACGCAAATATAAAATTTATAAAACTAGAAAATACAAATTTTCGGATATTTAAAAGTATTTCAAAATAAATATATTAATTATAATTCAATAAAAATTCCAAAAATAGTGGTAATTTTCCAAGTCGATCACAAGGATGTAATATAATATCTGGTAATTATTCAGAATTTTTCTCAATGAGTACGATTTTCTTACGAATTTTATACTAGGAAATAAAAAAGGAAATATATTTAAAATTCACGGAAAAAAGGAAATAAGGGTGCGGACGTCAGGATGACGTCAGCGCCCGGCGAACGCGAATCAGGCGGAAACAGAGTTCCGCCCGGCGATTCTTACGTAGGCGATTATAGACGACTCAATTAATCAAATTAAGATCTGTAAAAGCCAGAAGAATCGTAATTGAACGAAGTATAGTTTGGTAAATAAAAATCAACAAAGTATCACTAAATGAAGCGTAAATTAAATTGAAAGCAGGAAAACAGAGTTCCGGCGTCGCGACGGCGATGCGTCGGCGATGCACCGGAATCTTGAGCGTTCGGGAGGATCGTCGTGCAGTGTCCACGGCCTCGAAGGCTCTCCTTGGACAAAGACGACGTGGGCAATCTCTAGATCTTCTCGCGAAGTCTAGAGACCAATGAAGTGGGTCGTCGAATCGTCTCTGGCGGCTGTCACCCGGCGGAGCGGAAAAACGGCGACTTTGCGGCTCTCTGGCGGCTGTCACCCGACGGAGAGGAGCTGGATGGAGGTGGGGCGCGTGTTAGGGAGCTTCATCCTCAGGTCCGCGCAGCAAGAGGAGGCTCTTCATCGCATCTGGTACGCTCTCAGGAGGTGACGACTGGTCTCCCGGCGGATCGTCCTCTTCCCGACGACGGCTTGTTCGTCGATCAATCGGAGATGATTTACTCGATGGATTCGCGATCCTTTTATCGCGAATCGTTCAGCAATTTTAGTAGCAATGCTCCGCGAATCGCGTTGACGAGATTTTCACCGATGATCCAGCGATTCTCGTTGCTTAATCCTTCACCGGCGATCTGCAGGAAAGTCGCGATAATCAGATAAAAATATATGAATTTTGACTCTGGGAGGATTCGAACCCGCACCGGTCGCCCCCGCCTCTTCTGAGGAAGGTGTGGGTTTAGTCCCACATCGGTTGTACGCTGAGTTTTCGGGCGAATATATAGTAATGTTAGATTTGTGAGCAAAGTCCCTTCTCTCGCGTGTACGACCACTCCATGCCCCACAGCTGGCTGGCCACCAGTGACGTGGTAGGGGAGTGGCGTACGCGTGCCTGTAGGTCCCCAAGCCAAGCCGCTCGCGCCCCTGTTCGCGGCTTACTCCCCGACTGTGCTTCCGACCCGCTTGCGGGCACGGCTGGCCAGCGGGTCCTCACAGTTTTGCAATATTTTTATTTTTATTTCTTGTTCTTCACTTATCTCAAAAGTAAGACTGTAAAAATCGTATAAAATCACATAATTACCCAAAAATTCACGTTAATCAATTGAGAACCAAAAATCATTCTTTAACACAAATATAAGTCTATTTATCATGAGTTAAGGCTAAAACTATATTATTTACTAATTATTAACTCATGATAATGAAGACTTATCACCTTCTCTCCATAGATTTCTGGCAAAGGAAAATGTGAGATTAAAAAAAAAGCTTTATAAGGTCATCCTCAATCTAGATTAGCTCAAGACCTTAAAAATGACCAAAGGGCAATGAGTTATGTGACTCTTAGCTCCAACTGATAACTGATGCAAAAAGTTCAACAAGGGTTGTTGGAAACCTTCATTTTGAATAAACTTTAGTTGTTCAATCATTGGTAGAGTTTGAGGATGGTAAGGCCTCAAGTCCGCTGCACTTTTTCTCATTACGCATTGGAAGGTGAGCCAAAGGACCAAAAGAAGTTTTAGTTTCCCACCAGTTTAGCTGATTCATAACCAGCAAGCATAGTCAATAAAGTATCATAGTTGTGAAACTTCAACTTGTAACTATACTTAAGTAGTATATCACCTTAGAAGCCAAGGATTTGTCCTTAGATAGTAGATGTGGATCTATGATTGAACTTTCATATTACCTACCTTGTGAATTTTGTGGAGTTTGATGATGAGTTCATTAAGCTCTATAGGCTGTGATTAAATAAGATGTTTAATGGACTTGAAGTCAAACTATAGTGGCTGATATTTAGAAGAGTAATTTAATCTTCACATGCCTTATTACCAATTCACTCCACTCTTGGTGAAAAGTGTATCCATACCAACACCAGAAATTAGGAGACCGAAGAATCAGTTATCATAAGATTCAGTTGAGCTCTTTGAATACTAGTTGGATCATACTAGTAGAGGTACACTGTTTCCAGCAAGTTCTTTAGATTTCTAGAACTATGAACTTAATTAAATCAATGGGATATAACTAGATTTCTACTCTTTGGTCATCTAAAGTTATGAATTTCAAAAGCTTGACCACTTAAAGGTGTGAATCTAGAAATAATGAAGGCACTCAAGCTACTAGAGTTAAAAGAAGATGAGTTGGATCTATTTTTCAACAAACTATGTTATTGCTCGCTTTGATCTTACTATTTTAAATCACAATTCATGTTTACCCTAAAAAAAAAAAAATTATAGGGTAATCGTCCCTCTTAGGGGGGCCCTTAGGCGAACAGGAGTGAGCTAATCATCCAATTTGATCTCGTAGTTGGACAAGGGGTTAGCTCTCTCTGGTTCACCTCCTGGGTATGGAGACGGATATGCAATGCACGCATTAATAATATATGATGATCTTAATAAACATGTAGTAGCATATCGACAAATGTCATTGTTGCTACCCCGACCACAAGGCCATGAGGCCTTTCTAGGGGATGTTTTCTATTTACATTCCCATCTCCTAGAAAGGGCCGCTGAATGATCAGACCAGGCAAGTGCATGTAGCACTATAATATCCTTCAAGTACTTTTGTGTTTCATAGTAAATTATATGATTTGTGTATATAATCTAATATGTCAAATATGTCTCTAAAAAGTTCAGTCAATTTTTCGTGTCAGATAAAAGTTTGATACATTAAACTTCAATAGTCCTGATGTATCATATTTCATCCATGCTCTGGTTCTAAGCAAGGCACTTAATTTGACATGCAAGTTTTTATTATCATAGACTCATCTCATTGATTTACTTGCATGATTTGATTAGCAGTTTACATATATCCCTTAATAGGTCGAATTTATTCCTAGCATAAATGATACAGTTTTTCTATGAAAATCACATTACTGCATGCAATATGTTGGACTATGTCAAGTTTTCTAGTATTTCACACTTCTTGAATGATTTTTTGAATATTCTATCATTAATAAAATTTCAGAAATGAACCATTTTTCATTACGCCCTTTAAAAATATTTAATGCTTTACACACTATACTTTCAATTGGCTTGATACCATTTTTCTAACCTACACACCATACATGTCAACAGTTTTTTCTCTCTCATTTGCTCAACTGATAAAAGAGTTTAACAAATTACATTGTTTGAATTTGAATGTTTTGGATAGAAACTTTCCTTGTTTTCATATGAATAGTAGTTATCTTTTGAGAATGATTTTTGGTTACTCGAAACAAAGTTTTGTAAACTGATTTATTTAGTAATTTATATAATTATTATTATTAGTTCTATAATCAATCCAATACTTAATTAAGAAATTAACTAATTTTATCTCGAGTGGGGGCTTCTGCTCTATTCGAATCATCCTACTTTTCTCATGTTGAATCAGGATAGGTTCTTTGACTTAGAGGCAATTGAGTTTTGACGTAGAAAGAATAGATATAAAAATAAAATTTTCATTTTCCAAAATTTTCTATCATATTGAGAATATCTGGTTCTGACCCTAGATAAAAGTGCTCCGAAATCACGAGTGTATGTAGATTCATCTCTTTCTTGCTTCTACAAAAAATACTGACTCGCCCTATATAGTACACTAAAATAAGTGTCACAATTCAAAATAGGGAAAAAGAGCGTGTACTGGCTAGAGGTACAGCAGCAAGGGCAAAGCTTCTACAAGACCAGAATAGTTTAGATGGACTGGATATGGAAGTATGAAGTCTTCATAACTCACTAGGGAGTTGACATGCAAGTTTACTAGGGTACTAGGTCATCTAGAAACACCAAACTTTATTTCTGTTGGACCCCAACTGAGACCAACATGTTTACCGGTCTATCTCGGATTTTTTTATTGAAAGAGCAGTCCATGTCCACATTGATGAACTTCGTAATGTTCGAAGTGGATTCAAGATTGAAGATATTCTTTGCCTAGTGAACCTGACCTCTTTTGTTATATGCTTTCGCATGAAGGAGAAGCAGCAAACATAATCTAACGTGTTAACGAACCACAGGAAGATGGAGGGATTATTTCTCCAAACGTTTGAACCAATATCTTAAAAATGAAATATCCATCAACAAGAACTTTTTACGAACTATGTAGTTCCTCGGTTTTAGCAGGCAAAAGAGCTTTTAAAGAGAAAAAGGTTAATATGCTCTTGGTACACGTAAAAGAGCAATCCACCATTACAAGAAATTACATTAACAAAATCGTAACAAGCCAACAAAAAGGAAGTTGAGTAATAATCAATCATCTGTGAGGCAAGAAAGGGAAAGAAAGTCCAGACTTTCCAAAGTAAACATTATTTTTTCTCAACTCTTTCTCGCCAAGGATATAGTGATATTGATTAAATTGAATTGGCTTCTTCTGGTATCTTCGTCAAAAGCTTTGGGAAATCTGGAAAACAAACTTTCAATAGTACTCCTCCCAAAGTGACTTTCAAGAATGGGCTCTAAAATTGCCTGTACTGCCTTTGAAATTCCCTGAGCTTCACTTGAATTCGAGCTTGCTTCAGCATTATCAGCGTTCAGGTCTAGTTCAAACACTTTCAGAAACTCCAATGAAAAGGATCCTTCTCTTACTATTTCATGCTCCACTTCTTCAGGGGAAGGTGAGTAGCATGGCAAATTAAAGGAATCGACCTTGTCTTCCTCCACTAAACCCTATGCATCAAAGAATGTCAAAAGAAATAAAATCTTCTGGTAATCGTTATGACAGTATCATTTTTCATTATTTTTTACAAAACTACCATAATGACACAACCTATTCCTTTACAAAAGCTCAAAAGCAAGAAGTACATGTTTGTTTTTTGACATCGAGAGCTTAGTGAATCAAGATCAAAGAAAATATTTCAGCTATTTCTCTCTCTTCCTTGATAGAGGAATAGATCTCAGCATGTTTTGACAGCTAAAAAATAACGAAATGCAATTCTGAAGTTATGAGTAAATTGTGAACCTCTTGGACCATCTCCATGAGCACTGATGACACAAGGTTCCAAAGACGAATAGCTCCAGAATTAAAATTGTCCAAACCCATCCTGCTGGGGAAAGTCAACACCATGCGCCCTCCAGCAACCATTTCTATGGATCTCAACCTTAGGAAATTTGAGAAGTCATGTTTGAACTGCCTGGCGTATGCATCCAGCACATGAGGAGGACTTTCTTTAGATATATTGATGCTCCCCTGGTTTAAAAGGGGCTTCTTATTGGGATTTATGGCCTTGAATGGATCCTAAACATGCACGAAGAATGAAAAAAATTAGGTAAAGTCTAGATAATGGATATGCATTAAAAGAGAATCTCGAGCAAGACTGAAAATGTTCTTTAACAGGATAACTTTGGATAAAACAAAGGTGGAAACTATTGAATATTTAGCGTAATAGATCTAGTGAAACTGAAAATCCTGAAGTTAACTATCACAAGACTTTAACTGGTTTATTGTTATCATGACTATTGACATTATGGCGTTTCATCCGAATAGAAAAATGTCCAAACAAACCTGAGATAGCCAATGGAGGCTCGAAGCAGAGTGAAAGAAGTTCATGCTCCTGGTGGGAAAGAGCCTCCCATAGAAGGAACCAGCAACTCCTGCCACGGAGCAGTGCCCTGCATCCTTATGATTGCACAACTTATAAAATGTATCGAGGGAGCGGAGGGTGTAGTTCCAGTCATTCCCTGGGAGGTCATTTAAAAACAGCTGGAACTCGGGCGGAGGTCGGTCAAGCCGTCGGTATTGCTCGTCAACGGTGTCCACGATTTTCGCCAATACGACGAAGGTGTTCTGCCCGGAAGAGCAACCTAGGTCGGCTATACTGAGCCGATCGTTGTTGACTGCGGAGACTAGCTCGAGGACCGCCTTTTCTGTTATAGACCACGCATCTTCTACTACACTTTTCTGCAGAAAAACAGAAGAAGAGAACATGTTGGAATGAATCGGTGAAACCCGAAAATAAGCCGATGGAAGGATTATCCCTTCTTCGCGTAGGAACCTGAACGGAAGAGTTCCTGGCATAGCTGGTCTCTCCTTCTCCCACGGTCATAAAGAGAACCGCGGGAACATCCATCTTGACCCACCGTCGCTAGTTTTTTGGACCTTGAGAGGAGCAGAACAAGAAGGCTTCTTCTGTATACAATCGGGTAGGATATTTAAGGTTTCGAGTACGCGTTCATCAGACGTCCAGATATGCGTCAGGCTATGTTAGATAAGTTTTTTGAAGAAGAGGACATGAGGGACGACGACTAAATTTATGTGGTCTTAATGTCAATAAAGTCTGACATGTGCAAGTGTCTCAGTGAGGACGTAGACAAAACACGTGGAATGGACAGAGAGAGAAAGAGATGTTGTGAACGGGAGCCTTGCACGTGGCCCCTCGCATAACGGCATAGTGCGGTTATGCGAGAAGTGCGTTGACGTGAACACGTCAAAGCACAAAGCGGTAATGCGGAATTTTCTGCATGATGCGCGTTACTAGCCAATTAGTTATTTCTTACGGTTATTTCTTTCTCCTTTGTTTTCTTATTTAAAGAGGGCTGTAAGAGTTTTTCAATAGCGAGAAAGTTTTCCTTGTTCCTCCTGCTGTTTTTCCTGTAACTCGTGAGGTGATCTCGCCGGCGACGTCTTAACTGCCGTCGTCTCTCCGGCGAGTTTCTGAGAAGAGAGACAACAAAATTGTAGCAAATGGACTGTTCTCTTTCACCTGGACGGGCGTTGCCTCCATCTCCCGTCTAGTAGTCAACCACACGCGAAGAGTTTCGTTTCCAAATTTGAAACCCTAAACCCTAAACCCTAAACCCTAAACCCTAAACCCTAAATACATAAACATCATTACTATGCAATTCTGTCTCACATTCACTCATCTTAACTGATCAAAGAAATCTGGATACAAAATGCATTCCCTTGTAGTTACGAATCCTAAGAAATAAAATACACTCTCTTAAAGAGTTATAACCCCACCCCGGCAAGTCTAAACTTTCAAAATAGGGTTGCCACCTGAAAATGGTCACAATATACATGCTCATAACACTATACAGAACTATATTGAATAAATGTCAAACAACTATAGACAAAAGCACATTTCACTAATTTTAGCTTGACTATATGGACATGAATAAAGTTAGAAAGACGAACCTCTTTAACTAGATCTTTCAGCACTCGAGATAACCGATTAAATAGCCGAACAATGTCAGCTTGGGCAGGATCCAAACTTGTTCGGACTCCTAGATTCAGTACCATCCGTCCACCAACAACTGTCTCTACTGATCGAGATCTAAGAAAACTTGAGAAGTTACTTTGGAACTGCCTTTTGTATGCTTCCACCACAGAAGGCAGACTTTCTTCGGAAATGTAGATGTTTCCTTTGTTCAAAACCATCCCCCTCTCTGCTTGGATCTTTAATGGATCCTGCAATTCATTTGTCAATGAATTATTCAAAAGAAAAGAAACTTATATCATTCGAGAAAATCATCTAATTTCTCCAGATCATAGATGAATGACCTTAGAGACATGTAGTGGACGATCTATGGTACACATGATGCATTACAAATTTATGATATTTATCTTGCTCTATTGAATTTAAAGAAGAACATAACGATGTATTCCAAGAGTCAGTTCGTCAGCCTATACGTCACTCTAACTTCCACTCGGAAATGTACTCTTGTCGGAGATGGAGTTGAAAGGGATATTACATCAAAGATTCCCAACAATTCATATAATAATGTAGACGAATTACTTTTATTAGAATACCAATCAATCGTTGCCTTCTTACTGGATAAACCAAAACATCACAACTTCTTCTCCAAACGAAAATTATCATCTCCTACGAATCGGATAAACCTGTGAGAGCCAGTGAAGGCTAGAAGAGGAGTGAAACAAGTGTATGCTCCTGCTCGGAAAGAGCCTCCCATGGAAGGAGCCTGCGATTCCAGCCACGAAGCAACGACACAGGCCCTCAGCCGGTCTCACAGCCTCCCGCCTCTCATAGAAACCTTGGAGAGAGAGGAAGATGGCATTGAAATCGTTCCCCGGGAGGTCGTTCAGGAACACCAGAACCTCCGGCGGGGGCCGGCCTAGCCGTCGGCATCCCTCCTCGACGCCGTCCACAATATTGGCGATAACGGAAAGGGCGTTCGGGCCCGAAGAACAACCTAGGTCGGCTACACTGAGCTTGTCGCTATTGATACCTCGGATGAGCTTGAAGACGGCTTCTCGTGTGATCGGCCAACCCTCTTCTAGGATAGTTCCCTGCAGAAAACCCATATCAAACGCCATGAGTAAACCCTAAAGACCAGGGGGGGAGAGTAGTAGTAATAGCCCATCTTCGTGCCAGGAACCTGAAGGGAAGAATTTCTGGCATAGCTGGTCTCAGCTTCTCCTCCTTTCGTTAAAGCTAGGCCGCAGCCAGGGGGCTCCATATTGTCTTTCTGCTATCACCGATCTTGGCAAGGGCTCGTGCAGGTTGTATGGGCTGGCGAGGAGAGTGTCCGGGATTCTATTGAAGGAAAGACGAGACCCTTCGTCTTCCTAGGAGTTGTCTCTTCCTCGTAACCCTGGAGACTTTATTGATATGAAACTTTCATCGGATCTTGTGGACTAGGGAGCTTGTTGACTAGGGAATTTCTTCGGACGGATGGCGTCGAGAAATTAAGGACATAATGTCGCTGAATTCAGGCATGCACAAGTGGACAGCGATTGAGGGAGAGAGAAAGAGAGAGAGAAGAGAGACCACGAAATTACCAGGAAATTGTAAGCTGGACGGGCGTTGGCTCCATCTCCGGTCTAGTAGTCAACCTCCTGCGAGGAATTTCATCTCCAAATGTGTAAGCTGTGCTTTCTTGCTTGCCAGGGAATACATCTTTCCATTTTACAGAGGTTGATAATGGCATGATTGGGTGAAGATGTTGCCCATCCGAATGTGAATCTGACCATCAGCTTTATTACTGACGGCAGGATTGTCGACTTATTTATTATCAAGTTACGCGCTTGAGAAAAAATATTAAACCATATCTTATAGCTAGTCGTGGTTTCTTGAACTATCCAACCATTTGATCTGCACGGAAACTGGCATCCTTCTTCCTGTACAAAGGTCGCCAAAATCTACAAGGAACCCTGGAGTTGTTGACCCCATGGAGAACTTGACTTTTAGCATATAAACGGAAACGAGGGTCATTTTACCACTTTGCGATTTTAAGATAGAAGGTATCTTTTTGGTCAATACCCATTATCAAGTTGACTTTGTTACTGGTCCGATAAAATTTTCAGTGGGGCCACTTAATAACATCATAAAATAGTCAACGGACGCCTTCAATGGAAGATGCATCGAGCAAAACTCCCTGTAGGCGTAGACACCGTCCGTTGACCCTCTGTAATTCGTCTCTACATCAACATCTGCTCCCTCCAGCTTGTCCTGAACAGGAGAGAGAGAGAGAGAGAGAGAGAAGGGGGATTCTTTGTTCATCGTCGTTCTCTTGCTACTGCCCTCAAGACTCGGCAAATATGTAAACTTGCCCCGGAAAGTACAAATGTATGAGTATCCTTGTTGCAGGGAACCAAGAGAGAAACCGCTTTTCGTCACCCTGCAACACTTCCGCGTCATGGGGCGATGAACTGCCTTCGCCTCCTCCCCCTCCACAGATCCAAAGCCTATTCCTCCTCCGCCGCCGCACCCCCCACCATCGTCGTCTCCCGCCGTGGCGGAGTTGGCCGGTCCGCCGCCGTGCATTCTCCCACCCCGCCATACGTTTCCCCCACCGCCGCCGCCACCACCTTCTCCAGCCTCCTCCGCCAATGCGCCGCCGGCCCTCGTGCCCTCCGCCATGGCGCCCAGATCCACGCTCACCTCTCCAAGACCGGGCTCCTCTTCCCTTCTTCTCCACACCTGGGGGGGCACCTCATCGCCCTTTACGCCAGGTGCGGCCTCACTGCCTTGGCCCGCCAAGTGTTCAACGAATTGCCGCAACCAGACGTCGTCTCGTGGTCGACCCTCATCTCTGCCTATGCTAACGACGGCCTCAACGCGGAGGCTTTGGCCGCCTTCGGAAGAATGAACTCCTCGGGCTCCCGCTGCAATGAGTTCACCTTCCCCAGCCTCCTGAAGGCTTCCTCGGCATTGGCCGACTTCAACGCCGGCCGGCAGATCCACGGCGTCGTCGTCGCCACCGGCTACGAATCCGACATCTTCGTAGCCAACAGCCTCGTCATGTTCTACGCCAGGCTCGGCCTCATGCCGGAGTCCTGGAAGCTCTTCGACGGCGTCGCCGGGCGGAGCGTCGTCTCCTGGAACACTCTCCTGTCGAGCTACGCGCAGAGGCGATACTTCGAGGAGGCATTCGGTCTCTTCCGCGAAATGGTTATCGGCGGGAAGAGGCCCAACGAGTTCACCCTTTCCTGCCTGGTCGGCGCCTGCGCCGACGCCGGCGACCTGCTCCGAGGGAAGGTCGTCCATGGCTGCTCCACTCGGCTCGGGCACTCCGTGGACCCCTTCACGGCCAACGCACTCGTCGACATGTACGCCAAGCTCGGAGACCTCGTCTCTGCGGAAGCCGCCTTCCGGGAGATCCCCTGCCCGGATACGGTCTCTTGGAACTCCCTCATGTCAGGTCTGGTGCTCCACAGCTTCTACAGCCGGGCGCTGGGCCTGTTCGGCGAGATGAAGAGCTCCGGCGCCGCCGTCCCCAACGTCTTCACCCTGTCCAGCGCACTGACGGCCTCCGCCGGAGCCGAAAGGCTTGAGCTCGGCGAGCAGATCTATGGTTCTCTGGTGAAGCGGGGCTTCGATTCGGACTTCTTCGTGGGCGTCGGGCTGATCGACATGTACGCCAAGTGTGGTCGCATGGAGTCGGCGAGAGCCTTCTTCGACTCCATGCCTGAGCAGGATTTGATCTCCTGGAACGCCATGATTTCCGGGTACTCCCACGGTGGGGATCATGAGGAAGTTCTGTTGCTGTTCTCGAGGATGAGGGAGGACGGCTTCAGCTTCAACAGGACGACGCTGTCGTCCGTCCTCAAGTCCGCCGCCGGGCTTCAGGCCGGGTATCTGACCAGGCAGGTCCACGCCCTGGCGGTGGGAGTGGGGTTGCTCTCCGACGTGCACGTAGTCAACGGACTCATCGACGCCTACGGCAAGTGTGGGGATCTCCAAGAGGCGAGGAGCATCTTCGGGGAGTGCCCATTTGCCGACGTTGTGGCCTTCACGTCCATGATCTCCTCCTACACGCAGAGCGGGCAGGCGGAGGAGGCCCTGAAGCTCTTCATGGAAACGATGAAGAGGGAGCTCCTCAAACCGGACGCCTTCGTCTACAGCAGCCTGCTTAACGCCTGCGCCGGCTTGTCCGCCTACGAACAGGGGAAGCAGGTCCACGCCCAGGCGGCGAAATTAGGGTTTCTAAGGGACAAGTTCGCCGGCAACGCGCTCGTCTTTATGTACGCCAAGTGCGGCAGCATCGACGATGCCGGCGCCGCCTTCTCAGAGATCGAGGAGCGGGAGACCGTCTCCTGGTCGGCGATCATCGGCGGCTACGCCCAGCACGGGCGGGGGAAGGAGGCGCTGGAGCTCTTCCACCGGATGCTCGACGACGGCGTGGAGCCGAACCACGTCACTCTGACCAGCGTCCTCTGCGCCTGCAACCACGCCGGGCTGGTGGACGAGGCCACCCGCTACTTCGACGCCATGGCGGAGGACTTCGCCATCAACCGCACGCAGGAGCACTACGCCTGCATGGTCGACATCCTCGGGCGAGCAGGAAGACTCGGCGAGGCAGCGGAGCTGGTCATCGCCATGCCCTTCGAGGCCAACGCCGCCGTGTGGGGGGCGCTGCTGGCGGCGGCGAGGGTCCACGGTGACGTAGACCTCGGCCGGCGAGCCGCCGAGAGGCTCTTCGTCCTCGAGCCGGACAAGTCCGGCACGCTGGTGCTGCTCGCTAACATGTACGCCGCCACCGGCATGTGGAACGACGTCGCCCGAGTCCGGAGGTTGATGAAGGACCGGAGGGTGAAAAAGGAGCCGGCGATGAGCTGGATCGAGCTGAAGGGCAAGGTCCACGCCTTTGTCGCCGGCGACCGGAGCCACCCGATGGCGGCAGAGATATTCGCGAAGCTCGACGAGCTGGGCGACGCGATGGAGAAGGCCGGGTACGTCCCCATGCTGGAGGCTGATCTTCACGACGTGGACCGCGGTGAGAAGGAGCAGCTGCTCGCCCACCACAGCGAGCGGCTCGCCGTCGCCCTCGGGCTGATCAGCACCCCACAGGGCGCCACCATCCTCGTGAAGAAGAACCTCCGCGTGTGCGGAGACTGCCACGCCGCGATTAAACTCATCAGCCGGATCGTCTCCAGGGAGATTGTCATCAGAGACATCAACAGGTTCCACCATTTCCGGGACGGCTCCTGTTCCTGCGGCGACTATTGGTGATTCTGTAGACGACTGGTTCCTTTTATCGTTCATGTCGTACGCGTAGAGTGCTGCTCCCTGTGAAAAGCCTGGTTCAGCTCAGCCCTCCGTTTTCACGAACATTACCAAGTGTAAGAGAGAGAAACAGAAGGAGAGAGAGAGAGAGAGAAAGAGACAGAGAATGCAAGAGAGAGGATGAATGGAAATCGGCCCAGTTACTCTTACTGTACACAATGTAAAATTGAATGGAGATGATGGGTAGGTTTGCAGAAGTAGGAACTCAGGTGGATCGGGCCAAGAACACATTTTTTGTCCAGTTTCATGATGGGTTCAGATCAGACATCCGAATCGCCGATGGCTCTCTCGATGGTCTCAATGCAGGCGCCCACGGGCTTGCCCGAAGACATGGCGTCTGCCAGCGCCGACCTGACGGCCTCGTGCCGGCGCAGGATCAGCACAGTGTTCAGCACGGCCCATCGGACCTGGGAGTCCGCCTTCTTCTGGGTGAACCCCAACCCCTTGAGTAGTTCATCCAACTGAAAGGAGAAACCGAAGAGACGAGAGTGGAGTTACATTACACAGCGGGCATTGTTGTGATCTTAAGGTCAACGCATGGGCCTGGTTCTTTCCAGGGAATAGACAGCGCTATGCAAGAGAACCTGTCCACATGCAACGCAGTGCGTTGATTTGAATCAAAGTGACCTGACCTTATTGATGTCGGCAAGTCCACCCTCAGCCCGCCCGAAGAGGAGAAACTCCGTGGCGACGCCTGCCAGCGCTATGCAAGAGAACCTGTTCAGCATCTACAAGACAGCGAAGCAGGAGATATCATCACCCGTCAATGGCGCGCATCCTGTAGATTCTAATTCCCATGTTCCTAAGATAGGTAGCTTAGATCCCACCATTCAGGGCATCCCTCCATCTATAAATGGGCAAGTCAAGAAGCACCAAATCGGGAGAATGGTCTATATATATACATAGATATGTATATTGTGTGTGTGTGTGTGTGTGTGTGAGAGAGAGAGAGAGAGAGGAGAGCTTACTGATGCAGACAATTTTCCAGAATTGACCTGCATGACAAAAAAACATAAATTAGAAAGCTTACAACAATTATGCCCAACTAGAGAGAATGAGAGAGATTTTTTTCCAGCCCTCTGTACACCCGCCAATCCAAGAGTGCGTGCGAACTCACTAGAGAGAGAGAGAGAGAGAGAGAGAGAGAGAGAGAGAGAGAGAGAGAGAGAGAGAGAGAGAGAGAGAGAGAGAGAGAGAGAGAGAGAGAGAGAGGGAGAGAGAGATAGCCAGGGGAGTGATCAAATATACCTCCTCAAGGAACTCGTAATCGACAAAAGTAGTCCCGGCCTGTACATTGAGAGACCCTTCCTTCACCAAAGCTTCTAAACTTGACAATGTGTAAGACCTTGGAAGGATTCCAAGCAAATAGGCTATTAGGAAATGACCAGCTTCATGCTGTAGAGAAATTCCCAATCGGATCAATTTTCTGTAAATTATAAAAATCCCAAGAATATGATTTCTACATATTAGTAATAACTTCATATAAGTAAAAATATATATATATTCAACCAAAAAATACAGATCTCATGCTTTCCACTGCACATGGAGTGGAGTGATTCTCAGACTCCTTAAGAACCAATATCGTCCCATAGAAAAACTTTTGAGCGGGTAGTCAGTCTTACCTGAATGACCCTGTTATGATATTTTCGGCTTAAGTTATGACCGATTGTATCAAGAAGCAAGTTCTTCACTCCCCCATTAAAAGCAACCTGAAGCCAGAGCAGTTGAGGTACATACAGTCATTTCTGGTACAATAATTTCTTAAAAATTCCACGAAAAATATGCCCATGAAAGAGTGGCGTCCAGACCTAGATCACTGATATGGGACAAAGAAAATAACGGGGAGAAGGAAGACTGGGCCATATTAAAAATGCCCCCTCACAAGTAACAAAAATCAACATGGAGTCGGAATATATTTGGTCTCAACACTAAATAGATGGGGTGCGGTTGTGTTTAGTCTCTCTGAGGGGGTGAAGAACAACAGGTTGAATATTAAAGGGCTGAGAAATTTTACAAAACATGAGGAAAATGGGGAGATACATTTTAAGGTCACTTAGACTTTGATGAACTGCTAGAGCAGTTCATCAATTAGTGCAAGCGCAGGTGAGAACAAAGAAACAAGCAGACGAGCCCCTCATGGATAGGAGATAATTTTTTCTTGTTCAAAAAGGAAATTCTGTATTTTTTTCCTGAAGAAGAAAGATATTTCATCATGACAGAAGATGACGAGAGCTTCTTCCACCTTTTTTTTTTTCCTTCCTTTGCATAGTTAAGTGGGTAATGCCTAGGGTTGGCAATCCCAGCCCTCCCTGAGATTGCCCATCATCTTAACAAGGCTTGAGAATGGCCCTGGCGAACATTAATTGCCATAGAAGCGTCAGGCTCCTTAAAAGCATGGGACTGTTCAATGCATGATGTGTTTCGAGTTAAATCTCAAAACCTAGAATTAACAGCGAGAAAGAATCTGAGGATGGACAGTCTTCTCATTTTCAATCGAAAGAATTATTTCATCAGCACCATATTTTTCTCTCTCGTGCCCTTGTTCTAATCTTGGACTGTCAGAAGCAAAGCAAGTGGTTACCGGTTTGATTAATTAACATGTTAAAATCAATTTTGTGACACGTCAAATAGACTAAAACCCAGAAAGAGTAAGGTTTAATAAATTGTGCGAATTTATCAATAAATTGTTGTTTTTCCCTATTACCCCCTTGTCCTAAGCTTGGACTGTCAGGAGTAAAGCAAGTGGATATTACCTCATGAACTACATATTAAAATAAACTTTTTGATATACCAAATCGGGCAAAACCCACAAGAAGTATGGAAAAGTAATTTCAATAAAATAGGATATCAGAGATGACTTACCAAGTCCCAAGACCACAAAAAAAGTAATCCCACCGAGAAAAATAAAAGTTGGAGTTGGGTCAGATCAAACGCAAACCAAGCTGAGATCCCTCCCAAGACAGCAGAAATCTGAAAAATTCTCTCTATTGAATCCAAAGTGGCATCCACTGGCGAGAGGAAACATGATGTATCGATTCCATTCAGTTTTAGTTCGTCCAATGAGTAGAGTCTCTGAGGCACCTGCATGACAATATCATTTTAAAAATGAGGAAATTGGTGCTCCACTCCTTAAATGAGAAATGGCACAATCAAAAAACTATTTATGAAAATAAATTAAAAAATATTATATATAGGCATAAGAAAATAAGACAAAGTTTCGTGTCACAGGACTGACTGAACAGTCACAGATTGAATCCGATGGCATTTATAAAACAGTGGTGCGAATGATGCCATTTTATTAAATCATCTGGAGGAGAAACAGTCATGGATACCTACACAGGTTAGGTGAGATACCTCAAATATCTGACAAAGCCCTAGTTAAGAGAGAGACAGAGTAATCCGTTAACACCAAAAGACTCGACACCATGTGCAGAAACCCACAAAGACAAACAACTAATATTTAAAAAAACCCTGGGAAAAAGACTGCATCTCACTTGTATCATAAAGATAACATCATCATGATCGTTATCCCAAGCCTGAGGATACCTAGCTTTGGCGTTTTCCCTACCAGCAGACATGCCAGATATCACTCTCTGTAATATCGTGCAAAATAATTTCTAAAAGTGGCATGAGATCAGGAGCTGCGTCAAAGAATATCATCAGCTTGGTTCAGACATCCAATGAAATTTCCTCAAAGACTTTGACAAGTCTCCAAAGATGAAATGGGCAGATGAGGAAACCAAAAGGGCGACAACAATTTAGACTCCAGCCATCACCAAAGAGTCAACTCCACGACGACAGCATATCAAGGAAGATCTAAGCCCCATCTTATCACATAAAAAGGTGTTGTTTTCTCCAGGCTTCTCTCTCATTCACCAAAGCAGCTGTCCTCCGAGAAGTTGAATGAGGAAACCTGAATTAACGTTCTCTCTGAAGACCAATTCTTGGATTTCGAGATGATGCTGTCACTGATGTCATCTATGTATGTAAGTCAAGGTTCCATAACCATCGCCTACGCAACCAAGCAAGATAAAATAGCCTCCGCTCTCACTAAGCAGTTCCTTGGCAACTCCACAAAGTCTAGCTAAATCACAACCATTGGAAAAAAGAATTGGTGCGAAAGTCTTTGCATTGACCAGATAGTCATTAGCAAGGTAAAGCCAGGAGCATGATCTCAATGGCCGCCCAGGAGAAAGAAGGATATCTTCATGAAGACCGATACAAAACCTGGGCAAGTGGGTATGAGTTCTTCATGTGCCCAGAGCCTCAAGCAAACGCCCAAACAATTTGATTATCGGTAACCCAGATTTCCGATGTGAATCGAATTGTCATCTTCTGTAGAGCAAATGGTGGCCAGAAAACTTCTCAAAAGGGAAATGAGAGAACAGAAAAATTTGCACGACGGAGAATGTTCCATGTCTTGTTGAATGGTGACGATTCATTTCATTGTCCGTTCGGATTTCGATGAAGCATCGGCAATAAGGAAAATGGATTTTATTTCAAAGAAACTCCAAACAGAGAGGCAAAGTAAAAAAATGCAGGAAGGACAGAGATTCCAACCAGATTGCCGGCAGGAAAAAGTCAATGGAAACAATGGCGAGTTAAGGGTTCAGCACATCAAAGAATAAGACAGGAAACCGCTTACGAACCTGCCGAGCGGCACCGAAGCACCGTAGACCCCCACTCTTGCCCTCCAAATCCTTCACAAGTGAGAGTGCCCCCCTCTCGTTGCCGTTCCTCAACTCGTCATCGACTTTTTCTAGGAGCTGCAGACGAAGGTGACCCAGTTCGGAGGTGCACACGAATTTGAGCGTCCGCACGCGCAACCTTCCGAGAAACAAGCAGCTACTGCGACAGATCACCATGCCGGCAGTCCCTCGTGCCTGGTTCATGTGTATGAACCCAGAAGGGCGAGTGACGAACTCCACCCCAGGGCTTCCGATGAATGAACCGCCAACGGATGTTAATTCGAGCCTTTCGCCACATTCAATCTGAGCCACAAAAATAAAAGTCTTAAAAAAAATGCCGCGGAGGATGTACGATTGAAGGATAAGCCTGAGAGTATTTGTGTAGGAGAGTGAAAGGCAGGAAGGAGGGGAAATTGATAGGAAAGCGATCGGTAGGCTGCATTTCCAGGCGGCCACCTGATCATGCCTGGTCAGCCTACTCGGGGAACAGGCCTTCTAGAGAGCAGGGGGAAGAAGAAAACACAGACATGGACGCAAGAAAACCTATTCATCCAAACCAGCTGTATTTTCTTAGTATATGTCACAGAAGCGGCGTTTAAAATACGGAAAACATAACAAATTACTCTATTGTCTGCGCTTCTCGATGACAATCGTTTTCCCGAGTACACCACCACCACCACCGGTAAGCCGACTGACTCTAAGGTGTTGCGCAAAAAACTCCTGAGAAGCAGATCCGATGTCACGCTTCCTCCCCGCTACTCCTTCGGCAGTAGCGTCCCCCCTATCGGCGGCACGCCTCCATTAGCAATGTTCACCTTCCCCGGCACCTCGCTTCGCACCTCATCATTTCTCACATCCAACGGAACATGCCTCTGCACGATCCCATTCTTCATGCGGCCCCTTGCCGCAGTGCCGGCAAGCTCTAGCGCCTGCTCAGCGAGGGAAAAACCAAACGGCCAGCGGATCAGATCACACATTCCGAAAGACATAGCAAAGATTGAAAGAGACGTTCCTCCGAAACCAAACCTCAGCAGCGAGATACTCAGACAACTGCATAAAGACAGACGGGAGAGCCAGCGCGTAGGCGCTCGGCGTACATCCCCTCTTTCAGGAAGACTGGGAGCCAGTCTTGTGAGACTGAGAGACGGAGTTGGAAGCCTTGGAATTCCTAGCCCCCACTCGGTCGAATCTGCGGAATCATCCTTCTGTCCTCCGAGGCGACCAGAACCCTAACACTGCCGCAGGAGATGCCCAGGAGAACGCCGGAGAGAGGCACGAACGCCTGAGAAGCACGCTGTTGACGTCGTAGCGCCAGCGCCAAATTTATACTTTCGCGTGGGAAGAGAGAGGTGAGAGAATGATTCTATCTGATTGGTGGATCTCCATTCGTCGAACGCTACAAAAAAATAAAAATAAAAATAAAAATTCCCCAATTTTTAATCCTCAGAACTCATTCCCGTACAGGAATAGTTTCCTACCAGGCCAATTAATTGTCCACTATTAAGAAATATCGATAAATCATATATTATATCTGAAAAAGATAATTAATACATATATTTGACATGTATACCTTATAACTTTAAAGTGTTGCTTTTATGTACATTAAAATCGGCTGATTTTATGGCGATTTATGAGAAGATTCAGAGTCTTAGCGAAACAGCGACCGGGGGTTCAGCCTGCGGCCTATATGAGGGACCCTTAACGGGCTTCGGGCCAGACAGAACGAAGCCCGGCCCGGCCCGGCCCGGCCCATTTGCGTTTCACTCTGGCTCCTGAGACGCCGACCAAACATATCACAAGGAAAATAAAATCCACCGGCTGAAATTCGAATATGCCATTTCCCGTACAAATAAATAAATAGAATCATAATTTCCATCGCCGATCCACGACCACCGCGCGCATGCTCTGTCAGTTACGCTTTCTTCCCGCGTTTTTTTCAGAAATAAAAAGGGATGGGGGCTCAGATCCACCACGCTTCCAGAAGGGCAGCTTTTTCGGCGAGATTCATCCCCGGTGCTTCACGCACTGAGGAGAGGGGCGGATCTTCTCCCGACCAGCTTTGAGGGGGCAGGAGGTCTGCGCCGGCGGCAGCATGCAGTTGTATTGCAGGCAGAGCGAGCTCCTCCGCGGGACCTCCGACGACGGGCTGATCTGGATTCCGGTGAGGTAATTGTGTTGCAGGTAGAGTATCTGGATCCCTCCGTCCAGCAGCCTCGCGACGAGCTTCGCCGGCACGGGGCCGGAGAAGAGGTTGTTGTTGAGGAATAGCCGCCGGACAGAGGAGAACATCGGAGATATCTCCCCGGAGAGGCGGTTGTAGCTGACATCGACTGTCGGGATCGACACCTCGGCGGCGGGTTGCAGGCGGCCGGTGAACAGGTTTCGCTGCAGCAGGAGGCTGCGGATGGGGAGGGAGAACACGCGGGGTGGGATCGGGCCGGTGAATAGGTTCATGCTCAGATCTATGTAGTTGAGGCATGCCAACAGCGGGAGGACCCGGTCGATCGGTCCGCTCAGACGATTCCATGAGAGAGAGAGGTACTGGAGGGAGACCGGCAGGTAGACAATGCCACCGGAGAGGTTGTTGTTGCTGAGATCGAGTCTTACCAGGGAGGGTGAATGGAGGGAGGGCACCGAGCCGGAGAGGTGGTTGTGGGAAAGGATAATGTTGGAAAGACTGGGAATGCCAGCGAGGCCAGGAGGAATGGGGCCGGAGAGCTGGTTGAAGCTGAGGTCCAGTGTGCGGAGTTGATGAAGAGCGCCGATCCCCGGCGGGATAGAACCGGTGAGGAAGTTGCGGCTGATGGCTAGGAATCGGAGGTTGGTCAGCCGGCCAATGGTGGATGGGAGCGACCCTATGACGCGGCCGGGAACGACGGAGAGCTCGGCCAGGGCCGAGAGTTCCCCAATGGCCGGATCCAAGCGACCCAAGAGACCCGGAGAGCCAGCACGGGGGTCCCCAAGCGAGAGCGCCACGACGCGGTTGCCACTACAGAAGACACCGGAGAAGAGGCAGGGGTCGCGGCTGAAGTCCCAAGAGGTGAAGAAATGCGAGCCAGGCATATCATCGAGCGCCATGCGGACGGACTGGAGGGCGAGAAAGTCGACGGGGTCCAACAGGCCCACCGCCGACGCCATTCCCACGGCGGAGAAGAGGGTCGCTAAGAAGCTTATCATCGGCGGCGATCCACAACGTCTACCTCTTCCTCTTCCTCCCGTCCTGCCAAATAACGCCTCTTCCACAGCTTGTTATTCCTCCGCCGCTTCTATTTCCTGTCGCCTTGTGGATGATGGGATAGAGCCTAGGGTTCTAAGGAAGGAGGAGGGTGGAGGGTGGGGGTCAACGAGTATACCTTGTGGGGGACGGAAGTGAGTTGCTTTAATGGCGCGAAACCAAAAGCAGCGGCTGCGGCAGTCCAGATAGGAAAGACTAATGGGGAAACGAGAATGCCCGGGGTAGAAGCTTCCCTAGTCTGTCCTTCCCTTCACCATCTCCTGCCCCTCTTCCTCTTCTCCTTTCCTTTGATGGCGCTGGCGAACACCTCTGAAGCCGCTTGTCATGATACCTGGCGTTGGCTTGAGGAGGAAGGCTTCCACCTCTGAGGATCCTTTCTCTCGCCCCCTCCCCCAACCCCACTGCTCACACCAGCTGCAACCACCGTCAGGAAAAGGCAGGCGTAATGGGGAGGTTGTTCCCTCTTTTTATCGCTCATACTTTTATTGCTACCCTGCGTGGCAATCCCGCCCACGTGGAACCTCCCGATCGGAGGCCCGGGAGGACAGCTAACGTGGTTTGGTTTCTCCCTTTGGGCAGGTAGCCGCGTGGATGAACTCATGCTGACGCTGGACGTACAGGTCGACTACGATACTGCCACGATGGACGCATGGGAAAGTGGACTCCCCCAGCAACAGGTTAGTGCCCCCTATCTCCCGTCGTTCTCCCGCCCCCATAAAAATAACTAAAACATGGTTCTCTTCGGTAAGTACGCCACGCGGGGTATTTATTATTTTTATTATTAAGAGTAGTAACACGACTAAAAGATTACGATAAAAGGAGGGGGGAAGCGCGTCAGGTTGGAACATCGATTTCCATGTTACCCAAATTTCCCCAAAATATTCGGCCCTAGAAAAGTACTTTGTTCTTCGTACGCGTTCATAAAGGCAGCCAAGCCTGCACAGAGCTCTCTCCACCGCCACCTTTTAATGTGCTAATCGTTTCCCTACGTAGGGGAGTGCGTCCGTGACTGGTACGCAACCCTCGGCACGCCCAGGGTACACTGTAGCTTCTCAGTACACGTGGCAGAACGGATATCCCGTGCCCATATTCCCCAGCCGCTGATCATCAATCATCAAGAGAGAGAGAGATAGAGAGAGAGAGAGTCAGGGGGAGAGAAGTTGCGAGATAGGGAGGATTGCTCTGACCGTATGATAGCGACAAGTCAGAGGGTACTCAAAAACAATTTCTTTTACTCAAAGCGTAAAATGGCGAACATTTTGTCCAATTAAAAAAATGGGGCGCTCTGAAAAACCCGCAATATTTATACTCTCAATGGCATACACCGGTCCCCATGCCCATCGATAAATTTTTACCGCTCTAGAGCACCGCTTCTTTACTGCGTGTAGAGAGAGAAATAAAGAGAGAGTGAGAGAGAGGTTGTTGGACTTTCTGTAGAAGTAGACTTTTGTCTCGAAGAAGAGACTATAATACCAACCACGTCAGACGAGGCAGGCCCTTCGAATCCTCACCGTTGGTCAGGTGTTCCTGAAATAAAAGGGTCGGTGAACCCACCTATCGAGTTCCGATCCCTCGGCAGAGTCAGCCCGGTAGCTCTGTGGGTGACACACCTACTTGGGATATTCTGAAACTGCTACACAACAGGAGCAGGCGGCGATGGCGTATCTGCCCAGCTACGGCCGTCGTATTCCCGCCGTGGGCCACGCCGACGAGTACGGTTGGAGACCGACTCGGGTTGGATTCAGGAGGGAGGCAGAGACAGATCCGGGAAGAGACTCGAATCTTGAGAGGGGGAGTTATGGGCTCATGGGCCGGGCAAGAAAGACCTGAGCCCCGCACATTCACGCATCTCGGTAATTGGGCCGATTTCACCGTCAGATATCTAATAAAAGAATAATCCCACGTTTATGGAAACTAAAAAGCACCGGGCTCAACTTACTGAATTAGAAATTTTGGAATAATTAAAAAAATTATAGGATTAATGTGCCATTAAATCTACACCCCGGGCGCAATATAGTCGCGCAAAACTTCATAAATACTTATTTTCCCCGTAATTATGTAAAATAAAAAGTTTTATTATTGTAATGAAGCATAATGTATGTATGCGGGGGCTGAGGATGTATTTATGAATATCGAAAATTCATAATGAGGGGGGGGGCTTTCGTGCCTGACATCATCATACTCTGTATGGCGTCAGAGCAACGTGCTGGCCGACTCTCCAAAGCCTGTAGCTCTCCCTCCCTCTTCCGTCCTCATCCTCTCCGATCGACCGACAGAGAGAGAGAGAGAGAGAGAGAGAGAGAGAGGGTTACAAGTGTTGGCCGACGTGAGGCCGATGTCTGAACCAGACAGCTCGTCTTCCGTCGTCATCCTGGCTTCGAAGTAAGAGAGAGAGAGAGAGAGAGAGAGAGAGAGAGAGGAGGGATACTACATTCCTCGGGACGATGGGGTACTCGGTGAGTAGGGTTTCCGTGCGCCTGGCCGCTGCTATGCTGGTCGTCGTCGTTGCCATCTACGTCGGATTCCCCCTCTACTGGAAGCTCTCCGCCACCATCCAGGAGATCCGCGAGAAGCGGCCCACCGTCAGAGAAGGTTCCCCACGCCCTTCCCTCCTTCCCTCCTTCCCTCTACCCGCTGCCGCCGCCACCGCTGTGGCCTTGTGCTCATATCTCGCTCGCTCTTCTTCTCCGGGGGTTCTCGCAGGAATCTCACAGCTCGTCCTCGAGGCCCAGCGGTCGGTCGGGTGGTTCTACGACGAATCCGACTCCGGCCTCGCCGACGACGGGCCCGGCCAAGCCGCCGCCGCCGGTACGATCCCCTCTCGCCGGCGGCTGACCGGCGCTGCCTGAAACGCCGCCGACCCTGCCCACATCATCCGGTGGACAAAACCCTCCAATTCTGCGATCGTCTTCAGGAAATTTCTTCTCCCTTTTTGGAACGCGGCAGAAACCTCTTCTCCCTGTGTTTACTCACTCTTCCGTCAGATATCACTGGTAGACCCTCTCCCTCCGTTCGTCTCCCTCGCCTGTTCCGCTAGGGTTTTCGTCAGTGCAGGAGGACCGCCATGACCAGAATCATTCTCCAAAGATGCACAGAGTGCCCTCGCACTTTTGTTAAAGCCAAACAAGTAGAAAGAAATTATGCTGTTCTACGGGAATCCACATAATGCACTCAGATTTCCAGTGGTTGTCAAACACTTAGAAAGTCGTTGTGCCGTTCAACAGAGAAAACTCCGTCAGGGGGAGCCGCACTCTCTCCAAAATATGGATCTAACAAGGCCCCAGATAAGCTTTAGAATCATGCCCCAAGTATCCACATAATGCCCTCAGATTTCTAGGAAAGTCGGGCACGTTATTGATGACGACGGAGGTATGCACAGGAGTTGCTCGACCAATGAGCACGACGTGGGGACTGCGCCGGGAGCCGCCTGTTTCTGTAAGTTAGCATACATTGCAGCTACGCCGGCAGTAGCCCGGCAGCTCCGGCGTCCCGACCATGTACTCAAGGTTCTTGGCGCACTCGCCGAGGGCGGCCCACCGCTCGCAGCTGACGTTATCGTCGGCACAGCGGCCGCCCGCCGCCGCCGGAGCCTTGTCGAAGGAGCCCACGTGGATCCACTTGGTGGCCGACCACTTTTCCCCCTTGATCACCGGGCACCCCCCGTGGAGGCTCACTGGGTCGGGGTTCGCGTCCGTGTGGAGGCTGAAGAACAGGAGGGCGTCTCCCTTCCTCGGCTTCACTGCAGTAGACATCACAAAGATATGATCTTCATATCTATAAAATCATAAAGATGTGATCATAAAGATCAGAGGGAAGCACTTACCTGCTATCCCTTTGCGTGCGCAGTCCGATAGATCGTCGTCCTCTCCATCAGCTCTGTGACGAGGGGCCTCCTGTGGATGATGAAACAGAGTTTCTAAAATCCGTAGTTCTGAGGGTTATGAGGGAGGAAGATTTAAAGAAATGTGCATAAATATGTATATGGAGTTGGGTTGAATGAAGGGAAGGTGATGGAAGGATGGGCATCTGGTTCTACCTCGGCGGAGGGGAAGACGGTCTCGCCGCCCTTCTCCACGTCGGAGAGGTACATGAGGATGGTAGCGATGCGATGGCCGCCACGGGCAATGTTGACCTCGTCGGTGAAGTAGTCATGGTGGGGATCATACTTCTGCCCATGCTCGTATCTGAGCACTTGGATGTCCTCGCCATTTTCTGAGGAACCAAAGCAGCCGCATTCAGGTGTCCGTCCCGCCCGACAATATTTCATTCAAGAAATTGTAGGTTGAATTGACCGAGCGAGAACGAACAAAAACCATTTGATCGATCATTTAGGAGCAGCAGCATTCAGGAGTTCCTCCCAAAAGTTTAGAAGCCGTAGGTTTTACTCACTGATCAAGCAAGAATGAACACTGACAGATTCATCATTTGGGAGTTCCTGAGGTTTATTTTTGTTCCCATTTCGAGCAGAAAACAGAATAGAAATTTATCAGGTCTGGGTGTAGTAGATTCTGAGCTTAGCATCGTGGCGCACGAATGTATGCAGATAGAGCATGGCGTTCAATTTTTTATCAGTATTATTATGAGCATTACAGTAATGATGGCAGGGTAATCTTCCCATCATCACAGAGCATTGTGTGCGTATGATCTGTTTGAATAACCCCATGCTACTGATGATGAAGCATAGCAGACTAATAAAAGACACCTTATTCAGCATAAAGTTAGACCTTCGACCACATATTGGTATGACAAAAGTAATGAAGGAAAATATTAATCTTTTAACTTGTAAGGAAATAAAAAGAACATCTATGTCCAACTAACAAATTTAGTAACAACATTGCTGCAAGGATACCCTATTATCGAAGATAAATAAATAGGACCCTGAATTCCTTTTTTAGAAGACATAACTCCAACCAAAACTAAAGCTAACAACAGCACAGCATTTTATTTTATTTTTTGAAAAATATTTGACAGCACGATCTACAACATGCAATAAGCTGATATAAGATGGAAGATTAAGTGAGAAATCTACCTATTGGAAGAAATGTCCACGCAGCAATCTTCTCTTCGATACCCTTGACAATTGAATCCTGCAAACAGTCAGACGATAGAACCATGTTATGAAGGGAAGCATATATATTAACAGAGGATGATCGATGGAACTCGAACATCTCCTAAAAGGTCACAACTGTCTACACAAAGTCCAATGTTCTATTGTATCAGAGTTGACACCATGCAAGATGTTCTGGCTTTTCGAGAATTGTGGAAACCTTTGTATTTAATAGCTTATCGCCGACATCCTATGGTAGTACTTTCCCAAGGGTTGATCCTATTTTTCTTTCTCAAAGGTCAAGAAACAATTCACTCCAATGAATCTCCTAAATTTAGACAAATCCGTGAGAAAAAGTAATGAATTATCGCAGTTTCAGAAATGAACAGCTGGTACCCGTAATTCTTCCTTGAGTGAAATGATCTCCTCTTCCACTTTTTAAACCACCGTTGCAACCAGTAGATTGCAACAGTGTGGAAAAGAATGAGGGAAAGAGAAAGTGAGAACAAACCAGGGGAAGATAGCAGTTGCAGGCTGCAGCCAGTGGAAGGAAAAGAGAGAAGAGAGGGAGAGGAGGAAAATAAAAATAAGACAGAATAGAGTACATGAAAACAAAATGTACTGCTGACACTATCATCAACTGCCACCCCCATTTTCTCTTTCCCCTCTTTCTTCCTTCCGCATTGAGTATCAAGACCCCACCAAAAAGAGAATATTAACGAGTTGCAAGTTACTAAAGAAGTAAAATAGGAGGTAATCGTTTAACGAATCCCAATTTTAAAAATAGCACAGGTTCTTCCTTTCGAAGACTTGAAGGCAGGAAGTATACCACTAATGATCCATCAAGAAAGAATGGAGCAAAATCCATTTTTAAAAGGACGCCATTAGCCTTTCCATCTTTAACACAGGTGTATGAGACAGTCAACACATTTTTGCATTAAGCTCCAACAGTCACTTTTAGCTCAACCAAAAGTTATGGATGATAACAACCAAATGCAACCTAGACCCTTGCACTAAAGCAGAGTCGCTCATTTTATAAAAAACAGAGGCGAATTTCCGAGCACAAGGTCCCTCGTGACATTTTGGTGACCTCAAAGAATCCATAGATCAGGCCCATGCACAACGGAGCAACAGGCTAATATGATGGTTATGAATTGAGAGCTTCCACAAAAATCGATCCAAAGATAAGAGCACAATTTGCAAAAATAGAGCAGTGTATCCTGCATATCATTCGTATATCTAAAGCTGTAGCAAGAATGTCTGTTAATTTTACGCATGGTGAAAATAACCTGACGAGAGATCTACAGGGGGAACAAAATAAATCTTCTTCTAATGGTATTCAATGTACCGCATGCATCCGTTAAAAGTACCTAAAAAGAGTGGTAACTCAAGCTAAAATTCAGTAGAAACGCTCCACTTAACTGCCTACTGAAAGTGACATATCCAGTACAATAGTAACAATAGCTTGACTAAACGGGTCAAGAGTATATGAATTCCTGTTCACTAACATATGAGGAAAAACGTGGACGCAATCTGCTTGAGCTACCCAGATGCCGACTCGCGTGTAGAATTCTAAACTCAGCAGGTTACTGGATCTAGAATGGCCAATGGCAGGCCAAGGTATGATTCCAAAAGAATCCAAATCGAATTCATCGAAATACTCGAATGAATAAACTACCTATCGGATCCTCAAAACTTGTAATGTAGGGCTGCTTTAAATTTCTTAAATTAGATTATACTGACAATGGCTTATTCTGAGATAACTTCATGTAAAGATAATTGCGAGGTCGTAAACATCAAAACTGAAAGCAAAACCTTCTTATTTGGGGTTGACTTCTGGAAAACCACGGTAGAGAAATTCACAATCATATGAAGACAATAATAAGTATAACAATAATGAGGTTCATGATGCCAAATAACAACCAACATTTGGAGAGGTCATTCTTGAAATACTCGTCAACCTCATTGAAATAATGAGGTTGATAATTTCACGCTCACCACCCACTGAGACATAAAAAATTCGAAGACTAATCATATTTAAGGAGGAATGCACTGCAACCCGAAATCTATATGCTGAAATCTCGAGGCCGGCTAAAACCTATGTAAAAACAGAAAAAGTTCCATAATTCCCTGCCTGTAGATTATAGAAAGCTTGAACAAATTTTACGGGCAATACTCAGAAAGAGAGCACAATGTGGGAGTCAAACCTTGCCCTTGCGGATAAACATCCCGGAGCTGGTCCGAACTTCACTAAGCTTGCTTTCCCCTGATGTGCTATCAGCTACGTAAGACCTTCTGAGCTCGGATCTTGCCTGGACAAGGAAGATAAAGGCGAAGGGTAAAAATTATCTACGAGTCGTCGAATTCTCTTTCGGGAAAAGATTACGGTGAAATGACAACAACCGTAAAGTCCAAAACCCAGCCGATCTAACAGAAAAAGCGAGGAAGATTTGCAGACAGGGGGAATAGATGAACTAACCAAGGACACTAAATGGTCGCACTCTTCATCAGTGAGGAAGCCTTCATAGACGAACGCTCTAGCACACAATCATTGACCGTCAGATCTCAAACACTAATCGGGCAGCAAACGCCAGAGCCAAAAGCTAAGACACCGAAAATTAGTAAATTAACGTAGCAGCAGCACATAAACACGGAGCAGAGATCTTGATCTAAGATATAGGGCGGGCATGGGGAACCTAGGCTTCCATGAGATCTGCTTCACTCGCGCGGCGTTGATGACGGAGGCGCTGACGGAGGACCCCTGGAGAGCGACGGCAACGAGCAGCAGCAGGAGCAGACGAGGAAGATCCCTAGAATGCGCCATTCAACAACCTCTGCAGGGTGGCCGGGGGAGGGTGCCGAGAGAGAAAGACAGAAGGAGGTGAGAGAGAGAGAGAGAGAAGCGGAGTCTTCGCCAGAGAAGAGAGCGTAAAAGAGAAGGGCAGGAGAGACAACCCGGCAAAACTCTCAGGGACGACTGGGAGATGCGCTTCTGTACATAACGATTTGTATCCGTTTGTGTGCGTCACCAATAAACAAGCGGAAATTTACAACGTGGCGAAAGATTTTAAAGAAAACAATTCCGGCCATCTCCAGACTCAACCATTTACAATTAATGGTGATGATACGTACGAATGTTAGAAGGAACGTGTCAAGCCTAGAGCAAGGACGGCGGATGATTAGATGACACGTGGAAAAAATGACATAAATGTCAACTCCTCTTTGCTGTCTGTCAGTGGGAGTGGTCAGAAATTAATAATAATAATATAAATGCCATTAAAACATTAATTAAAATACATTAAGTTGATTTCTATAAAAAAAAAAAGCGATCTCATTAGTGTGCTAAACGGATCGAGAAAAATCATAACTTTTGGCTCCATTTCATGGAAATAAAAAAAACTTGTTTAGGAAATGGGGGGCAATTTTTTAAAAATTCATACCAACTTTTCTTGATATGAGCAATATATATGTAGCTATGATTTTTTGTGATGTAGCATAGTGCATATAAGTTTATAAACATAATGGGTGACTCCATAGTCCTAATTTGTCCAATTTTTTAATCATAATAAAGATTAAAGTTAAACACAAAAAAAGGTATTTTGGGCCCCACATCTCCTAGTTACAAAATTTCATTCTCATCAAAACTAACTCATTCTAATTCACAAGTGGAAGTTAAAGGCTTAGATCGGATGTTGGTCCTTGAAAAATATTGCAAATTGATTTCATCAGCATTGTCCTTGATCTCACTTCAAATCCTTCGCCTCATAATTCTAATAAATCACTACATCTTGACTAATGTTTGGATCATTTTAGGCTTTCTATTTTTAGAACTCTATGATAGTTGGCTAGATGATTATTCAATATTTTGGAGCATGCGAGAAAAAAAAATGGAAGATGCTTTGAGCTCATGGGCTGCTAGAATTCATGCCCAATGTTAGATATGACTAGAAGGATGATAACCTTGTATCTGAAAATATTAATTAATTGTGTATGAAATATGGGACTCACATAGGGAAAAATCATGGGTCTGATGAACATGCTGGTTTGAATGAGCTCCAATGAGAGCAGATCCACCACATGATGTTACTCTTAAGATGATGAACATATATATTAATCAAGGTATGTAAAGAATTACGAAAAAAGGCATAAATTGGAGAATTTCATGGATTTTTTCTAAACTAAATAAATCAAGAATTTAATGAAAATAAGGTTAATTAATGCAGTCATACTATATCCATTTGCAAATATATGAAATCAGGTATGAACATATGAGAAAATTGTCATACCATAATCTTTAGACCCTTTTTCATCTAGGGCATCACATCTACTCTTGAAGAAGCTTCCAACATCAGAGTAGTGAATATTACCTTTCTTTTTTTATTTGTGGCAGTTTATGATAATTGGTGGAAACCATAAGTGAGTGGCTAGGAGCACACAGTAGACCTTTATACGGTCAAAAATCTACACTAAAGAGCTGGAGCCTCATGATTATTGGTGACTATTCTAGGTACATAAATCTTCTAGACTTTGAGAGTTAATACCAAATGTCTGGTTTGTGACTTTGTTTAGGCAAATAAGTTTGTCAAAGTGTTTACTTATTATAGCAAATAATGGAAAACTAAAGCAAAGAGGGGACACAAATAATACCTTCTAATTTAGTAGATAGAAAGATATATAATATTTATTTTTTGGGTAATAAATATTTTTGTGTGATAAGGCTCACTTAATTAGTTTTTTACATATAGAATCTTCAATATGCACATCTTTTAAATTGTCTAAGAAAAAATCATATATAGAATGAAAAGGTAAGCATTGTGTGGCTGAATTATCTTAGTGAAATTTATGACCATAAAAAGGAAATAAACAGCTCCATATGCAGCCTATTGTTCCTATTAGATATAGCCCATTAGAGGGCTTAGGTCACATTCTCTCTCTCTCTCTCTCTCTCTCTCTCTCTCTCTATATATATATATATATATATATATATAAATAGAGGCTTGTAACCTCTATTTTAATACATTGGTTTTACCGTTCACATGGTATTAGAGCTTAATATATTTTTTTAACCCTAGAAAATTAAGGTTCTTCATGCCATCGTCGCAGATCCTCTACCTGGCAGCTGCTGCCACCCCTTTAGGCTGCCACCCCCGTCACCGCCCATTTGGGCTGCCATTGCCGCCCCTTTTTTGGCCACCGCTGCTGCTGCCACTCATTTGGGTTGTCACTACCATTTCTTATCGTGCCATCACTGCCTCTCAGGGCTGCCCTCGCCCCTTCACACCGCCACCACTCCACTACCTTGGTATCCTTTCTTTTTTTCTCTTCGTTGGGTTGTCGTCGCCGTCACCGCCTATTCGGGCCACGTCTATTGCCCCTTCTAGCCACTACTGCCACCCCTTCAGACCTCCATCGCCACTTCTTAAAGCTCCCCCCCCTCCCTTTTCAAGGACACCACCCTAATTGGGATCTCGCAACCAATTTTTGTCGTCTCAGTTCAGACCAGCTTGAACTAGGTGAGCTGGTCCAAGACAACCCTAAGACTAGTCAGTCCAAAACCACCCTAAGACCCCAAGACCCACCAAGTCCAAGACTACTTAACATTACTCACACAATACTCTATGAGATGCACATTCCGCACTATCTATGGTCTGACATCATCATGACTACCACTTATCTTCATAATCACCTTCCCTCCTCTATTTTGGGTGGTGTGATCCCTTTTACTTATCTTTTACCAGATGCTTCTCTGTTTTCTTTACCACATCGTGTGTCTAAATACACGGCCTTTGTGCAAGACTATACTCCATTGTTATCTAAACTTGCTCTTTAGGCATTGAAATATATAGTCGTTAGTTATTCGTGCACGTAGAAGAGATATCATGTTTATTTCCCTAATACACATCATTCTATCTGCTAATGTCAGTTCATATGAAGATGTTCCCTACTTGTCTTCATCTCTTACTCCTCTCGCACATCTACATCTCCATCCCTGAGGTTTACTTCTATTCCTCCATTATTTTTGTCGCCCTCTCTAGAGACACTAACTCACCTATGATTGTGGATGTCAATTGCTATCGACGTCTACTAGGAAAGCTGATCTGTTTGACAATTACTCAACCCAATATTACTTATGTTGTTAGTGTTCTTAGTTAGTTCATGTAGGAACCTTGGATGGTGTACTAAGAGAGAGCATTACGAGTTCTCACATATGTCAAGCATGCCTTCAGCAAAAGGTCTTATCTATTAGTGTCATGACCATCTTTGTATTGAAGCATATTTTGATGTTGGATATGCTAGGGACAAAGGAGATTGAAAATCGACTACAAGATATTGCATATATGTTGGAGGTAATCTAATCACCTGACATTCTCAAAAATAAAAAGTCGTCTATTGTTCTAGTACAAAAGTTGTGTACTGAGTTATGGCTATGATTGTTCGTGAGATGGTATAATTATAACTATTTCTACAAGACTTAAATATCACAACTTTGACACCTATACTTATGCGTTGTGATAACCAAGCAGCTACTTTTATTATTGAAAACCTTACCTTTCACGAGAGAATCAAACATATTGAGATCGATTGTCACTTTATCTATGACAAGATGTTGATGAGAGTTATTTCAACACCTCATGTGTCATTATCGAATCAACTTACTAACATCTTTACCAAAAATTTCATTGGTGTGTTGTATGATTGCTTGAGATTTAAGTTAGGCATGTTCAATCTATATACTCTAACTTGAGGGAGAATGTTAGATATAGCCCATTAGAGGGTTTAATAGATCAGAGCTTATTAGAGGGCTTAGGTCTCTCTCTCTCTCTCTCTCTCTCTCTCTCTCTCTATCTATCTATAAATAAAGGCTTGTAACCTCTATTTTAATACATTGGATTTACCATTCATAGTTTCTAAGATTGAAAACTCACCTAATAAAACTTATTTAGTTAATGATTAATTAAAAATATATGATTTAGTTAAAAATATAGAAAAAGTATTTTAATTGAGAATTAAATAGTTGTTGAATACAGTCTATTGTTATAGTATTTATTAAAGTAGATAATTTTTCAGCAGCATATGAATGACTAGTTGATGGTATTTGACTTACTTTTGTCGGAAGCCTTAACAAGTATAGGTCAATGTCTATGCTAATGAATATATACAATATTATAATAGATATCAATGAATATATTCAGTACTATAATATATATCAATGATGTAGACTAAAGGGCTTATTACTCCACATTTATTGAGTATTTAAATTAGACCGTTGACATAATTTTTGTTCTAAGATTATTCATTTCGGGCTAAAAGAAATTAGGTGGGTGCAGTTGACGTTATCAAGCCATTAATAGGGAAGGGGTACTCTATCCTTGTGAACTATCCGAGTCTAATTTTTCAGATCAAGAGATAATTTTTTTTCAATGTGACTACATTAACCACTATGAAAGGGGATTAATCATTCATGATGGCCATCTTTGGTAAAACAAAAGAGCAGATGATGATGATTCAAGCACACCCCACTTGTGGGTTAGTCTAGAGGGCGGAGGGGTTAGATTTATTTTCCATGTTTGAGATGAAATATCTGTCAACAATAGTACTAAGTTTGAAAATTGCCAATATTTATTGTGCTTTTTGGGGGTTGAAATTCCTCGTCCATTCCTCTTAAAGCTGTTCTTCTAGAACGGTTCTGTCTCTTCTGTGGAGAAGATCCTTTCGGTCCTGTGTGCTAGTAACGCAGGAGGTTCTAGAGCCAGGCTTAAAGATATCAGAGGGGCTGATGCTGCCGCCGCCTCTGCACCATGATCACCATTGATTTCCATGACCTGGTTGCATGCCCCAAGAAAGCTGTGATCTTTCTGTGTTGAAAGAAGGCTTTCCCAATTGGGGAAGCTAGATCAGGAGGCGTCTGCAGGTAGGAGGGGAAAATAGGAGATCTCAGGACGGTGGACTCGGCGATCTTGAAGCCCAGAGGCATTGATGCACTTCTTTGAGTTTAGATCAGTATGGAGCGAGGAGTTGAGAATCTCCTCGTGTCTCTAATAATGTAGGTCAACCATGTCATCAACACCAGTCACCATTCACATCAGCATCCGAGTTTAAGGGCTTAATCAATATATTCAGCCTTTGAAGGCTTTCCGTCCTTTAATTGTTGGTTTTTTTCTGAGATGACTCCCAAGAACCAAGCATCTAAGTCGTAGTCAAGCACCTCAGGATGGTTTGCTGGAAGTTGACTCGTGTTGGTGCAGCGATTCAACTTTCTTGATAGATTATCTTCAACTGATCCAGCTTTCGTTCTGGAGATTGAAGGGTACTAACAAAGACTATCTTGGTAAACATTCATGGGTTTTAGCTTGTCAATCGATTTTCTGATTGCATGTTCCTCCTCCCGACAGCGTCCCCGTCTGATCTCAGAAAGGGTTCTCAACAAGGCCACTATGCCGCATGGGGCAGTCGTAGTAACCCCAGATTTCCAGGCCGGGCCTTGTGAAAGCCTCAATCTGGTTAGAGCTAGAAACCCTGATTCCCTGTCAATCCAGGACAACAACAAGAAAGAAGTAAGAAGAGAGAACTCAGCTTAAGCCCTGTGTTCAAGGTTCTTCCCTTGCGTAGCATAGAGACTATGGCAGACTAAACATAGCGGAAGGTGGCAGGTTGGCCCTCTTGCAACCGTTGACCTAGGTCGTATCTCTCTCTCTCTCTCTCGATGCTCGCCTCTTCACTTATGCCACGAAAATTCCTAAATTCTGACACAAACTCATTCCCGATCGTACACAAGGTTATAAAAATCCGATGGAAATCACAAGAGAGGGATTTAGGGATCCATTGCGAGCTGCTTATGGTGGCTCAGGTCATTCAGATGCCCAGCAGCGTTGACCTCGCCGGCGTCCCAGAGCTCCTCCGAGAAGGTCCGGCGGAGCAGTGGCCTCTGCCGCAGTCTCAGGCCCTCCTCCGGCCCTTCATCTCCGCCGCCGAGTAGCTTCGCCACCTGCATTTCACCCCTCCAAATTTCAGTCTCTCTCTCTCTCTCTCTCTCTCTGTTTTCTCTCTCTCCTCCGGCGGGCTCACCTCGCTCATCTTTGGGCGGCGAATGGAGGACTGCTGTATGCAGAGCGACGCTACCAAGACGGCGCGCCGGAGCTCGCCGCCGTGGACGGCGGCGCCGATGGCGGGATCCACCAGCGCCCGCACGTCGTTCTTCTCCAACAGCGGCCTGGCCCACATGACCAAGCTCCGCCGTGTGGCGTCCAGCGCCCGCCGCCCCGTGATGAGCTCCAGCAGCAGCACACCGAAGGCGTAGACGTCCTTATCTTCGTCCTTATCGGAGCAGATAAGATATTTGCATCTTGTTTAATCAGGACGAAGATCGATCAGAAGGAAAGGAGGTGATCTCCCCCGACTACCGACGGCGACGCCTGAACGGCGGAGTTCGTTCTCTTGTGGTTCTTATATTTGCGCCGGTGACTATTTCGTGTTGATTCAGCCCACCGTTCGCCGGCGTCCGGTGACGGGAAGTGTCAGGATGGAGCCCTCGTCAGGATAGATACAGGAATCTCCTTCTCCGACCTCGGCGTTGCGAGAGAGGGCCAAAGGACGGGAGGAGGAATCGGCTTCGCTGGAGCAGCAACCTCCTGTGGTGGCTCCCCTCAACTTGCGGGATATCCTCTCTCTCTCTCTAGGGTCCTATCTCTCTCTTCCCTTCCATTCGTTCGGTGGGGAATGGAAGGGAAGAGAGAAGAGTAGTTTCAAAGGCGAAGGGGGGAGACTGCGGTCGCAGGGGAGAGGAAGAGGCGACAGGGAGCCCAACAGAAGGCCGGCGGCCAACGAAGAGGATGAAGAGAGGGAGGAACAGATTTTCTTGATGGTGCTCTTGGAGCCATCGGCAATTCCACTGCCCTAGCGGAAACCCATGAAGGAGCTCGAACAGGCTTATTCTCCCACTTCTCGGTACCTCTCTCTCTCTTTCTCTTGCTCGTTTCTTTATCTACCGCCTTTCTCACTCCTGGGCATCCGGCGTTTTTTTTAATGATGCTCTGTGATCCTGCCTGCGCGCCGATGATTTTTCTTTCTGGGTTATACGATTCCTTCTATTTCTCCTCCTGATTCTCCGTGGAATTTCCTCGTCTGGTCTTGAATCCCCGTCTTCTCCAAATCATTTCCTCATTATCTTCCTTCCATTGATTCTTTTTTGTTCTTCCTCATGGAGATTTCTTCCGTGGTTCAGTAATGGTAACGTGAGCAGCAAGGTCTCGGGCAGAACTCCGGCGAGAGGAGGGGATGACCCGCCGGTTCTCTTCTCCGGCTCCGGCGACGGTGTGTCATCGTCATTCCCCACACCCCTTGTCTACCTTGCTCCCCTCCGTAACTCCTCTCCTTCTTGTTCTTCTTGTTCTTCCCCTTCTTCTACCTCCGAGCAGAGTTGAGACCTTTTGAAGTGGGGGAGGAGACGAGGGAGGCCTCTCCGGCGGGGGCGATAGCAGCCGAGACGGACTCGGAGACGAGCTTTTCGATGGACAGCACCTCCTCGCAGGTGCCGGAGATGACGACGCCGTCGTCGCAGTGGCGGGGCTTCCTCCGCCACTGGCGGCAAAAGTCAATGCAGCGGCTGGCGACCTTCCCCCCAGTCGGCGTCGTCCCCAAGCTCCCGCGATGGCTATCCGGCAAGGAAATCAAGGATTCATCCGCCGCCGCAAGCATCCCCGCCGACGTTGACTTCTGCCTCTTCAAGCCCTCCTGGAAGAGCTTCTCCTTCTCCGAGCTCCAGCACGCCACCGACAACTTCAAACCAGGTCCCATGTCAACCCATTCGATCCCATCTATCCAAAAATAGCAATATGGGTTGACGTTATTCTTAGCCATTACTTGACTAAACCAATTAGTTTCCCAAAAAAGAAATGTTGACCTCCGGTGTCACTGGTGTTTGACATCGTCATCATCAGAGAATCTGATCGGGAAGGGCGGGTACGCGGAGGTGTACAGGGGGCGGCTGCCGGACGGCCGGCTGGTCGCCGTCAAGAAGTTGACCCGCGGCTCGCCGGAGGAAATCGTCGGCAACTTTCTCTCCGAGCTGGGCATCATCGTCCACACTAACCACCCCAACGTCGCCAAGCTCCTCGGTTTCGGCGTCGACGGAGGCATGCACATCGTACTCCAGCTCTCACCCTACGGTAGCCTCGCCTCCTTCCTCTACTGCAACTCCGGTAATCCTCTCTCTCTCTCTCTCTCTCTCTCTCTCTCTCTCTCTCTCTACTGGTTCTCTCTTTCTCTCTCCACTGGTTCTCTGTCCAACTCCTCCTGGTTGCCGGAAGAAGGAAGCTCCAAGGAGAAGCTGGGCTGGGGGGTGAGGTACAAGGTGGCGGTGGGGACGGCGATGGGGATGGAGTACCTCCATGAGAGATGTCAGAGGAGGATCATCCACCGGGACATCAAGGCCGCCAATATTCTCCTCTCCGACGACTTCGAGGCGCAGGTATAAGAATCTCCTCTTCTTCCTCCGCCTCTGGCGAGCTTCTAATCATCGTCTCCGGCGACACAGATCTGTGACTTTGGGCTTGCCAAGTGGCTGCCGGACCAATGGACCCACCACACCGTCTCCACCTTAGAGGGCACATTCGGGTAGGCGGCGGCGGCGCCACCATCCTGCTCCGCCGCGTGCGGCGGCGCTGACGGCGTTGCTGGTGTGGGATTTGCTGCAGGTATCTGGCGCCGGAGTACTCCATGCACGGGATAGTGAACGAGAAGACGGACGTCTACGCCTTCGGTGTGCTGCTGCTGGAGCTCATCACGGGGCGGCGGGCGCTGGACGCCACACGGCGGAGCTTGGTCATGTGGGCCAGGCCGCTGTTGGAGAAGAACGACGTGCGGGCGCTGGTGGATCCCGCCATCGGCGCCGCCGTCCACGGCGGCGAGCTCCGGCGCGCCGTCTTGGTAGCGTCGCTCTGCATACAGCAGTCCTCCATTCGCCGCCCAAAGATGAGCGAGGTGAGCCCGCCGGAGGAGAGAGAGAAAACAGAGAGAGAGAGAGAGAGAGAGAGACTGAAATTTGGAGGGGTGAAATGCAGGTGGCGAAGCTACTCGGCGGCGGAGATGAAGGGCCGGAGGAGGGCCTGAGACTGCGGCAGAGGCCACTGCTCCGCCGGACCTTCTCGGAGGAGCTCTGGGACGCCGGCGAGGTCAACGCTGCTGGGCATCTGAATGACCTGAGCCACCATAAGCAGCTCGCAATGGATCCCTAAATCCCTCTCTTGTGATTTCCATCGGATTTTTATAACCTTGTGTACGATCGGGAATGAGTTTGTGTCAGAATTTAGGAATTTTCGTGGCATAAGTGAAGAGGCGAGCATCGAGAGAGAGAGAGAGAGATACGACCTAGGTCAACGGTTGCAAGAGGGCCAACCTGCCACCTTCCGCTATGTTTAGTCTGCCATAGTCTCTATGCTACGCAAGGGAAGAACCTTGAACACAGGGCTTAAGCTGAGTTCTCTCTTCTTACTTCTTTCTTGTTGTTGTCCTGGATTGACAGGGAATCAGGGTTTCTAGCTCTAACCAGATTGAGGCTTTCACAAGGCCCGGCCTGGAAATCTGGGGTTACTACCACTGCCCCATGCGGCATAGAGGCCTTGTTGAGAACCCTTTCTGAGATCAGACGGGGACGCTGTCGGGAGGAGGAACATGCAATCAGAAAATCGATTGACAAGCTAAAACCTATGAATGTTTACCAAGATAGTCTTAGTTAGTACCCTTCAATCTCCAGAACGAAAGCTGGATCAGTTGAAGATAATCTATCAAGGAAGTTGAATCGCTGCACCAACACGAGTCAACTTCCAGCAAACCATCCTGAGATGCTTGACTACGACTTAGATGCTTGGTTCTTGGGCGTCATCTCAGAAAAAAACCAACAATTAAAGGAGGGAAAGCCTTTCAAAGGCTGAATATATTGATTAAGCCCTTAAATTCGGATGCTGATGTGAATGGTGACTGGTGTTGATGACATGGTTGACCTACATTGCTAGAGACACGAGGAGATTCTCAGCTGCTCGCTCCATACTGATCTAAACTCAAAGAAGTGCATCAATGCCTCTAGGCTTCAAGATCGCCAAGTCCATAGTCCTGAGATCTCCTATTTTCCCCTCCTACCTACAGACGCCTCCTGATCTAGCTTCCCTAATTGAGAAAGCCTTCTTTCAACACAGAAAGATCACAGCTTTCTTGGGGCATGCAACCAGGTCATGGAAATCAATGGTGATCATGGTGCAGAGGCGGCGGCAGCATCAGCCCCTCTGCTATCTTTAAGCCTGGCTCTAGAACCTCCTGCGTTACTAGCACACAGGACCGAAAGGATCTTCTCCACAGAAGAGACAGAACCGTTCTAGAAGAACAGCTTGACGACGAATGGACGAGGAATTTCAACCCCCAAAAAGCACAATAATTATTGGCAATTTTCAAACTTAGTACTATTGTTGACAGATATTTCATCTCAAACATGGAAAATAAATCTGACCCCCCCCGCCCAGACTCTACCTCCGTTAGGTGACGGCGTCTGCACGCCGTCTCTGTTGCCGACGGCGAGCCCCCGTCGTCATCACTGAACATCAATTAATATCACACGGCCGGGCGTTGAACGCCCCCCGACGCTCCTTGACGGCGGACAGCTCACCGTAGCTTGCATATCTCGGCCACGGGTGGCCGTCCGTCGGCAGGTGGGGCCCGGGGGAATTGACGCCGGCGTCCTCATCCAAAGGATGCCCCCGCAAACCCGCAAGGACCACCACTACCAGATCCAACACCCACCGGAAGAATGAGATAAAAAAATTATAAAAATCGCCGTCACCCTTCTCTCCTTCCTACCCAAAGGGGGAGGAACCAGACGAGCAAAATGGAGCGCCGCCCTGATGCGACCCTCCCTGATTGAGGAAGGACGAGACGAAGTTCCCCCCCACCCTCTCTCTCTCTCTCATAAAAGGTCCCCTCGGCGTCTCTGGTCGCAAAGAAGGCTAAAGTCCTCTACAATTGCTACAGCGGCGCCATGGGGACGGAGGTCTTGATCCCCTACGATGTGCTCAGCAACCAGCGCCTGGGTTTCGACGCTTCACCGGCAGCGGCGGCGCTCTTCCCCCACAGGAAGCGGGCCACCGGCGGTGGCTCCAGCGCTAACCCTCGGCCGCGGCGGAAGCCGGATCAGAGGAAGCGAAGGGAGCCAGCTGTCGCGGCGGCGCCGCTCCGGCGGGGAGGTTCCCTCGACTCGAAGGTCGGGGGGAAGGAAGAGAAGAAGCCAGGAATCCTCTCGTCGGCGGGCGGCGGCGATCTGATGGTCTTCGGCACAGGGAGGCTGGGCCCGGAGCCCGCCGTCGTTCCGAGGCAGATCCGCCTGGTGGGCACGGCGGAGCACCGGCGGCGCGGGGAAACCTACGCCGGGCCGGCGTTCTCGGCGTCGCCGTCGCCGAGGGCCCTCCCCCTGCCGACGTTCCCCTCCAAGAAGCCGGACGCCGCCACCAGGGATCTGAGGCGGCTCCTCCGCCTGGATCAGTAACAGTAGCTAGAAACAGCCCTAAATTGATTAGATCAGTCTCTGGTTTCCCTCTCCTCCTCATCCTCATCCTCCTCCTCCAAGACCAGATCAATCCGTGGTATTTTTTCAAAGACGGAGAAGACTGATTTTCCTGGTGGACGGAGAGGACCAGGTGGGTCCGATTCCGGCGGCAGGTGGGTAGGTCTCCCTCTCTGCCCATTTCTCCGCCCAAAGTAGATGTAAAGTGACCTTGTTGTATTTATTTGTGTTCTACCGACCACTGGGTGGGTGTCTCCTGTATGAATCTCGTCTGCATGTTTAAGCTGTAATTCTCTCTAAGAGAGCTGTGACTATCTAAATTTTCCGACAAAGTTGTGATCTTTGGCGTTGGGTGTTCAACGTGCGGCGGACCAACCAAACCCAGTAGCTTGACTGTCCAACAGAGATCCCTAATATATATAGTAAGGGCATCCTCAGCAGGTAACTGGTGTCCTAAGAGCTCATCTGGTTAACCCATTTGATCAGGTCGGGAAAACTTGCCATATTCGCCAGAGGAAATCAAAGATGGCTTTCAATAAATACTTGACATACAAGCATATATACAATAATCGGTACATGCGTACAGGCATATATATGCATACGTATACATACATATAGGCACATATATATGCATGCCTATACATACATACAGGCATATATTGGTTCAGATGAAGAGAGATCGAACAGCACTGATTAGTAAGGGCCTGGTTCGCTTGGCCTGAACCCAGAATGGTTAATGATAGAGGTCGAGATGGTAACAGGTGGTGCCTTTTGTTTCTATGAATAGCTTATCTCTAACAGATATCATGATCCACTCCTCCTTGCCACAGAGACACAAAAACTTACGGATAATACGCGAATTTCTCTCATCCAATATGGGCTCCCCGGGAGCCTGCCGGATGTGGCATATATCTTTTGGACTTGGGGTTAAGATTTGATCAAGACAGAAAAATAATGTCAGGCATAGCCCAAATAAGAGTCAAAGAAGCACAGCCTCAAGCTGGAGACGATGGGAATCAATTCAATTTATGGGAATTCTTTCCACAGCTACTCGATAATCCCCTGTAATCACTCTCACCCCATCGCTTGCCAATAACCATCCATATTAAATATTGATGACATAGAAAACATTCAATGTAGACAACCCACTGAGTTGATTCAGGGGAGTTATAGCTAGTATTCACTTATAACACTCTGTCACGGAGAATATCTGGATCCTTTGATCCCCTCTTCCACAGGAAATCAAGGATTTATAATTTGTGTTGAAGTCGTGTTTAGAACACTGGCTGAATTTCTAAACTTAAGCAGACAAAAGTACACATGTCGAGCATCCTGGACTGCCGCATGAACATCCAGTTGAATGGAGGCTGTTATTGCTTATCCGGAAAATATTTTTTAATGAATGACAATTTCTAGAGAAAAAAAATCCTCTCGAGATTTATAGTCCCAGTTATTGCTCACTTCTACTTGATTTTGCGAGTTGGACAAGTAAAACTCGCTTCTTACTCATGGTTGATTGTTGGACTCGGACGTGGTGACAATACCACATGCTTATCCCTCAAGAATTCACAGATAAAAATCTGGATATTCTCATCATCCTATCCACATTCTGTAGAGAGTGGTATTGTTCGTATGCGCCTTCTGCCGCTTCCGAGCCCTTCCAGAAGGCGACGCCGTGAAGACAACTCCGACCTGTCCGCTGTACCAACACCGAGTCGGTTAACGGCGGATAAGCCTCATCCTCTACCCTCCCTTCCGGCCCCCAAACACTCCATCCTCCCATCTCTCCCCTTCTGGTCGCTACCTTCCCACCCCAGCCGATCAACTCCAATGACAGCATAATCAAACAAACACGGGAACAAATTAGACGAAGACGATGCACGATCAACTCCAATGATAGCATAATCAAACAAACACGGGAACAAGTTAGAAGAAGGCGAAGCGCGATCAACTACAATGACAGCATAATCAAACAAACACTGGACCAAATTAGAAGAAGACGATGCAAAGTGGAGCTACCTGGATCGTCCTCCTTTGGATCGGGCGGTGGCGCATCCCCCGCGCTCGAACTCCTCGCTCCTTCCCGGCGAGATCGAAACCCGCCAAGTCTGGACCTGCTGGCCACCACGGCCGCCTTCTCGGGGAAAGTAAACAACGGCAAGGCCCGTCTGGGCGGGAAAAGTCCGCTGGAGCGGTCCGCTGCTCCAAGGCACATCGTATCACGTCATCGCTTAGGCCGCCCCCAGTAAAGCTGCCAACTTTCGAGTCGCCATTATTGTTCGCTCCCCAGCGATCTAATACTCCAGCGATGAGTGCTTATTAGTCATAATAAAAATTTAAAAGGGTTTTTATATAAATATTTGCCACGCGTACGACAAAGCATTCCGTCTCAGTAATAGAGACCCACCGATCCGCCGGTGGGGAGGTCATCTACGTTGCCCCTACCAACACCACGTCTCTCCTCCCTCTCTCTCTCTCTCTCTCACACGAGCTGTACCAAGCTACCTTCTTCCTTTCTCTCTCTCTGTTCTGGTTCAGAAAATTTACACCGAATGGAAACAAAGTCGCCTTTTTTATATTTCTCGCCTTTTCTTGGAGAAGGAAGCTCAGCCTTGCTCTGCGTCCCCCACTCCCTATAAATACCGGGCCCCTCTCTCTCTACTCCGATCACCAGAAGCCATCTCCGGCTGTCCCTTCCCGTCGAACGGGAGGAAAGGAGGCTACTACCTAGAGAGAGACAGAGACAAACAGAGAAAGAGCGGTACACTTTCTTCTTCGCAGCGTAAAACTTCTCGCTAAGTTGAGAAGAGAGAGAGAGGATGATGGGTCTGCGGAGGACAGTTCAGAGCTTGCTGGGCCTTCCCGACGACCATGGCAGCAGATGCCGGCCGGCGATGGCGGCCGCCGGCGGAGGGGGGCTCCGGTGCGTGGCCGGAGAGCTTCCCAGGCCGCCGGCGAACGTGCTGGGGGCCGCCGCCGTGGGGCCGGGGCCCCAGGCGGCGCCCCAGCCGCAGCAGGAGCCGGCAGAGAAGATCGACGAAGGCACCCGCGGTCTGAGCTTCCTCTACTACCGTGGCAGCGGCGCCGGCGCCGGCGCCGCCTCCGTCGCCGGCAGCCTGGAGCTTTGCACTGAGAGCCTGGGTTTCGAGAGCTGCTGCGACGGGAAGATGGGCGTGGAGGAAGAGAAGACGGAGATGGAGATACGGCGGCGGATAGAGGAGACCAGTTGCAGGAAGGCGGCTAGGCCCTCGAAGAGGAGGACGGAGACGAGGGAGTTCCCTCCGCCGCTGCCGTGGCTCTCTGCTGGTGGCGGGAAAGGCTACCTGAAGGCCGTGAAGAAGGACGGCCGCCTGGTCCTGACAGAGGTTCGTCTCCGGCGGCCGGAGATACTCCGCGCCTCCCGCCACGGGGGCCGGCTGCGGTTGGAGCTCATTAAGCCGCCGGTGCCGGAGGAGGAGGAGACGACCGGAAAGGTGGCGGAAGAGGACTGGACGTTGCAGAGCCGCCGGCGACCGGCGGCGCCGCCGGGTGGGCAAATGCGCAGCGGCGGATTCGGGAGGAGGTGCCAGGAGGCGGTCCGGGAGGGGCTGATGCTGCCGCCGCCGCCCTTCTGGGGCGCCCCCCGGTTCGTGACGACGGCGTGACTCTCCCTCGCTGGCGGCGCCGCCACCATCCTATTAATTGATTGAACTGAAAAAATCCAGCCCAAAGTCCCCTCCTTCCATCGCCATCTTTCCTCCCTCCGAACCAGACACAGAGAATATTCATACTTGCGCAGCTCGGCATCTTATCCGGGTCACAGATATTTCGTCAACTTGTCCAAATCTTTCCTCATCCGGTGGGTCCCCGCCGCCGGCAGGTGATTACTAGTCGTTTCGGGCGGCGGGAATGGCTGAGCCACCGTGGCCGGCGGCGATCCCGCCGCCATGGGCGACCCAAGATTGAGTAATGGCGGATTAGTTTCAGAGCGGGACAAGACAGAAGTCTCTTAAGATGAAGGAATCTGGTGGGAATCTCCGGCGAGAGGGGAGAGACGACCAGACCTGACGTCATCCCCTACGCCGTTGCTACAGCCGCCTTTCTGTGCCGTCTACGAGGGAGAGACTAGGTTTGACTTGGGATGGTATATAGGCTTTCCTTCTATCATGCACTCTGAAAAATATTCTGTATAATACCCTATTAAAATTAGGATTTCCATGTGGATCCTCCATTTGGGAAGACATGGAACCAAAACTTTACTAGAGTTGGTAATAAGTCAACTATAAGACAAGCCGAAGGTCTGATCTCTCTCTCTCTCTCTCTCTCTCTCTCTCTTCACCTTCCTCCTGGATAGGTACAAATAGTGTCAAGTTGGGTTTGAAACGGGCCTCCACATGGTTCAGCTCATAATTAGGGTTTTTTTGGGCCTGGCCCGTTGATACCCTTGTCCTATGTCCTATATAAGTCCACCGTGAGAATTGCCTCGAGTCAACGCAGCCATTCTCAATTCAGCTTGAAGGGGCAAGTTAGAACAGCAAAGACAAAAGAAAATTGAGGGACTGAAATAAGAAAAAACCAAGATTTCTTCTTTTCTTGACTCAAGATCATCATAAAATTATCACTAACCTAGCGAGAGAGAGAGAGAGAGAGAGAGAGAGGGGGACAGATTAGCCACTCAACTAGAGTTATCATGAAATTGTCAGTATATAAAAAATTCATCTTTCCAAGTCATCAATCCCTCATGCACCAATCTAATCCCCCTCTAGAGAGAGAGAGAGAGAGAGAGAGAGAGAGAGAGAGAGAGAGAGATTCACCACTCTAGACTTGGGCAAGGATCTAAAATGAGAGGGAGTATAATAAAACTGGCAAGATTTTCTTCTTTCAACTCAAAGTTATCATAAAACTGTCGCTACTCTATCAAAAATTAATCTTTCCAAGTCATCAATCTCTCATTCACCAAAGTAATCCCTCTTCATGGAGAGAGAGAGAGAGAGAGAGAGAGAGAGAGAGAGAGATTCACCATTGAACTAGACTTGGGTGAGGATCTAACCCAAGTCACTGAACAGCTCAGACAAGCCATTGGTTGACCGGGTATTGTCGGCCTCAGCTGGCTCGAAGAAATCTCGGCCAGCATTCTCCCGACGGTTACGCCGGCTCTCAATGACCGACTCCATCGTCTCTGAGCAGCAGTTCCTCCTCATCTGCTTCGTTGGCTTCTCCGCCAAGGCGAACTTGTTGCCCTCCCTCCTCCTCTCTGGAAATCCTGCCCACACTGAGACCAAAGAACAGAGATCACATACACTGACTGAAGAATAGCTGTAGACGTTTAAAGCAGCAGGATTCACTAACTGATCCTTGTTTCTGATCCCCAATGAACTGTAAATACTAGATCGAGAAAAATCGATGGATGCATCAGGCATAACCGAAAGTGGAGCAAGTCAACCTGAGTCTCAAGCCAGCAAGGTCAAACCATTTCCACCGTTATTGTGATTGCTCCAAAATTATAAGTTTCGAACCCTAAATAAGTATAAGATATAAGAGATACAAGATCTTGGTAATCCATGAAGAGCTCACCTGGTTTACAGCCCGATATGTCCCTGCAGGTAATCAAAAAGCAATGGGAGAATTACATTTTTTCTAGTGAGTTTTTAATCTCTTGGTTGATCCCATGGGGCCATAAAATCCTGTACAGTTCTCTCACCAGATTAATCACATAAAAAAATATGAACTGGTTATTATCGAAGAAGATTTTCCCATGCAGATTGTAGATAACCCACAATTATCGACGATCCCAATGCTCGTTTCAAAAAGATTCTGCAGATCTTCTACTGGCCGAAAAAAATGTTTATGATTTTCTCCCTTCGAGACCAGTGATTTCATTGGATTAGGGCTTAAAGATGAGAAAATTTTTCTGCAGATTACTCCACGAGCAATGTCCCTAACCAGATGAAATTTGCATGATAGCGTGATCCACAAAGACCATCCATGATCTCACCTCCAAAGTGGTGAAGAACGATGGAAGCTGCCACCGTAACGTTCAGAGACGCGGTGCCGCCGCCATACTGCGGGATGTAAACGAAGAAGTCGCAGATCTCGCACTCTTTAGCGGAGAGGCCCATCCCCTGAAGATTCAAAGGAAGGGTGAATCGCATCGCAGTCTCCGGATTGCTTCATTCAAAGAATTCGAATAGAGATGCTGCCGATCGACCAAGATGGGGAAGAGGCAGACCTCATTGCCGAGCAGGAAGGCGGTGCTCTTCCTGAAGGGGTGCTGGCTGACGGAGATGGCGCCGTCCGTAATTTCCACCCCGCAGATGTCGCAGTCCCTCTCCTCCTGCCGACGGGGGAGGGACAGAGAAGAAAAACGCAGAGAGAGGTCAGCAAAACCCTAGGAGAAGGAGTGGAAGTGACGTGTGGGAGGGAAGAGGAGAGAGAGGGCGGCGGAGAGCGGAGGATGCCTTGAGGTAGAGGTGGGCCTGGGACAGGGAATGGAAGTGGCGGAAACGCAGGTGAGAGGTGGAGCCATGGCTACCGAAGGCGTTGAAGTCGCGACGGCCGACGAGCACAATCTCCGCCACGCCGAAAGCGGTGGCGCTGCGGGCCATCGTCCCTATGTTGTGCCTCTTCGCCACGTTGTGCACCAACACCAGGCTCTCCAGCCGCTCCGCCTCCGCCGCCGCCATGGCGTGACCGGAGGATAGAGGGTTCGAACGGCGACGGCGACGGCGACGGCGAGGCGACGGCCACCTGAAAAACCGAAAGACAGAAAATCTAGTCCTAGAGGGAATTCTCACCCTCCGCGCCCGTTTGGCCCTCGGAACTTTACATTCCAGAATTTAATTGCTTCACTAAAAACTCCGGGTTTAATTTTTTTTAAAGTAAGTATATAATCAAAATTACTTATATGTTATTATATTTCAGCTTTGTATGAACCCTAAGTTGCCGGAGGGAGGGAGCCTCACGCAAATAAGGAAAATAAAAACCAAAAAATAATCATATTGCCGTGAAATAGTCTAGCCTTATACAAGACTTACATCTTAAAGGGGTATAGTATAGTCCAGACTAAATAGAATTATAATATCATAAAATATATAAATACAATATATATATATTAACATTACTCCTTATGTTGGTGAATGGATATCATTTATTCCTAACTTAGAACTAGGTATCTGAAATATAAAATTGCTTAGTCCCTTGGTATGCAAGTTTGTCCATTGATCATGTGAAGATTGGTAAGGTGTACATATTAGATCAATTTTCAATTTATTATTGATGAAATGTAAATCTCTTTTTCAAGTTATTATGTAAGGTGTATAATTATGATATATTAAATTATAATTTATACTGATTTATGGTTATATTAAAACTTAATGGAGTCCAACCTAAATAGAATGATAATGTCATAAAAGATATAAATACAAAATAATGAAAAAAGATGTAATATCCTTCAATGCTACTCCTCAAGTTTGTGAATTGGATAGCATTCATTCCTAGCTTAGAAGCAAGTCTCTGAAATATAAAATTACTCAAGCCCTAGGTTAGTAGATCTGCCCATTGATCATGTGAAGATATGTAAGGTTTACATATAAGATAATTTTTCAATCTATTCTTGAATAAATGTCAATCTATTCTATTTTTCAATTTATCATGCAAGGTGTACAATTATGATGCATTAAATTATGAGTTAAATTGATAGTTGATCTGTTGTCATTCATTTAATCTTTAAATATTTTCAAATGTCATTTATTCATAACATTTCACATATATATTGTATAATCACTCTAAAAATTCAGACTCAATACTTGATCTTACTACCACCTACTACCTCTTACTCTTCTAACCACATTGCCACCTAGAAAAGTACAATAATTAAAAGCATTTTGTTGATAATTAAATCTTACATAATCACCATTTATTTAGATTTCAAGACATATTTTTACCATTCAAGAATAAATTTTATCTCCATATCATGTATTTAATATAGTTAATACTCAATGTGCATATCACCTAGACAACATACATCTATCATATTTCATTAAGGTAAAATCAAAATATTTTTTGCATATGAATTAACATAAAATATGGTAAAAAGTGGATTGAAAGCCTTAATTTTGTAGTTTACCTATCACCAACACAACAGATTAAGAAGAAACAAAAATAAAAAATAATCATATGCATAAGTGCTTACCATCAGTCTACTCATCTTTACATACCACTCATAGAAAGCTTCACCCTAAAAGCTTTCAAATTCCTCTAATCTTCTACTCTTTATCATCCATAAAATTTTCCTTTTGTCTTAGAGCTTCCTTCCAATTTTCATGTAATAATATCTCAACAATTGTCATGAAATTTGAAATTATGTTTGTCTATTTCACCCACCAAAAATAGATTGCAAAAATTATGCGTATGTACTATTGTTGATGACATGGTCTAAATTGTTGTCCTCTTCCTTATTTGTCTAAGGTTGACATAACTCATAAAACCTTGAAACATCCTCTTGCTGACATGGCCCTAAACTACTTTTATTTTCAATTATTCTCTTAATTTCTATATTTATAAAAATGGCCTCAAAATATCCTCATATATTTATTTAAATTTTTAAAAATATATATTTTACAACTTTAACTTCATGATTAATTTCTTATCAATTGTAAGATGATTCCCAATATTTTTAAAACTTAGATATTCATGTGAGCATATAGATTAAAATTAGAAATATATTCATATGCCATAAATCATAAAAGTTATCGAATTAAACATAAATTCATCACATCATTCTAAAATAAGTATTTACATTTTTAACTCAAATAACTCTTAATTTTATATTAATTAATGTGATAAAGTATTATCATTAATTTATTTTTATTGTATGACACAAATGTGTCTTTTTTCATTCAAGCTTTCATGTCTACTCCATACTACTATTATGACTATCGTCTTTTTACTTTGCTCTCTTTCTAGTATTAGGTAGTGATGTGGGATAGAGGACAAAAATTAAAATTAAGATCTAGCCAAAAAAATTCAAGTAAAAATCTAGAAGAATTAATGGGGGAGAAGAATGGCCTCCACTTCTTTCTTGGCCTACAACTGTTGGTGCGGGCTGAAGTACAATGGAGAGGCTTCCAAAACCTCAAAATGACATACATGGTAGTCAAGTTGTTGGTAGACTACTGTCAAACCCTATGTTTGAGATAGGCAACAGCTATGCCAACCAATAATAACTATGGCCATGGTGGTAGCAACAAGAGAGGTAGAGCAAGAGGAAGAGGAAGAGGATGTAATGGGAACCAAACCCTTACCCTCCTGGTGCCACTGCGCCCAACATAGGTGACTCCACGACTCTACAAAATAGGATGTTTCAATTACAAAGGGCCTCATCAATAATGATATTGCTCAAATAGATAGAACAACAAGCAACCTTAGTTTAATGATATGGTGGAGCAACAATCCTAAACTCTGAAAGAAGAAAAATGAGAAGTGGACGAGATGAAAATCAATAGTTTTCAACTCTAGAGTTTGATTTATGCTTCAGTCACTGATCATAGCATTTTGACATATCTTCTTAACAATCATTCAAATGTGTCTTTATAGAGATCTTGATTTCAAATCTCACCCATACCTTACTTGTTATGATATTCAAACATTTTAGCCACTATTTTTTTTCTATATTTATTTAGCTTATATCTTAAGTTCAAATTTCACATCTGACCATATGTCTTTGATGTTTCAGATATATTTTCATTAATAGTTCTATCTTCATAATGCATAGTTACATGTAAAACTTTTTCACATGTATTGACACATATTTCTTTACATTATTATTCTCATAGTACTACGTTGTATTATTTCTAACATAAATAATATTTTAAGGGTGTAACTAATTAGATTCATTATTAACCATATGATTATGTCAAATATCATAAATATATATTTTGAATGTTCCTTAAAGGTATTTAACTTGCAATGTAAATTATCATGATATTTATTAATATTTTAACAAATATTTATAAGTAAATATTCTAATGTGAATGTTGAATTCAAGGGCATCAATAGGTTGTATGCCTATATTTATGACATATTTTATGAGAATAAAATTATTTAAGTAAGAAGGGTCAATCTTCTATATTATTTTATGATTACACAAACATATTAAATCAATGATCTTGTAAAATTAATAACAAATTATTGTTATGATCATTTTATCTGAAAATTATCTCATTTGACTCATCTTTCAATTACCTTTGTATTTAAAATATGTTTGTATTAGTAAAACAATTTGAACTAGAAAATATAAATATTAAGATTTTCAAATAAGATTATAACATATTCACCTCATGTAAATTTTTGGTACTTTTAAACCTACATTGTATATTCCTAACAAGAAAGTGAAATAAAATAGGAAATTTGTTCTTTTTTTACTTTTACTTATTTGTTGAAAATGTCTTTGATGTATGTATTAGTAATCTATACTCTTTAATCTCACATGGTACATCAATATTTAAAATAAATTTACATATCATATTATGAATTTCAGAATTTCATATTAATGTCTAAAAATTATCAAAACCATAACTATTTTAATCCATAAATAAAAAAATTATTTCTATGAATAATTATCACTAAGACCATAACATTCTTTCATTGAGACTCTTTATATTTGGAAAATATTTTAAAAAATTAATTATATTTAAGCAAGATAATTATTCAATCTCATCAATTTAATGATTTTGGATTAAATTGATCTCTTTATAAATATATTTTTAAATCATCAAATTATTATTAAGTTAACCCATATACACAATTTTCATTTATGATACCTTATCAAATAGCATAAAGGTCACTAGAAAAATAGTTTTGCAACTTAAGTTGTTTACTAAGTTTTAAGAAGATTAAAGGTTTTTGAAAAATTTTGAGCCATGATAGATATTTTTTCAAAGTTTTTAATTTATCAATCTCACATACCTATTTCACTTATTGTGATTTATGAACCCTATATAATGTTCACTTTCTTATTCCTTAAGCATAAGTCATATGTGAAAAAGTAATATGATATATGGGCCATATAAATGGTGACATGGAAATTATATATCCAACAAGTTAAGAAAGAATTAAAAGAGATTTAATTTAATAGGAATGAAACACACTATAATGAGCTAATAGGCTTGAAGCTATTGCAAATTTTATCTTTTTGATCTCTTCTTTGAACTTTCTACATGAATTTTGTAGAGTTGTTGAATAAAGTTCTTAGCTAACTCCTTGATGTTTAAATAAGTTTGACTAGTAAGTTGAGATTTTTCTCACTACTAATAATATTTTTGGATGAGCCATGACTTCTTATAATAACCGCACCATACATTATCTCTAGGGTCAATCTTCTTGGTTTAATCTTAATCAGGTTATGTTTGAGAAATTTTACTATCTTTATATTTATGTATAAATATCTAATTTATCTATGTCATGTGGTTTCAACATAAGGGTCCTACTCTCTTCATACCTTACCAAAGTGATTACTTTCTCTAAATGTGTTATTCTCTCACAACAAAATATTTAACTTCTCATTTAGTCAAATTCTTAGATAAGATCAACTTTAAATTTCTAAATTCCATTTCTCTATATATAATTCTTGAATGTGATTATTTCTTCTAAATTTGTTATTTTTATTAATTTATGGTGATTAATTTCATTTTTTAATTTATTGATATAGCACATGACTTTGTTTCTTCTTACCATAATCATAGCCTTAACCACTACTTTGTTTCATTATGTTTTTTAGAATGTTTTATTAACTTTCTATCAAATTTCCTTGATCATAGAAATAAATAAAAAAATCTCACTAATTTTGGGAGTCATTGTGTTCCACAACCATATTTTAATAATAACCTCCTCTTATTTGTGCATATAGTATTGATAATCTATAAAATCATATAGAAGGTTAAGTAAATAATTTAATTTATCTCTCCTTCTTAAAATAATTTCTACTTATTCACATAATTGAAACAAATTTATGCCATCTAATTTGAACTATGTATAAACATTTAGTCATTTAAAGTATAATATGGACTGATCTACTATTGAGTGTCTCTAGATAGAACCCATGTCTATGATCTTAGAGATAAGATATATCTTTAATGTATTTCTTTCTCTATTCAATGTCAAATTTTCTCCTTTTTTTATTGCACTCTGAAGAATGAAAAAACATCAAATAGGTCTCATTATTATCTCTTAATTTAATTAAAAGAGAAGGAATAAATAGGTTATGACACCTCTAACAAATTTTTTAGAGGTTGAAATAAGATTAGCAACTATCAAAGAGTGTCTCCTATGTCTCATGGATGGAAATAACAAATATGGCCCATTGGCAAAACAAACATGAACATTTGCCTATGGATCAAGGTGAAATCCAATTGGCATGCCCATTCTATGTATTTATTAGTTATATTTACATGTGCTTATTAAATGAGCTAAATATTTATTCATGCATTTTTATTTTCACTATGCTATTTCACTTTTTCTCATCAATTGAATAAGATTTTAGCCTATCTCCCCTATTTTCTTGCAATCCTAATTCGGATCTACTTCAGACTGATTGAATGACATTTATGGAGCGAATTTTAATGTTGGAAAAAATGATTTGTAAATTGTTCTTGTGCTGGAATGGATTTCTAAGTCTATTTCCTCTAATTTTATATTATATATTGAACCAAAAAAAATAGGTGAACGGTTCTAGCAGAAGTGATGATTTGGGATGTATCGAATTTAAAATTAATTAAATATATTTTAATATTATTTAACAAAAAAATCCCTGTTAAATTAGAAATAAACGGGGCAACCACCTGGTTTTTAATTGATGCGTCTAAAAATTTCCTTCAAATTTTTTATTAGCCTTTAATTGCTTCCCACCTAGGCGTCACGGGCCCCGAGAAAGGCGTTTAATCTGACCGCGGATCAGGCGACCGCCTACCCCCACCTATCCCCGGCAAATTAGTCTGAGAAAAGCGCACTAGCGGCGGCCGTACCTCAAAGAAGACGACAACTCTCTCTCTTTTGAATCCTTCCGTCTCTGGAACTCGCACTCGCTGTCTAGAGCTCCCTCGCTCTCTCTCTCTCTCTCTAGAACTCGCATTGATGGCGTCCATCCTAAAGGGTTGTAAATCGACAGGACCCTTGTCCTCTTCCTGTCCTCCTTTCTCTCTCCGGATCCTCCCCCTCCACTCTCTTCCCGCTCCTTCCTCGTCTTCCCCCCCTTGTGGTCCCCTCCGAGCGTGCACGTACTGCCTCCTTTCGGTCCCCTGTTCCTCCCTCCCTCCCCTGTTCTCTCAGACCTCGAATCCCTAGGTCGATTAAAGTCTCAGACAGAGACAGACACAGAGCTCTAGAGAGAGAACGAGCGAGTTCTAGCTAGAGAGAGAGAGAGAGAGGGAGGGAGGGAGGGAGGGAGAGAGAGGAGGCTTGATGCTGGATCCCACGTTTTCCGGTTGTTGATCTTCTCTAGGGTTTATTTTATTCTGTTTCTGGTTCGTTCGTTGTTCTTCTGCAACTCCAGTGAACCGGCGGGGGGGGGGTTTCCGCCATTCTGCGATTATCTCGGCGGAGAGATTCTTGCCATCGCGTGGGAAAAGGATGTTGTTCCTTCTCCCGGATGTCCGTCTTCCTCCTCCGCTGTCCAAGGAATCTCCCCCGCCATAACCTCCTCTCTGGATCGTTTCATCAGATCTCCGCAGGTTCTCCGATCTATCGCCATGGGATGCGTCCACGGGAAATGCTGCTGCAGATGCGTCGACGAGTGCTGCTCCGACGACGACGGCGGGGACGACGAGGGAGGCAGACGGAGCTCCGGCCACGACGCGCGGCGCCGCCACGTACTCACGCAGAGCGACGTGGGATCCGCCCCCGTCACCTCCCACGGCCTCCTCCTCGAGTACTCCTCCCTCACGCAGCGCGGCCACTACCCGGACTCCCCGGAGAGGGAGAACCAGGACAGCTTCGTCATCAAGACGCAGCTCCAGGGAAACCCTAACCTGCACTTCTTCGCCGTCTTCGATGGCCACGGCCAGTTCGGCGCCCAGTGCTCCGGCTTCCTCAGGGCGAAGCTCGTGGACATCCTCTCCGACGACTCCCGCTTGCTCGAGGACCCCGCGAAGGCGTACGGCGCCGCCTTCCGTGCCGCCAACGCGGAGCTCCGCGAGAGCGAGATCGACGACTCCATGAGCGGGACGACGGGGATCGCCGTCCTGGTCGCCGGCGATGCGCTCTTCGTCGCCAATGTGGGCGACTCCCGCGCGGTGGCGGGGATCTGGAACGGGGACTCTGTCGTGGCGGAGGATCTCTCCTCCGATCAGACGCCGTTCCGGAAGGACGAGTACCAGAGAGTGAAGCTCTGCGGGGCTAGGGTTCTCACCGTGGACCAGGTGGAGGGAATCAAGGACCCCAGCATCCAGAGCTGGGGTGAGGCGGACGACGACGACGAGGGGGATCCTCCCAGGCTGTGGGTGCAGGACGGGATGTACCCCGGCACGGCGTTCACCAGGAGCGTGGGTGACGCCATTGCAGAGAAGATCGGCGTGACGGCAGAACCAGAGGTCCTGGCGGCGAAGATAACCCCGGATCATATGTTCTTTGTCGTCGCCAGCGATGGGGTCTTCGAATTCCTGTCGAGCCAAGCCGTGGTGAACATGGTGAGTGAGCTGCCATCTCCGCCCCCCTCCCCCGCTCCCCAATCCACCCTCTGAGCTCCTCCATGAGTTTTCATCAAACTTCAAACCCTAAATTCTTCATTCTCATGTGAGCCTAGGTGGCCAAGTTTGCAGATCCCAGGGATGCGTGCGCAGCCATCGCCGCAGAGTCCTACAGGTTATGGTTGGATCATGAAAGGCGGACAGATGACATGACAATCATCGTCGTGCATATCAAGGACATGTGTGATGGATGTATGAGCCAGGCAGGCATTCTTACCTACTCTCATTCGACTAAGTATCGCATTATCACCACTGGACTTGATCAGCCAGGTGGAAGCACAGCTGAGGATGAAGAGGGGAGGACCACTTCCAAGGTGTCGCTAAAGACGGCAGAGAGAACAGATGAGAGGAATGGTGTTCATGGTTCTCATCATTCACTACGTAGAACGTCTTCATGAATAATATGATTACTGCATTGGGGACCATCAATATGATTTTGTTCTATTTTTGTTAAAAAAAAAGGGGGGGAAACTCAGCTTTACTCTCTATGACATGCTTGTGATATTGTAGTGTGAAGATTAAGGAGCTCTGGTAGACATCTCTCCAATGTGGCAACGATGCAAAATAGATGCATGTATGTATCCCTTATATATCACCTTATTCATCACCATGAAGCAAGCTTATAAACTTATAGTGATGTGCAGAGATGTGAAGAATCTTATTTTACTGACGCAGACTTGCTGTCTGCATAAAAAAAGCTGCCAATTTAGGCATTTCTTAACTGAATGTGATGAACTTTTCAGAGGAATAATGGAGTGTATTTTTTAACTGCCAATTCAGAGAAATGTTAAAAAAATAGTATTTCCCATCAGTGCTCATTCAGAGGAAGAAGATAGAAAAAAATCAGTTTAGTCCATGAAGAGGGCAGATTGAGAGATATCAGTCATATTTTTTTACAAGATTAATGTGATTAAATGTTGTATCTGCTGTAAATGGTGTCCTAAATTCGGTAAAATTTATGTTTAGGTGAACTAGCTTGCTTCAATAGAGAAGGGGTGTGTAGTTGGGAGAGGGCCTCAGGCATGGACTTCTGGGCCAGACTCACGCTCATAGCATGAATTGGGCCTATTTTACCGGGCCATGGAGACAAAACACCTTGCAGTGTGTCTGTTAGTGGGGAATGTAATCACATCAAGGGATACAAAAACAATTATTGTCACCTTAAATCAATGGAAGCTTCTTTGTATGACCAAGCAAAGTGAGAAGCCCAGTAAGAAAAATATTTCGAACATTTTCAAAATTAAGAATCAGTTAAAAATGGAGATGGAACTTGAACCGTGGATCTCTTTGTTAGTTAATCGTAGCCCGGAAAGAAAATCAAGCATTGCTGGCATAACAGGGGATGATGCAGGATCAGTCACTTACAAAGTCCATGCCCCATCATTAGTGATTAAAATACTCTTCATTGCTCCTTAGAACGCTTGGTGCTCCTTGCGTGACACGCCTTTAAAGCTTGAACTTCTGTGAGAACACCATGTTAGTAATGAGAAGGAGAAGAAATGAATGAAAAACAACATTCGAGATATGTTTTCAGTAACCAGGTATTCTTTCCATCTTTGACGAACCATCATCATGACAGTTTCAGTAAAAGATAATGAACGGAACAGGTTTCCTCCACTGGAAAAAAAATGATAACTGTGTCTGAACTGACTATGTTCCTCGTAGGTCAAAACAGTTTGTCAGCTATCAGATGTTTTTTTCCATCTTTGGTGAAAAATTGACAAGAAACTATGCAAAAACGACTCCACTTAATGACATCTTCAGCAAAAGATAATCAGCAGAAAAATATGCTTCCTTTACTGGAAATGACGATGAATATGTCTAAATATGTTTCTCATAAGGTCATACTATTATGATTACGCGACTGACTGAAGTGATTTATTAGGAAAAAAACGAATAACAACCTGATGATTTGAAAAAAAATCGGAAAAGGGTTATGTCATGTATGGAGCCTGGACCATTTATATAGCAAAATCATCATTCTATGCGTTGACTGACGGTTTTGTAAATCAGGAGCAGATATAGGATCTAGGACTATCGAAGCAAAATACTCCCATTCCTGCAATTCTCCAATATGGTTGGGTACCCAAGAAATTTTTTGAAGTTAAGCACATTGCTGCTTTGTTGGTTATTCAGTACCCACGAATTTATAGCTTCATAGGTTAACGTTAAGCATACTGCTCAGCAAATTGATGATAATTTCTACCTCCTTGTTTATTTAAGAAAATAAATAAACAAGATGAAGATTTATGTTAAAAACTGTTCGGCTTCACCTTCAACGAAAAAATTGTGTTCTGGAAAATATTAATTGGTATTAATCGCAGTTTTCTATATCACGTAAGTTAAATATAAGTTGTGGACTAAAAAACAGTTCACTGGCAAAACCTTGTGCCTAATTGAAAAGGAAACGAGCAGGAACTGCAAGAAATCCCTACAGGAAATTAACTTCCCTCCTCCCCTCCCTATCCGATTAAGAATGGACACCATTGATGGGGATCGGATCGTACCATTTGGAATCACAGAAAACTCGTAAACTCTACCAAGGTTTCAATAACTGATCGCTACGAGCGCCCCGCCACCCCCCCCCCCCCCCTTTCACGCGTCGACTTGAAAGAAGCCGAAGATTGTCGGAATCAGAAAGGCAAACGATCTACACAATTGATAACAACTTTTACAGATCAAAACAGACTGAGATCAAAACGCATCCGGAGCAGGTGAAGGCGCGAAATACCTGGTTGGCAGGATCTCCAGTCCCTATTCGTCCGTATCAGGCATTCCTGCAAAAGCACCGACAGGAGGATGCGTAGACCCTTTGATAATCGAGCACAAACAAGGCACACAGAAGCGAGAAGGAGGAATGGATCGGAGACGAAATTACCTGAAGGGCCAGGTACACGGCCGAGCAATCCCCGAGCTGCCTGACGTTCTCGTCGTCCTCGTCCGCGTCTCTCTGGTGAGCAGGTGGAGGAATGGAAGAGGGAGCAGAAGGGGACGGCGTCGTCTTGGTCGCAGTCACCGCTGCCTCCGTCCTCGGCGTATAATCCATCGCCCATGAGAGAACACCCCGAGGTATAACAGATTCACGACTGACCTTATTTATGTTGATTATATTTACTTAAGACCCTATCTATTTTATAATTTTACATATATCAGACCTATTTTAAGTATATCCAAATATGTTCACGCCTATTTACCATTTGTGCCCCTAATATAAACCTATAACTGGGTATTTTCGTCTTTGTATATATCACAGGGATCGGTATTCGGCCCCAACTCGGATCGGGGACCGCCGATCCCGACCCGAATCGGACGATTCGCCGAGTCTTGCTCGACAGAAACCCTGAAAGTGCCGCTCTCTGTATCTCCGTTCCTCTCGCCACGTTCATCCTTCCGACGCCCTAGCGGCGCCATTCTCTGCCCTCTATCAGGTACACTGTTTCGCTCGCCTTCGCTATGTGGGCACGATGGTACCTTCAAAAATGAGTTTTTTTTCCTCTTTCAAACCGCGATCGCATTGCCCTCGTTGTATTACTTGACACCCAATTTGGGTTTTTTTTTTTTTTCCCGTTAACCCTAAGAGCAGCCTGGAATTACTGGTTGCAGGGTTTCCCACCTTCCAGGACCAGTTTCAGGTGGCTTGTGGGTGGAGCAATGCTATATATAATTGGACTGGGGCTGGGTGACGAGAAGGACATCACCTTGAGAGGGCTTGAAGCCGTCAGATCATGCCACAAGGTCTACGTTGAGGCATACACTTCTCTCCTGTCCTTTGGCGTATCCTCTGATGGTCTCTCCAAACTGGTAAGAACAGCTCGTGTGAACTGTTCTTGCTTGGCTTTCATGGAGGAAACAGAAGAAGATAGGTTGCTAATGGCTGCCTCTGGTTCCGCAGGAGAAACTGTATGGCAAGGCAGTCACGGTTGCCGATCGAGAAATGGTGGAGGAGAAGGCAGATGCTATCCTCTCAGAAGCTGTGGAATCCGATGTGGGATTCCTCGTCGTAGGCGATCCTTTTGGGTACAATTTTTATGCCATTTATTTCCCCATCTATATGCTATTATTCTTCATCACGGCTTTATCTTCATGTTTATGTTTCTATTCCAGTCTTAACGCTTTGATAACTTGGATTTAATTGTGTCAAGGTATGAGATATTTCTGCGAGATGGTTCTTGGGGATTGAGGAAAAAAAAACCATATTTAGCTATATTCATACCCTTTTAAGCATATCTATGCTTAAAAGGGTATGTCGCCAACTGAAGCATAAGATCTTACTCTGCTAGAGAGAGAGAGAGGTTATGATGTTATTAGATGCATTCTTGGGACTGTCTCATTGATTACTCCCATGAAGAGTATGACCCGCTATCAAGTTCACATTCATTAGAATGAGAGTCCCACACTGGACAAAAGAGATGATATAATGCGGTGACCCTGTTTCGTTTGCTTAGGTGATGAAAACCAGAAAGCATCGACTCGTTGACTTTGAGCTAAATGCCCTAATATTCTGAAATTTTTGGGGTTTTTTTTGTTTGAATTATTGCTCCCGTATGCTTTCCATGCACATTACAGAGCAACAACACACACCGATTTGGTCATTCGAGCGAAGAAATTGGGGGTGCAAGTTCAGGTGATCCACAATGCATCTGTGATGAATGCCGTCGGTGTGTGTGGCTTGCAGCTCTACCGGTTCGGCGAGACGGTCTCTATACCGTTCTTCACGGAATCATGGAGACCAGACAGTTTCTACGAGAAGATTCAGAAGAATCGGCAGCTTGGGCTGCACACTCTCTGCCTGCTAGGTTTGTCTCTCCGTTGACTTTTTTTTATGAGCCCTCATCAGGGTGTGTAATCAAGTCATGCAGACATTTTTTCAATTATTCCTGATCCTCATATACACCTGCATTCTAAATATAATCAATTGCCTTGATTTCTTTTTTTTTTAATGCTAAGGTCAGCTCTTTAAGAGCTACATTTTTAGTATGATCATGCGCAAGTAAAACCCCAGGAAGGATATAAATGGAACCTTGCCGTATTTAATGCATCTGAATTGACTAACTGCAGATATACAAGTCAAAGAACCCTCTTTGGAGCATCTTTGCAGGTATGCTCTACACAGACTGAAACCCACTGCTTGCTTTCTCTTACCCTATGGCTGCCCATCTTCCTCTCTCTCTCTCTCTCTCTTCAACACACACACACACGATACATAGAAGCTGGAGGTGGGTAGGCTTACCTTCTCTCTGTCACTTTCCTTCCGTCTGTCCAGGGGAAAGAAAGTCTACCTTCCTCCAAGATTCATGACCGTCAACACTGCACTCCATCAGCTACTGGAAGTCGAGCAAGTCCGGGCCGAACAAGGTACACATTTGCATTTAATTATTCATTAATTAAATAATTTAGACATCATCCACATCATGATCATCACTCTCCTTGGTCTCGGCTTCTGAAACTAACAGCTTACTCTGAGGAATCAAAATGCGTCGGCATCGCCCGCCTCGGGAGCGTCGACCAGATGGTCGTCGCCGGCTCCATAAAGGATCTCCTTGGCGTTGACTTTGGCCCGCCGCTCCACTGCCTGATCATCGTTGGCCACACCCACGACTTGGAGGACGAGATGCTGCAGCTCTACGCCCTCAGGCCGCTTTAAGATCTGAATTGGGTATATTTACTTGTTCCCGGCGGATTGAAAACCAGGGAGATCTTTTTGTGGGTTCAAGCCTCCAGCTAGCAGTTGACCCATTGATTCGTTTGGTTGATAAGTGCTTTGTGGGTAGACTGAGAGAGAGAAAGAGAGAGAGAAGCTTGTTTGAGATCTGAATTGGGCGATCTTTACTTGTTTCCAGTGGATTTTTTATAGAAGATTAGGGAGATCTTTCTGTGGGTTAAAGCCTCCAGCTAGCGGTTGACCCGTCGATTAGTGTGGTTGAGAAGTGCTTTGTGGGTAGAGAGAGAGAGAGAGAGAGAGGCTTGAAACGGCTTAACGTCATTGCGTACATGCACACGAATTATTTTACTTCCGGCCCGCCCAGTTTTTACCAATGGCGGAAGATATTACATTTTCGCACGTGTGGGCATTCGCCAACGGCTATTTACCGCACGTGCTGAAAACGGGTGGCCCGGGGAGAGGCGGTCTCTCGCCGGCAGCTCGGTAACGGAAGCTACGACGGCGAACGCCGCCCCACAACGGTTCCAGCCACCGGCGCCGCCACATCTCACCGGCGGCGTCTTTATTTCTTGGGGATGGGACGGGGATCGCTTGGTCTCGCGGCTTCTGCTAGCTGGCGCCCGATTGAGGGGTTCTTCCAAGGCCCTTCCTCGCGCGGTTGGAGCGCCGCCGCCGGTGGCGGCGAGTGTGGACGCGGCGGCTCTGCTATGCCTTTTGGGAGGAGGAGGAGGATTGGAGTCATTGGTACTGGTAAGAATTCCAGGATGGGGAGATGGCCGGCGGTAAACTGCGGTGGCGGCAGCCGCGGCACGCCGGGAGCGGGGAAGGAGAGTTGGGTCTTGTCAGATGACGCAACTCCGTATCAAATATTAGGAGTTGACCCGTCCTGCTCCCCTTCAGAGCTTAAAACTGCGTTTCGATCTCGGGTAATCGATCTTGCCTCTCTCTCGCTCGCTAGCTCATTTCCTCTGTAAGCGCCTGCTTCTCATGCCATTCTCACGATTGGTGAATGGATTTCTAATTTACATGGACCAGCTGTTTCGTTAGGGGAATCATTGGCGATCGAGGACGTCTATCATACATAATCTGCGATGTTATGGTGGAAATAATCCTAGAATCTTGAGAAAAGAAAACACATTAGCTGAAGTTTTTCTATCTTCTTGGGCTTGTTTTGTTGTTCTCACTGAATCAATCCTCGCAATATGTTTCAGGTCAAAGAGTTTCACCCGGATGTCTGCAAAGATATTAGATACTCTGATACAATGATTCGCCGCGTCATCCAAGCTTACGAGGTAGGGTAATCGACATATATTGGTGTCTGCGTGGTTTCCTTCTGTTCTTTTCCTTATGAAAAAGCAGCTAACAGTTCTAAGTTAATTTATTTTTTTACCAAGAATCATGCCGCCCATTAATGTCAAAGTGACAATATCTGCGACTTTTGTCTAGAATTAACACATTATGATGCAATATATTCATAAGGATAGTTCTTAAGATAAAAGTAGGAAAAATCAGGAAAACATTTCTCAGTGATGTGGGAACCCTGACTTTAGGACAATAACATCGATGCCGACTCTCTTCATCATGCTTATAGATCTTGGCGTCAGAAAATCCATGTGCTAGAACACATACCCATGAATTTTCTTCTCCTAGTTTCCTTTTCGTGCATAAAATATTAATTAAGCTCTAGTTTGCCTGGTTATTTCTGGTATTGATCATACGAGAACTGTGCATCTGTTATGCCTGCAGATGTTATCCAAGTACCACAAATTCGAGGACATCGAAGGGTAATCTGTTGCCTGTCTCTGTTAAAGTTTTTGGAAAAGTTTTGCTGCATGCCAGCCTTTTTAAAAATGATCTCTATTGAGAATCGGTTCATAATGTCCTATAACTCTTATGATTATTCTTTCCATACTTGAATAATTCATTGTTCACGATTGAACCCTGATGTATTTCTGTGATCTTGTAGTAATTATAGAGAGTGTGGCTAGTGTCTTGCGTCTAATTTCATTCTGTTCACCCAAAACCCATAATGGTGTTTTATGTATTAATTGATTCATCCTCTCATTTTTCATAAAAAAGAAATCAATATCCGCCATTAAGAACTTTATTCAACAAGAGTTTCTCCTCCGTGCATCTGAGCTGCACCCATCTCCTGTTTTCACGCGCACCACAGAAACCAAATATGATAATGGCGTTGTTCTAATGGCGTATAGTTTTTGGGTACCGTATAGTTTTCTGTATTAAGGATCGTAAATATTTCTATAATAGGTATTTACAATGTGACTTTTGTGATGCGATTATTACTATTTTAATATTCATTGAGAGAACATGGGATTCAAGCAACATACTAATATGCTTAACGGACAGGAAAAATAGTTTCACAAAGAATGAGATTGCTAGGGACTTTCTTCAGAGAAGACCGCACTTTTTCCAACGTCAACGCTTCCAGAAGCTAGTCAAAGATCATTCTGTTCGTAGATTGATCAAACGAGATTTATCATATGCACACTCAACAGAGTTAAATTAGTTCTGCCAGTGAAAAATATAATGTTCAATTAATAAGTTGGTGTAAAGAGATTCAACTGACTTCATAAAGAACTATCGTTACAAAATCGTGCAAAGAGAAAGCTTGTGTGATGTTGCAGTACTCTGTCATTCCACCTTTGAATTTAGAGAGATATGGCATTTGAAGATGATCTATGGTCACGTTAGAAGGTGCTAAAGGACCGTTTTATAACTAAAGAGCAATAGAATGATCAGGAAGGTCATGAGAAGGAGATGATCACGTTTGTGACTATTTTTTTTCAAAATATTACTTGTATATATATGTATATATTGAATGCGTTTATTTCTTCTCAGGATTTTAAAAAAAATGTGACTTTGTCATTTTCGTTAATAAGCTGCTGCAGATTTTATTTTCTTGCCTACGTTTCTGTGAACATTTTTTATATAAACTCTATATAACATTTCATGGGCTCAATCATATCTCCAATAAATAGAGCCTTTCATCGTGATAATTATTTTCTTGTAAATATGTTATATGGTCGTCAATTTACGCTGTTAATAGTGGCGGTTTCTATTTCGATAACGATTTGGAGCTGGACGATATCCAGATATGGAAGATTTCTTGGATCGTTGAAGCTACCTTCCTCTGCTCCCTTGGAATTTTCTTTTCTAATTAAAGTTTCTCTCTGAGACTTGCATCATCTATTTTACTTTTATGGGAAGAGTGAATAATTAATTAGTGTTTTCTACGGATCAAAAGATTTTCTTTCTTGAGGCTGAGCTCAATGATCATCATTTATTTAAATAACTATACTATTCCTTTCAGTAGGCCTAATTTCCACTTACGGTAAAAAGTACACTTGCTCACTCATGCAGCGTCTAGTGGGTCCTTGTGTTAATGCTTTTTACTACTTTGGGCTTCCTGCTCAGAGAATCTTCAGACCCCTTTGAAAATCCAGAGTGCGAGGCAGTTGACGTCTTTGTGAATGAGATCCTCTGCGTTGGGAAAGGTAAGAGCAGATTTCTTGAAACGGTTTCACCAGCGCTGCCGTTGTGATAGTTTCCTGGATGCTCCTTGTAATTCTGAATTTTTGTTCTCTTTGAATGGATTTTGATGGTCTAAGATCGTCATTGTCCTAACCTTGTTCCATTGATCCATTCAGAACCTTTCAGAAGGTATATTTTGCTGTTTTAAGTGCCATTTTCTTGCTGTAATTAGGAAAATGTGTAAGTGCCACCAAGGCATTATACATGGTAAACCGTGGAGAGAAAGAAAGAGAACAGAAAAGAGGAGGAAAAAAGGGAGTGGCTGGAAAAAACAGAGGATGAATGGATAAAAATATATAATTTATAGCTAAGTATTTTATTTTTTTATTGACATAACAATTGAATTAATGAAGCAAATTAATAGTCTTCTTCTGGTGGTAAAATACCCATGTAAAGCTATCCCAATTTTTTATTTTTATTTTTTCTCATGTTTTCTTATTGTATGCTAATTTTGGTTGTATTGGAAGGTATATTTTGCTGTTTTAAGTGCCATTTTCTTGCTGTAATTAGGAAAATGTGTAAGTGCCACCAAGGCATTATACATGGTAAACCGTGGAGAGAAAGAAAGAGAACAGAAAAGAGGAGGAAAAAAGGGAGTGGCTGGAAAAAACAGAGGATGAATGGATAAAAATATATAATTTATAGCTAAGTATTTTATTTTTTTATTGACATAACAATTGAATTAATGAAGCAAATTAATAGTCTTCTTCTGGTGGTAAAATACCCATGTAAAGCTATCCCAATTTTTTATTTTTATTTTTTCTCATGTTTTCTTATTGTATGCTAATTTTGGTTGTATTGGAAGATCTTTCGAGTATTCTTCTGATAGTTTCTCTTTTTTTTTTTTGCTAAAATTCCCTCTCATTTAGTTTCCTCAGATTGAGTTATGAATACTATTACATTTGTTCTAGAGATTTCAAAGTGTCTCATGTATAATTAAAATAAAACTGTAGGAAAAAAATCGATACATGTAAATGAATGAATGAATGACATCTATTTTTTCTGCACTATTAAAAGAATTATTAATTTCCTTGGTCCATTTAAGAGTATCATTTAAATCATTAGTTCAACCCGCTGACCAAGATTCATCTAGCAAAAACTGCCGTGTCATCAATGGTCTCCACCTGTGCTCTTTATATCTCGCGGCATGCCACTAAACTCTTGCTTTCATAAATTATTCATTCACTTACCCATAATATCTCTCGATTACTCCCATCTTTGAGTTCCTGAGTAATAATAATATCTGCCATATATTGTTGAGGTGACCCTTCAAAAATCATATTATTGTTTAAAAGCTGCCTTTTGTTTGCTGAATCGTATGAGTCAACTGGGATCTTTTTGCGTGACATCTCTCTGAGAACTCTTCTGTCTGCAGCTTGCCCATATTCATGTGTCAAAACGGCGCCCCATGCCTTCTCATTTTCTCCTCTCAGTGGCGCTGCGCGTGCAATTTCTCAAGGTCAGATATCAATTTACTTCTCATCATTGGTTATATTTTAAGATTACCTCTTAAAATATTAATAAAATTAATTTCGATAAATAGGAAGCTATAGAATAGGTTTCTGGATCTGTGGAAGCGGTGTTCACAGATGCCCCCTTTCTGTGCCTCGATAGCTTAAAATAGATTTATCTTCTTTTCACATATCTTTGTCAGAAAAAGTCAACGCCGGGTTTCATAGATTTGTTAAAAATACCATTTTGAGAATTAATCAGAGGTCAGAAAAATATAAGAAATGAAGTTTACTTCTTTAAAAAAAAAAAGCCAGTTTTTTATTCCTAGATACTAAACGACAAAAGGAATAAATTTGTACTTAATATGCATATTAAATTGTGGCTCATTAAATTCATCTAAAAAATGGATGAATTAGTGCATCTGTATCCTCGGCAACTTCTCTCAACAAAACATCAAATGGGTCAATTCTCGTCTTTGAACAGCCACCCTCAATCTATACAGCCTCAACTTCACTTGACGTCTTTCAGGTCAAAACCAATAGATGATGGGTATATAACAGGTCCTTATCTACTTAACTACAAGATTCTAATTATTATTTATAATCTTTAGTAGACAGCATGAACTTATTTTTCGCATTTTCAACCTTTTTTAGAGGATGTATTAAGTAAATAAATAAGATGGATGATCTTGATGAAATCGATGAACCATTATGTAATACTGGGAATGTGATCTGAAAGGGGTTTATTATATCATCAATTAGTTATTTTGAGAGGCTCATAACGTCCACTTTAGCCCTATCTCATTATATGTCCCTCCTTTCTCTATCATATATTTAGATTATGAAATATATTAATGCAGATCGAAGCGAGAATTATCAAGTACAGCTTGCTGTTGGGCAGTGCCCAAGGAGATGCATCCATTATGTGACGCCTTCACAGAGATCCATCTTGGAGGAGCTCCTCTGTGGGTATAATTTCTAAATTCGGCAATTTTATTTATTTATTGCTCTTAACCCATTGCTTGCTTCTGCTTTTGCTTTTATGAGCATCAATAAGAAACCCATATCTCCTAAAGTCATTAATTTATTGGTGGTTCTGCCAGCATCTTGAACTCCCCCTACGATGAGGCGGAGGTGGCTGTTCTTGATGCGCTGATTGCAAGAGCAAGCTTCCAGAACAACAGGTACCAGAAACCTAAGAAGGAACCAAAATCCTCCACAGAGTTTGTTGATTGGTTTTGATAGAATCATTACTCAATGACTTGGACTTTTAGCCATCCTTGGTCAACGGGGCTTGCCCTCGAATGTGATGAAATGTCAAACAAGTTATCCCGCCGTTTTTTCTGTGAGTCAAAGTGGGAGTTATCCTCTGAAATGCTGAGCTTTCATAGATAGGAGAGAGAACGAGGTGATTGAGGGGATTGCTCGTCAAATAACTTTTTAGAGAAATAAAATGGAAAATGCTAATAAAACAAACCCAAAAGAGGTCAACCGACACACTCAACAGGGCCTACCCATTTTTAGCAATGAAGGGGCCAACCAATGTCGTACCCCCACAGTGACTTGATGAGCCTGAGGTTGACTTCTGTTGCAGAAGTAGCCCTCATAATCAATGACTGTGACCGTAGATTAGATGTCTCCACAATCATCAGCTTACTTAATTACCAGCCGTAATTCGCCACTTCAGAAGCAATCGAGAGTAATTGTCCCACAAATCGACACTTTTTTTCATGGGTCAACAAAATAAGTCAACATTATAAGCAAGACTGCAACGGGCCGAACAGGGGCATGGTCAAACCTTACAAGACCCAGAGGAAATGCCTGAATGGTGGCCCTCCGGCCAGAACCCATCAAACACACTAGCAACTTGCCCCCATCAGGGTTGACCGAGGTGCAGAGACACAAGTTTGTAAGAGCGAGAAAGTCTAAGAGGAGCCTGAGAGAGAAGATTAAAAATAGATGCGAAGATGCTGAGGGGCACTGACCTGGATGCCATGAGGAAGAAGACATCCCCACCAATGGACTCGACCGAGCTGGTTAGCTGCTTCTCAGAGAGAGAGAGAGAGAGAGCAAAGAATTATGATCTTCATTTTCAAAGCCAAAATCCCCGAGACAGCAGCAGCAGTGGGTTCCAGAGGACCATCAGAGAGCAAGAACCGAGAAGAACAAGTCGAGATTTACAGTATGTCTTCGTGAGTGTTAGCTCCTCCAAAAGGGGGATCAGTCAACAAGATCAGGCCGAGAGGACTAGAACCGGGAATTCATTTGGTTAGGCTTGAGGGCTTTGTTGAAGTACTTGCGGATCTCTGGGATGATCCGCTGGATCAGATGAGAGCACCTGCGGAGGAGGATCATCACACCATTCGGCGCTCGGTTAGCCACCCAGAACCAGAACCAGTTCAACTACTGCAAGAATCATCTGAAGAACATGATATCTTTGCTCACCCGGGGCGAGGGCTCAGCTTCTCAAACTGCTCCAGGATGAACAGGACGCAAGTGTGCCTCAGCGACATCGCGTGGAACGCCTCGGATAACTCATACATGCTTGAAACGTTCTCCAGAGACACGTCCTGAAGGTTAGGTTTTCAAACACATAGATGAGCAATATTTTGGAGCATAACAGAAGAAGAAGAAGAAGAAGAAGCCGGGATCCGGATTGCCCACCTGCGCAATGGAATACTCGCAGAGACGCTTGAGGCCCTCTAGGAGATACTGGTCGGCGGCTCTGAGGAGGTCCTGAGCAATCTCCAGAGTCACCTCGGCAGACCCTGTATAAATGAATCTGCACAAAGGTAACATAAAACATCATTAATATAAATGCGAATAGAAACTAAGCAAACATATATCAAAAGTGGGTAGGGGAGGTGGGGATACTAACCTCATCATCAATTCGAACACATCCCATCTGATGTTGGGGATCTCTATATCTCTTGCGTCTTTCTCCTGAAATGGGTTTTTTTCCCAATTCCACACACCTCAGAACAGAATCAATTCTGGGGACGAAAAGTAGCATAATATATGGAGGTAGAATGATCGGCGCGAGGATCAGATGTGCATGTGTTGGTTGTATAACTGAGTAAGTAGTTGTCGAAGCACCCAGTAAGCTCCTCCCTTAAGTGTAATCAGTCATTAACCATGCCAGGACTCATTCTTTCACTAAGAAATTATTTTCGGGATAAGCAAGTAGCAAGGAGAAATGAAAAGAGAAGAAAACGAGAGAGTAGCAAGTAGCTCAGTGATTTCTCTTTGTTTTTCAAATCTAGTTCTTGTTTCTAACTTCCCGGCGGTCCTTGGTTTATTCCGGAATTAACCCTGATTAGAACTATAATTATCACGAAGTAAAGGTAAAGCTCGGAATAATTATGCGCATGCTTACCTTGTACCCACCATCGAACATTGCACGGAAAGCATCTGATGAAGCAAGTAAAGCAATCCTGTGTGCATAAAATCGTCTCCCTGGAAGAACAGGCAAGAGGAAAATATCTATAAGAAACACGATATCCATTTCTTTAAAAGAATATATTTTACTAAAGAAATGGAATGATTAAGAAAAAGAGGAACCCTGCACTTAAACACGGGTTTAAAGAGATATTTTGGTGAAGGGTGATCCACACCTTCAACAAGAAATGTTACATCAGAGAGTGTAGGACTATTCACATATTGCTCACCAAGGTAGACCTGAAATATATAAGATAAGTATAAGTGTAAAAGAAAGTTCAGCCAATTTTGTATAAAGGATCGAGATTGTACTCCAGCAAAAAGGTCACGCCTTTAAAGGGAAAGAATATACCTTACACTTCTTAACAAAATCTATGTGCAGCAAGAGTACACATCAAATCCAATTTGATCGAAGTAGAATATACAATGCGGAAAAACAGCATGACAACAGACTTTCAACGAAAGCCATGCTTAAAAAATACTATTCAACCCAGAAAAATAAGAAAAAAAACAGATAATCATTGTTCTCAATAATCAGATCAGACACTTCCATTGACCGATATTCCCTAATTTGGGTCAACCAAACTTCAAATACAGGAGTAAAAGTCAGTGGGGGGGGGGCTGGGGGCTATCAAAAGAAAGTAAAACACAATTCAATAAATACGAAGGGGATCCCTTATATTGAATTCTAAATAGGACTCTAATAGAGGCATGCTAAATTAAACCTTTTTTAATGCAATTCGTACATCACTTAGCCTAATGTTGATGTAACCCTAAACGTGGTCAGGTGCCCTTCGAATTGATAGAAATCAGTGAAGAAAAGAACGGGTGGCAGATGGAAACAGAAAGAAGATGAGTAGCTACAAGATCTAAGAGTTGTCCCCTTTCTTCTTCTTTACTTCTTAGTAGAGGAAGGCACTAGCCTGGCTGGATTTCCCCAGAGTTCCTTCTCTTTTCACTTCCTAAATGCAGTTGTGACACCCGTCGCAATCCCTTGGGTGACAGTTTTTGTTCCTTGGAACTCCAACTTATAGGTTTCAATTTAAGCCTTATCGGTCTGATTATGTCTCATCTTTTTACTCCTGAGGAAGTGTATGTCTGTCCGTGTGACAATTGGAGATGGAGGTGCAGCATCATCTTTTGGTCTGATTAATGTGGAGGAGGCTGTAAACCTGCGGCGTTGGAGATGGAGGTGCAGCATCAATTGGAGAGAGTGCCATAGCTTTGTTAGCCAATTTGTAAAGAGCTGTAGCACCATCTTGTTGCTGCTTGGGATTGTTTGACCCAAACAAGCCCAGAAGCAATTCAAGTCCTGCAACCACAATGATATCAACAAAGCTTCCAGCAGGATGGGTGATCAACGGGGAGAAAGATTAAAGATGACGAAGTACCATTGTTATCAATGAATATCGTTCTCTGATCATCTGGATAACAAAGATGAGCAAGAGACAGCGCAACTCTCCTTTGAACAGCCTTTTCAGCAACACGCATCATATATAGCAAATGCTTTAATACCTGCAAACAAAGAATTTTGAAGAGAATGGTAACAAAGGAGCGACGATCATATTCAAGAAAAAGAAAATTATTAGGCTTTAGCATTAATTATCGGAAATATTATAGTCCGGGTATACACTCTTGGTGGTCCAGCAGCAGAGACATGGAGAACGGGAACTCACTCTTCCATGAATCTTTTCCTCCAACCTTTTCAGGGTCTTGGCCACACAGTCTTTTGTTGCCTGCCAATATCATATGAAACACGAATGTCACACCCTCCAGAAAAGAAGAAATATAGGGTTTTAGAAGGATATTAGTCTTGATTTGTTCAAAACTACTAACCCAAAAAAAGGCCTAAATTTAACAAATAAAAAGGAGAGAATTGTAATTACTTTCAAATAAACTGATGCCAATATGCGATGGTCATAGATTTCCTGAGATGAATGAATAAAAAATCATAATTGACAAAAAAAAATATGCAATCTTACTTGAACAATAAACTCTCCATCCTGCAACTTTTGAACCCCTCCCACTTTAATAAAATCGGGGACATTATCCTACACAAGAGAAAGAGAAAATCATCTCAGTGAACAAAGCTTCCATAAGGAATAAAGTAACATAGGAATTCCTAGGACCTAGGCATGTAACATATAGTCCATTGACGAAGAGCAAAGAGTTTTACCTCATTGTGTGCAAGACCATATAGAGCAAAAGCAGCATTATGCTGAAGGGAACCATTTCTCGAGTCAAGAAGCTTCAGCAGAGGAACCAACCCACCGTTGTAAGCAATACCAGCTTGGTTATGTGTATCCTACATTAATATTAAAATAAGTTTTAGATAAAAGAAGGGGCTACTTATATACATACACAATTCATCATGAAACAATCCTGAGCCAAGAACAAAGAAAAAACATATATGTCATTCCGGCCTCGTAGATACCATTCATCCGATGTGTTCATTTTCCTTTATAACATGTGTGTCTCTTTGTAATCAAAATTCACCAGATAAAAAGAATCATATCCTCTACAAGACGTACCCAAACTCGTGGATATCAATCCTGCCTCCCAGTTACAAGGTCTCCTTAGAAAAAAATGCTTTCAATCAAGATCTAGGCTCTGAATCAGGTCATCTACATCAAAATTATCCCGTCTTTCGCTCAGCCAAGCCTCCCAGAAAAATGTAATCACTAAAAATGTTCATTATCATCACACAGGCTCAATCAAATGTTCCTTCTTCACTCCCTAATCCATAACATCTTCATCACACATGGTTTTCAACCTCAACACTATCTGTACATCTTTAATCTGAAAGCCACGCTCAAAGTCAAGTTTTCTCGTTCACTTAGTTTTCCAACCGTCAAATAATTCAAATCTTCCTCCTGTAAATAATCCAAGATAACTTACTTCTTAGATATAAAGATCGAATTCATGAACAGTTCTTAGTTAGGTGGTGCTGGGAGCGAAGGAAGAAAATGCCAGGCAGATGTGAGGGATAGACAGTAAATGACCTGTGCCAATCTCCCAAGGGCAAAGGCTGACATCTCCTTAAGTTGTATATCTGATGATTGAAGCATATCTATCAGAGGCCGCACAGCTCCTCGTTGAACAATGTGCACCTGAAACAAAAAATATTATAAAACTTATAGATAACGACAAAAGGGGGAAGACACTTTTTTTCGCCAAAACGAATCCAAAAATGTACTACGAATACCTTGCAGTCTGAATCAGTCGCAGCAAATTGCCCTAGCAATAGAGCTGCTTCCCTCTGACTCTCTGTGCAGCACGAACTGCCATTCATTTTCCATGTTAGATTAAAGATTTTACAGTGACCTTCGAACAACAAGAAGAAAAAAGACCCGAAAGAAAAAACTGCATCATGAGTAAGCACATTCTGTATGCCCAGCTAGCAGTTGAACCATGATTGGAAATGCCAAAAAAATCACATCCCGTAATCCATGCCCAAATACATCCTCCATGAATAATGACGAAGCTTTCATGTATAGACAAGGTTACAAGAAATAAACATCCAATAAGGAGTAGTCTTTTAATAAGCTTTAGAATTTCGATCACAGTTAAAGCAGGGACAATAAGCTACATGGACAACCAATGAATAATATCTTAGAAATAAACAACACTGGCACCAGTTCAGCAGATAAATTGGAAAATCAAAAGGAAATGCAAGATAGTCTCTGTGCATCTAATTTACAAAAGATGGAAAGAATATAACCAGTTAGAGACGAATGAAAACAATGGACAAACATGATAAATACCGCTCGTTCGCACAAGTTAGAGATGAAGTTAAAGCTTCATCACTGTAACCAGGGGCAGAACATGGGGGTTCGTGCACTACGTCACACATGCCACACGTGATTGTGTTTTCATTAGCAGATGGTGGCATGTCCCAACATCAAGCTTGCCTCTTTTTCCAACCATTTAAAGAATTCTCTCGGGTTGTATGACTTAAACTGAAACTAGGTCGGTCAGCAGCTTTCAACAGACTAATTGATGTGACAAGATCTCGTGATCAACTAAATGAATGAAAGTCGTCTTAGCTAGATATGTAGCACTACCTTGGGTGTTGACATCTATCAAGGTACGTAGTAGAAAAACTGTCAGATTTCATTGGAACTACTAAAGCCAGCATAATTCATTGAGAACATCTTATCTAGTACCGAACAATCTGCACTATGGTCAATCAGCCGGAGTTATTAGGCCATCCAACTGAAAACAATCTCCATCATCACATATTTATTTTCACAATAACAAATATGAGACAATGTTTAGCACATCCCTTCACATCCAAGCTGACTTCTGGGCTTATCACCTGGAAACCATAAACTGGTTACATTCATCTTAAAAGCAATCATTGGCTTTGATACTATGTTAGAACAAGGTAACCTTTATCCAGGAGCCAAAGACTTAGGTCTAAGCCCGAGAATAAAATATAATGAGTTCCAGAAGATCATTAAATCTGCACAAGTTATGTGCGGAAAACAAGATGCAAAGATAAGATCCAACATGGTTAAATGAATTTTTATTCTCTTAATGCTGATGTATAAGCATAATAGGCTGCTCTGATATCTTGGAAGATTAGAAAAATAACTCTAGAATGAAAATAAAATTTCAAAGATTAGCAACAGCCATATTCCATGCCATATAGTCTGTGCTATGTTCTGGGATGCATACTTCACAGTCCCTTTAAAAATAGAAAAGAATTTTACACCACTCCGTACTAAGTTGTACCTCAGCAGCCCAATGACAGGCTGTAAAGCTCCTGCAAGGAGGACTTCCTTCTTTATACTTGGAGATGAATGAACCAAATTTCCAATGACGCCAACCTAAGACCACATCAATAACTTGATAAGCATGAACTGAAAAAAAAATTCACAGGCGAAAGAAGTTCACAATGCATTATTTACTCATGACAAAGACACACCGTCTCGTAATGAATTGCAGGATCTTCGGACCGAAGCATGAGAATCAAGGTAGGAAGAGCATTGCAATCCACTATCTGTACAGAACCGAGGAGGAAACAAAATCAGAAGTTCCTCTCCCCTCTATTTTTTGGGCTAGGAGAATGGGAGCATAATGTTCACTTGATAAATACAGGTACAGACCTGATTTTTGTTCTCGTCATTTTTGAATGCAAGGGTTCTGAGGGCTCCTGCAGCTGCTCTTTGGACCTTCAAATCTGTAAATTCCAGGAGTTCAACAAGAGGTGGAATTCCACCTTTGATTCTGAAACATGAAATGAAAATTTTATTACGTATTCGTTGCAGATATGCAATAGAAGCATCCGACCATCAAATTTGACCTGACACAGCTTTTGATACTGCTGTTCTCATGGGCAAGGTTAGTAATTGCATCAGCAGCCCTCCGTATAACGCTAGTTACTGCCCGTGAATTGGGGACATCTTTGTGCCTTTTCAAGAGGCTTACTAGATGCGGAAGAGCACCAGCATCCACAATTAATTGTTGATGTTCAGGCTGAATGCACAAAAAAATCAGATAAGAAATCAGGAACGCCAAGTGTTAATGAAATCCGCAATAAGCTGTTAAAGATCAGGCTTTATGAAAGGGAAAATTATGGAACAGCCAATAACTCTAACTGGTACTAAAAGGCCAGTCACTAAAATATCAACGCATGATAATTCATGTTCTCAGCAACATGATATGAGTTGCAAGTGAGGAAGCAGTGGCCATAGTTTTTTTAGGTTCGCCATTTAGAGAACAAGTAATAGTTCTGCTCATTTCCATTGCCATAAAACAAAAGAGCAAAGAAAAAAAAGATACACCGCACAACCAACTATAAAACTACTGGATACGCTCCATTAATAAAAAAGACACGTTAATAGTAATTTTAAAGACTCTTCATATCTTGCAGCTTGGTATAGATTTTAACTGAAAAAATAAATGAATGCTATAGATCCATGGGTGTGGGTTGCTCTTACGTCCTCCGTAAAGAAAAAAATAATATTCCTGAAAGCATTATATAAAATTTCCCTCTCAGAGCAGATGTGATGAAACGACGAACCAGATCTTTCCCAAAGAATTAGATTTCCCTGGGAGGCTGAACGTAAAACAAATAGGAAGTGAGGTTCATTTACCGAACTGAAACCACAGTAGGACAGTCGTAAAGAAGAAAACATAACTGATAAAAGCACTGTCAACTAAATCAAAAATCTCATGGACCGAGGAACGTTCTCATACGGAAAACGGAAACATCCTCAGTATAAACACCATTAATTCTTGACTAAATTCGGCCTAACTTTGCCTTTTCCTCTTGTTTGAACTCAAAACAGTTATAGGTAATAAACAACCGACTTGATCTACAGGGTTTTCTTTTGTGGCAAACAAGCGAAGACTAATAGCTTCATCTTTGATGGTTACAGTTTGCATACGGCATTATCAGAGGAACAGGCGTATAATCTGCAATAAAGAAAGGGAAAAGGGAAGGATGAGATAGCCGGTCAGTATTATCACCTTCACTGCCAGGAGACCGAGGGCAAAAGCACTCCCTTTCTCGACCTCATGCTCAAAAGGCCGGCTACAGCCTCCGCCCGCCTCCACCGGTGGCGCCTGCAGATGCCTCACCAGTGCAGGCACAGCCCCACCATCCACTATGGCATTCACCATCTCCTCTACAAGAAAAAAACACCGCCAAAGATTTTATAAAAAAATAATTAGAATACTACTCACCCGATCCACGCACGAAATCAAACCACAGCCCTCGAGCCGCAGAGAAAAGAGCCCCCGGGGATGGCGCCACGAAATTAACATACCGTTCTTGGCAAGCTCGGCGAGGATGTGCGTGGCGCGCTTCGCCGCGGACCGATCCGACTCCTTCCACGAGAAGGCCGCGTTCAGGACCTCGACCTGCGTCCTCACCTCCCGCTCCAACACCTCCTGGGGGTACTCCGACGGCGCCTCCGCGCGATCCCCCCCGAAGTCGCGGCCGCCGCCGCCGCCGCCGCCGGCCTCTCCCCCCGCGGACGCTGCCGCGTCCTCCAGCTTCCGCTTCTGCCCCTTCCTCTCCGGGGCTTGGTGGCCCTGCTGCTGCTCCATCGGAGGGCGGGGAGGACCAGGACGAGCCAGAGCAGCTCCAATGGAGAACCAGGGGCCGGAGGGCGCAGCGGCTTTTGTACTACACGAAAAAGGGGGAATATGGACGGGGCGGTGACCAGACCGTTTTCCGGTGACCAGCACTGTCGGTTCCCCCCACTAACCGTGAGGTGAGGTCGTACGAAACTACTCATATACCCCCTCCCTCCCAGGTAAAAGTTGAAATTTTACAACGGAAAGGAAAGGAAAGGGCGGGCGGGGTTTATACTGCCCCGCCCATCGAGCGGGCGACCTGAACCGGGTTCAACTCTGGGAATGATCCCCGGCCCGGCCCAATTTTCAAGCCCATCACTGATTAGAGCCATTAATGGGCCGGTTAGCTTTTGCACCCCAGTCCGCCCAACTCTCTCTCTCTCTCTCTATGTATAGATATCTCTATCTCTATCTCTATCACTATAACTATCTATCTATCTATCTCCCCTTATAAAGTGCACACCAAATCAAATAAACTAGAGCAAGATCTCCTGCGCAGGTTTTAGCGAGAGAGAGGGAGAGAGAGAGAGAGAGAGAGAGAGAGAGAGATGAACAAGGGCAGAAGAGAGAGTGGGAGGCATGGCAAGAAAAGATGTTTGGATTAATATCCACGATCCAGGAGAAAATCGTGTGCATCATGAAAATAATAAAACTGGTTCCAGAATTTCTTTTTCTGAACAAATCCGAAAATTACAAGAGAATGTATTGGGATTTTGTACAGACATGCAGAGCATGAAATTACATAATCTGAACAAAAAAAATAATAAAAATAATAATACAGCAAAGAATGGACATGGGCAAGGTGTGATCTTCATAATCTATAAGTGACGTCATATTTCCGAATATAGTTGACTGCTTCCCCTCTGTGCCTGACAGAATGGATCCTGTAATCTTCAAGAGGGTGCAAAAAATAATTAATTATGACATCATAATTTCTTAATGAGGAAAAAACAAATACAAGATTGCCTAAAAGTATGGCCCTGATATCTTCTATCTCAGATGCCATCCCCAGAAAATAATATGGATTTTGTGGCAATGTTCCTCAGTAATCATATAAATGGCATTTTTACAAAAAATCCAAAAAAAATTATGAATGATACAAGAATCTAATTTAGAATTTTATGGGGTATTGCTCAATATGAATTTTTTCAGGTACGTTTTATGCATAAAAAACCAAAAATTCCAAAAAAAAAAAATTACCTTCCAGCCACCGTGGCTCCTCAATTTCATGGAGACAAGTTATTCCCAGGTAAATACCTGAAACAAGAAATCTTTTAGTTTTTTTTTTTATTGGGCCAGATGCAGATATTCATGATATATCAACTCTCCACTTACCGAAAGGTCAAGTCATCTCCTAGCAGGCTTGCTGGAATTTTACCACGAAGTCTGTTCTTCTCCACAAAACTGTAGAGAGAGAGAGAGAGAGAGAATAAGCACACCAGTTCATGGAAAATAAATTATAAATGGAATAATAAAACAACAGTGACAACACAGAAAATAACAAAATGGAACAAGCAGAAAATCTCTTAGCAAACTTTGCTGTACTTTTTATCAAATTTATGAGGCAGAATTTTTAAAAAATCTTAAAAAATGAGCAACATGAGTGATCTCTTCAGTTTTCTATCCGTACAAAGTAATTTTCTGGGATTGGTAAAATAACTATGGGGCAATAAACGTTAAGAAAGAAAAAGCTTCAATTCTTCCCAGGTATAACAACTACAGCAGACAAAGCTCAATTAACTTTTTAAGAAAAGAATCGGAACAAGAAATAAGGTGATTTAGGGTTAACGAAACTGTTGCTTAACACCAATGTAGATTCAAGAAATCCTATCAAATTACATTCATTTGATCATCGAGGATAATTATTGGGTTTATGCTAATGAACAAAAAAAGCACACCTTGAGCAATGAATTAATAAATCGAATAAAAACTCTGGGAAAGAAAAAAAGATCCCTTTTCCTAGATGTGCTCGAGAAAAGAATAATTTTTGAACTGAAGCTTGTATACTTTTTCTGTTGGTTTGACTACCACTTCAGCTAAAAGGGTAATTTCTTTGGCTTACACATCTCAATTAACATAATTTGAACTGGATATATTTGATCGGACATAATACAAGCATGAATTATTGATAGAAATATATATAAACTGAATGTTTATGTATTTAGGGACTCACAGCTCACGCAGGTTGCTGAGGCGTCCAAGCGATGGAGGAAGAACCCCACTGAAATTATTGCCTTGCAAATGCCTAAAATCATTTTTATGAGAAAAATTCAAAAAAAGAAAATTGATATCAACATAGCATCATCCCATGGCCTTACAGCTTCGCAAGATTCCTCAGCCTGCTAAAATTGGGAATTTGTCCAGAGATATTATTATTCCCCAGCTTGCTGTGTGATTAATAAAATCATGTCAAAATTGGCGAATAAACATTCCATAGAAAAATAACTCAAAATTATTAATAAAAGATAACTCACATTTCATTTAATCCAGTCAGCTTGGAGATTTCAGGAGACAGAGTCCCAGAAAGATTCATAGTTGACAGGTTCCTGCCAAAACAGAAGCGTGGAGATGACCACATCAATTGAGTTAAAATCAAATAAAAATCAGAATTAATTTTTTATTCTGATAATCTAGGTTTATTTCGAACTCACAGTTTCACAACACGAATTCTTGAGTTTCCTGAGCACTTGATGCCAGTCCATGAGTACTCATGGGGCAGGCAGGGGTCCCCAGACCAATTAGGAGGGGGGTTGACAAAACTTTTCTTGAGAGCCTCCAGAGCGAGCACTGCACCGAGGGACGATACAAAAGAATCATAATTAGATGAGAATTCTTTCCCAAAAGAAAAAAAAGTAGTCTGATGAAATGTGATTAGGCAAGAACCAGACCATCTCTAGATTCAGTCAACCCTCCAAGCTTCACAAGGCTGAAGACCTCACCGCCATTGATCAGTGGAGGGAGATTTGATCCAGCAGAGGGAGCCAGGGTGATCCTGGTCGCCCCGGAGAGAACCCACTTGGATGCAAAGATGCATATTCCGGATGATGTCACACGGAGGTTGTTGTAGAAATTAATACCATTTATGGAAACATCAAGAGCCCTAGAGCTCTCAGATGAAGGATCAGCAAAGTATAGAGCAATGTAGTAGGAGGCATTTGGAAGCGAAAAGTGGGGCCATTGCAACTGCATGGATTCGGCGCGGTTAACCACGAGAGCGGTTTCAAATATACTCCTAGGAGGGCGATTCCATAGCTCAGAATTCGAAACATTCGAGGAGCCTCTTATGGTCTCTGTGCGATCAACGAATGGCTGCCAGTACCTGTTAAATGTGTCGTTTGGGTACCTGAAAATATTTGGATAGATTAAAGATTTTCATAGATAAGGCATCTAAAAAACAGATGATCCCTGGAGATTTTGGGAGTTATCAGATAAATCGTCATAAATGTTTTCACAAAGCGGTGCTGAATGATGACCAGATGGAGCTGATAGATCGTTAGTAAGCAGATGATTACATGGTGATCACTATCATCTATATCTACTAAGCATTGGATTCATCGATCTTCAAAGGGCCGTCCAAATAAAAATTTAAATCATGGGTCATTGTATATGAGCACTGGACCCAATTAATACCCAACCTCTTAACATCCAGATTGACCCATGGAAGATCCTCCCTTCCCTGCATTGACATTATCACAGCCAAGAATAACTGGATCCAGATTTCAGAAACAGTGTAAAAACCTTGCAGAGGTCAAGGGTGCACGGATAGTTCAAGATTTCATGATTTCCAAAGGATAGATTTTGGTGGGTGGGCAGGAAGAAGTTCCTGACCATGCAGTCTCTCACCAGTTTAGATTTCAGTTCTCTGATACCCATTAGATCCCTTCTCTCTCTCTCTCTAAAGACAAGTCTCACCATTTTTTCTGTCGCTGATCTAAAAGCAGATAGTTTAGTAATTTGGAATGCGTCCATCATATTCATCAATTTTAGTTGATACTCATTTTCAATGCACAAATAAATACCTCCATGTTCATCATTACTCCACTGTAACCTCTTAGGTAGGCTATGAATTTCCTAATTTGAATCAGTTCTTGATGCCTGCTCTTGCAACTTCTTCTCATTCCTCCCACATTTTTCCACAGGTCATTCAAAAACCTCATAAATCCTTCATTTTTTATTGAAGAAAAGCTTCCTTTCCTATGATAAAAAAACGAAATAAGCAAATCTGTCGACTTTTGTGTCTCAGAGATAGTATTGGTTTTTCATCCACAGGCTATACGATGAAGATAAAATAATAATAATAATAACAATAACAATAATAAAGAACATGGAAAGATGAAACTACAGAAAAGAGGATCATCCTGGATCAATGCTTCTCCTTTGTCACATATCCAGAAGACGAAGGACGATGAGAAGATACTGGGAACAGCATGAAGTGCATGTCCATGGTTTACCTGAAGAGGGGACCGCTGTGGCCGAAGCTGCTCCTCGCGACGAGGCCCAAGGCGTACTTGTCGAAGTCAGTGGAGTTGTAGACGGAGCCCTCGAGGATGATCATCTCGAGAGCCGAGATGAAAGGGTCTGAATCAGTGTAATTGTTCCCGCCAAGACAGAGTCTGATTCTGCTTCCCCTGGCCTTGTAGACTCCTTCGTAGTAGGACGACATGTTCATCGCGTAATCCGCCGTCGTGTTCACGACGGCCCAAAGGGTTCCATCCACAATCAGGTCGAAGACGGGAGGATCGCGCCGCCCATTGACGTCGCCGTAAAAGTAGCTAGTGCGGATGAGGTACTTTGTACCGGGCACGGTCCGGATGCTGTAGCAGAACTGACGGCGGCCTTCCGAGCGGCGGAAGGGGAAGGTGCGGACGGTGGAGAGAACCGGGTAGACGCCGGAGAGGGAGAGGGTCTTTGAGACACCCGGGGGACCGAAAACCGAGTCCGGAAGCCAGTCGATGCCGTCGATCTCGCTCCTCTTGGCCGCCCCGCAACTGATGGAGAGACCTGCTCGGAGAAGAAGAAGAATAAACAGAAGAAGGAAAATCGATACAGGAGTTGACGCATATGAGAACAGATCGAGAGCCACCGCCCGGGCAGCAACCTACCTCGGGGCCCGACGCGCTGGGAGATCACGGGGGAGAAGAGAGATAAGAGGACAACCAGGAGGACGAACGGAGGCCACGACATCCGAGGCAGAGGGAAAAGCTCATGCAGCAGCGGAAGGGAGGAGAATTGGGAATTGAGAGCTGGGAATCGGGTGGGGGAGGAGGAAGGCGGAGGAAGGGGGAGGAGGTCGGAAGGTCAAGGTTTCGTCTTTCCTTTGTCACGCAAAACTGGCGCTGAAGGCTTCAAAAGCCGGGGGCCGTGGAGTGGGTAGATGGGTCAAAATCGCATAGGTCAGCGCGTTTTGACTTGGTCATTAAATCTTATACTTCTAAGATTGGTCTAGAATTGAAATAATCAGCTGGAGTAGCTCAGTTGGTTAGAGCGTGTGGCTGTTAACCACAAGGTCGAAGGTTCAAGCCCTTCCTCTAGCGAACATCAGACTTTACCGATATTTTTTTCTTCCGCCAAAGAGCCCAAAAGCCGTGTGGGAATTTTAGATTATCGAGAAAGGATATACCTCTCTCTCTCTCTCTCGCTCTCTCTCGGTATTATAGGTGACAGGGTCTATATGTGGGTAGCCCCATACGACATGGCTTTTACATAGGTTCAAGTAGATTACCTATAGAACCACATGGCCCTACACAGAGAGTGGGTTGCAAGCTGCCCCTCAATGTAGAATGCTATAATATTTCCTTGGAGTAGTATCTTTCTTTCAAACTCACAAAGAAGAGGGTTGCTCAGAAAGAGAGAGAGAGAGAGTGAGAGTGAGAGTGAGAGTGAGAGTGAGAGTGAGAGATAGATAGAGAGAGAGAGAGAGAGAGTCTCCATGGTTTGGAGCAAGTCCTGAAAAGACCCTACATGAAGCTCAGAGCTCAGCGGACTCATTCACAGTCTCTACCTTGACGCATGAAAAATCTACACGAGCATACATTACCCACAAAGGAATCGACATTATTTCCAAAAAAGGAAAGAAACCCACATAGCCTCGGTGGTCCCCTTCTCCACTCCGTGGGAGCACAACAGGTCAAACTCCCCACTTTTAAGGCTACTACGTTCATGGCACCCAGAACCGACAACTAACTGGCAACCCTCATCAAGATACCTGAACACCATCAAGCTCCCGCTGCGCTACTGCCGCGTTGACCGCATCGATCACCTCCAGCCTCCCCCTCATCACAGCCTCGTCAACTGGCGATCGCTCGAAGCTGCCGCAGGAAAAGTCAACGGGTCAAAAAGTTGGCAAGAGCCCAGAAGGGGAGGGGAGCCTACCGGTTCAGTCGGCTGACGTCGGCGCCACAGATGATCAATGCCTTCACAACCTGGAGATTGAAATATTTTCGCTCATCCACTCAACTAAGATGGGAGCCTTGCGGATATTAGGGCACAGGGGGGATCACCTCAGTGTGGCCATTCAAGCAAGCCCAATGAAGAGGGGTGTTGTTCTCAGAGTTGGAGACATTGGGATCCTGCAAGAACATATTTTATGGAAAATCACACGAGTTTAAGTGACCCAATACACCTACTGACAGAATGATCTTCCAGTGGGCGTCTAATTTTTTGAATAATTCCAAGGTTTTACCCATCATAATTGGAAAGAAATGTACAGAGGAAGAACATGCTGTCCACAGCCTGAAGAGCAAGGCCGGATCAGATATATCCAGAGTGTTTCAGGCATTGGATTCTGGGGTAGAAGCAAGCAAGTCATTGTCTAAGCGAGCGATTTCATCCAATTATGAAAATAATCCTTTGCATTTCCTAATCAGTGGAATCCACCACCCCTCCCCCTTTGAGCTCACCTAATCAAGTGAAGCGTTGACTATTGTAAACCTAGGGGCAGCCACCGATATAGTTAGACAGTAAGAGTGAAGTTTATCTTCCGGCTGCTGCTTCCTGCTCCCGGAATACAATTCCTTCCAAGGTTTCATGGAATGAAGATCATGTTGACCAAGCATATGGGAACTTGCATGGCAGGAAAAGGGTTAAAGATTGCGTTTATTACGAAGTAATAAGAAACTTTCTAATGTTTAAGTCTTGGGATAACATCTGAGCCTGTAATCTATGTTGATTATTGAGTCGGCAAACTAAAGTATATATGCCTCATATTTGTTAGTCTGTGTACAAAATGCCAGATACCAATGAGTCAACGGGCATCCCAGTTCATGAAGCCACGCATTAATAAAGTGGGAAGAGAGGTCAACGGATAACTGCTTACTGCGCCATTACTGATCAGGTACTCCACAATTTGAAGGTGCCCATTAGCAGCAGCCATGTGAAGCGCTGGAAAGAGCAAGAACACATCGTCATACAGAGAGCGAACACTAACATTTGAAGAAATGGAGGATAGCCTGTAAACTTTTAAGGAACAAAAAAAGTTCATCTCCAAAAACGAATGAAATTATAAACAAGGTCAACATGATGAAGTCCAGGAGCAGAGGTCAACCCATTCACTTGCTCAGGGGCACAAGGTACAAGGACGAAAATGGCAATTCATCGGACTTAAGATGCTAGATTGGTATTTCATTGCCATTAACACAGTCTGATGTGTCATTGCAATGGAAGTATTCGGTATTCTAGGCTCACACTATGAAGAAGGAAAGAGGAATTTGGCGATCTAAACAAAAAAAGGGGGGCAAAGTGAACTTACTATAGTGTGGTATCATACTAGGAATGTCAGCAGTGATATATACATAAATCTAACCAGCAAACTTTACTTTTTTGAGCTCTAAATGCCAAAGATGCAAGGAACATGAAGTATAAAATATCCCCCTGAAAATTGGAGAAAATAACGTCCATTTTTGGGAGATTGTAATAGCTTCCTTTCTGCTAATCGTATCAAATTAACTGTACAAAAAGGGGGTGGAGACGATCAACTTGGCAGAATGCAGATGATGACAAAGACAGAATCTATGAGACGCTATTGATTTTGAAACAGCAAGTTGAGTAGCTTGGGTTAAAATCTGACCTGTCCTTCCTTCAGAGTCCTTGGAATCAAGCGAAACCCCAACAGAAGACAAGCTAATGATATCTTCAATATCGTCATATCTAGCTGCCTGTTTCCAAAAATGGCAATGAATGACTTATACAAGCCTAACAGAATATGAGATAAACATGAATATCACTGAAAATTTTCCACCATGAAGCACCTTCATAGATTTTTTTTAGAACTAAAGAATCGAATTATCCGCAGAAGAATGCTTAAGTGAGTGCGCTTTTAAAAGCACAGACAGATCAAAACAGCTGAAAGCTCAAGGCCCAACAATCATATTCTGTCATTGACAAAAAACTACACATCTAATGCCACTTAAGTAAATAAATTAAAAGAAATAGGGACAGGAAAAATAAAGAAATAGAGATAGTAAGTGAAGAACCTCCAGCAATGCTTCTATCTGTTCCTCTGTAGCTGCCATAGATGTCTGCGATGTCATTTGGTTTTCCAACATTAATCCCATGGATTTATCTTCTTTTGAGGATAAGAAGGAGAAGGAAACTCGACTCTTTCTGCAGCCACAATCGGAGATTAAAGGGAGATAGAAAAAAGTTATAAGGTAATTTAATCCATCTCATGAACTATGTGTTTCTGTTAACCAAAGTTTTTTGGTATTTTTTTAAAAATTTAATACATCAATAAAATTCAATAACCTACTAGTCGCAGTGAAAATAAACAGTAAAAGATGATTATGAATATCAAAAACACATATAGCCTAAAGGTGTAAACTTGTAAGGTATTTTTTCTCTTTCTTTCATCATTTATCTGTACTCTTTCTCTTCTATCATTCACTTTTTCATCACTTCTTCTTGCCTGTCCCTATTCGGTTTTCTTTCACTAAAAACGTTCTTACTTTTACAACTCAACTGAATTAAACAGCCGAAAGTTTAAAATGCCATTGATAAACGGTTCTACAGTTTTTCATATAAGATGAAAGATAATGCCAAGATCTCTCATTGGATACTTACGACCATAAATTACGTGATGATTATTTTGATTTTTCTCACAAAAGGTATAACAAAATCCGATAAATATGGGAAATTTTCATATCTACGTTTGAAAACTTGACCAAAAATATCATCTGAAACAAGACATGAGCCCTAGTTCTCGGCCTAATCTGTGCCCATGGGCTCTCAGACATCTCAGACTCCATGAATTTCTCAAAATACAAGTTATGACTGTAATAACTCGTACAGTTACCAACTCTTCTTCTTTTTTTCCAACTGTGAACCTCATGATAAGCCGCCAGTCATCAGGTCGCATCTCACGAAACTCGATAAAAGAAATTCAGAATCTAAACCATCAGTGTAAGCGGGAAGCTAGAGCGATTATTATCTGGTTCAAACAATTTCGGTATTCTCATACGTCACTCCTGTTCAGTTTCCACAAATCGATTCATTAGGGTTTTCAATAGGACAGCACGATAAGCCAAGGAAAAAAAAAAAAATCTAGAATCTAGGAAACCAAATAACATAAAAGCGCAAGGATCGGGCCAAGATCAGGAGCATGGATTCCAAATACCTCCGTCGGAAACCAGCAGAAATCCGGGCAGTTACCCCTCCTCCCCTGTGTCTCTCACCAGAAATCCACGTAGCCTCGCAGACGCTGCTCCTCAACGGGGAAGAGGCCCAGACAAGGGGAGAGAGAGAGGGAGAGAGAGAGACGCTTTCTCAGGAGGGAGGGGCTGCCCGGAGACTCAGCCTAAACCCCGTTCACAAAGCTGCAGAGAGATCACCCGGGTTTGTGGACTCGGCCGAGTCGACCCGGCCGGCCCTTATATTATTTAACGAATGTACGGTCTACGGCGATGGCCCAGAATTTTTTTGTTTGTGAAAATCGTATGGAATTAAAAAAAATAATATCATCCGACGCCTAGAAATATGCCCCCCCAAGGGAAATAAATAATAATAATAATACATTAAAAAAAAACAAAGGTAATCAAAGCAGACGACTTTCATGCCGAAAATATGATTTGCGAAATACCGAAAATTTGATACACACTATGAAAAAAAGGAAAAAAATAAAAAGAATTATTTACCAAAAAATATTTATGTGTTAATAATATTTTCAAGGAAGCCCATGAAAATGGCAACATTCGCAAATATCAGAGCAGATGTTTCTCATGCCCGTTGACTTGTGGACCCTTTGACGCCCTAGAAGTTAATGTGTGAAATTCCAAAAAATGATACGCTCGAAGAAAAAAGAGAAGATAAAAGTAAAAAATACTAAGAGTTTTTTACAAAATATGGTAATGTGTGTAATAATTTTTTTAAGGGAGCCGATAAAAATGGCCACATTTACAAGTATCAAAGCAGCTGTTCTTCGTGCCGTTGACTTGCGGACCCATTGACATCCCAAAAGTCAATGTGTATATAAAGCTTCAAGGAAGCCCCTTGAACAGGCAACATTAATTCATATCAAAGCAGCTGATTTTTATCCTGCTGGACTCGCCGACCCTTTGATGCCCAAAAGTTGATCAGTGAAGCTCTGAAAAGAGGATACGTCTGGAGAGAGAGAGAGAGAGAGAGAGAGATGATGATGATGATGATGATGATATCCTGCCTTTCATAGACATGAGCTTAGCATCAACGGCTGAATATCTTGAGGAAACCTGGATAGATCATCTACGCTTCCGCTTCAGAGAAGCCATTGGGGTGAAGCTGAAACCCCCCAGCGGCTGCCCTTTGGGGAGCTCAGGGCGGCCCTCGTGAACCCTGAGCCCCACCTGAATGGGTTCTCCAGCCCCTCCTGGGTCAACGTCCTGATGATCAAGAGCCTCCGCCGTGGAAGACTCATCTTCACCTACGCAGAAGCCTCCGCCGCTGTTAAGGTAACAATCTCCGGCGGTGCCTGCTTCGGAATTGCCGACATTGCCATCATCTGCGGTTTCGTTGACCTGTTCTGGGGCTCCGGCGGGTTGACCTGGGAAAAGCTGACTTCCATCTTTGGACTGGCGTACTTCCGCGGTCTCCTCCTGGGTAGATTGGACACCTCTCCGCTGCCTTGCTGACTGGAGATCACAGAAAACTGGAGGAAGTGAGCTGATGAGGAGTAAACCGGCCCGCAGGATTTCAGCAGGAAATATGAACAGGATGTTTCACGGGGATATAAATTAATTCATTATATATAATTTATTTATTTTTTGGAGAAAACAGAAGGATCAGATCATTGGGTGGTTCTTGTGGGTCTCATTGGGAAGAAAAACAGATTTTCCAGGAGGAAAAAGTCAACTCTAGAGAGGCTCTGGACTAATGTGAAATTTCCTGAATAAGGAATCAGTGGTAGACATGAGGCGGCAGAAATGGTATGGGCCAATCTCCATCCGGTCGAAGTACTGGGTCATTTAAACCGGATGATCAATCCAGGAAGACACCCGTGTCTCTGAAATATGAGAGAGAGAGAGAGAGAGAGAGAGAGAGAGAGAGAGAGAGAGAGAGAGAGAGAGAGAGAGAGAGAGAGAGACTCAAAAATCAAACTAGGAGAATCTTACTTAAATGTGGACCATTGACTTTCTGGAGCAAACTCCTGCTGAAAGCCTGACTGATCCCCGTGTATAAAGAAGACCCCATTATATATATATATATACATATATATACAGACATACATGCATATGTATATATATACATATAGCCAACATAATCAAGAGAGGAGATCTATGGAAGTCTGTAATTTACCCGGCGCAGCTCAGATGAGCAAGCAATCTCCACTTGATGGTCCTTTTTTGTAGGATGATCAGAGGAATCACTCGAGCCGGTTTCTGCTGCTTCTGTTTCTCTCTCTCTGGCTGACCCTCTCCCTCTTCTCCCTCTCCCTCTCCCTCTCCCTCTCCCTCTCCCTCTCCCCTCCCTGCCACTCCAACCATGCTTTACATCCCCCAGTCGCCCATCCTGAACAGGAGATTCTGTGGGCCTCTCCTCGGGCTTGGCTTCTTTCGCTTCCGAAGAGGCTTTCTTTCTCTTCTTACCCTGTAACTCACCCTCCTCGGGATCTCCCATGAGTTCCCTCGAGCTCCCCCCAGTGATGCCTTTCACCGCCCTTTTGATCCTCTGGCTTCTTATTTTGGCAAATTTCTCGTTAAACGTGCAGAACGCCTCTAGTCGTAGCTGGGTCTGTTTCCCATAGTAGAAATAAAAAACAAAAAAAAATTACTATGATATTGAGCATGCAAAAATCAAAAATCTCATTTTTTGTTGTTATTCTTGGTTAAAAAACAATAATGCAAATGTTACTATCACATCCTGTGATTCTTGTCTGGAGATCAAGTAATCTCACCTCGTGCTTGTTGTATTCCTTCAAAACGGGGACAAGCAATTCGTCAGCTTTCTGGTGGGCCCACCCAAACTTTTCCCAGCACAGCCTACATTCATGGTGAAATCTGTCTCAGGCGGCACACAAGAAGCTAGGAGATATATATATATATATAGAGAGAGAGAGAGAGAGGTGTGAATATATGAACATATGTGCATATCATATATGATGCACGATGTTCTTCCCGATTATTTTACTTTCTCCAGCCAGCGGACATCATAAAATAATCCCGTTTGTATTTAATTTGCAGACCGTGTTTTAATCTTGACGATAAAGAATTTTGAAGAAGGGACTTTTCTGCAAATGGATCGGGGGTTCTATGCAAACATTGATGTGGAGACAAAGATCAAAGAAATTGTATCTCAAGTAATGAGACAAAGATCTCTTGAAATGGAAAGAAACAAGTAAGAACTCACTTTCGGAGCAGAGGCAAGTCTGGCTTTCCCCATGAGAACGGCTCCGTCGATCCATCCACTTGAGGATTAATATAGGCAGAGACAACTGACATGCTTGGGAAGGATGCCGGGATGTGCCAGTTCTTGCTCACGTTTCTCTGGTATATGATATAATTGGAATAGAAGCTTTTCACATGGAACCCATTGTGGCTTCGTTTGAAAGAAGAAGAGGGAAATGGTCAGGTCAATTGTGACTAAAACTTACGTGCTTCTCCATGAAAATCCTCTTGACGTCCAGGAGGCCGCTTGAAGACGACTGAGAGCCATCTCCCTGAGTCCCATCAGATGAAGCACATTCATCTGCGTTGGTGTTGTTTGCGTTCGATGGCCGCCTCTTGGTTTTATCACCGATATGTGGATAAAGTTTCCCAAAAATAGATGGGTCTGGTGATTCGACCCATTCTCGGAACTTCTTGAGGCCATCTTCCTCGGGAAAGGCGTGCACAACTTCAATGGCGTTGACAATCCCAATACCGCTGCAATAAAAAGGAGAAAATAAGCCCTTTATAGATCTTTCATTACAGTTACTCTGGCAATGAATTTGTTTTCCCCTTTCCGCTTGAGCAAGGAGGGGCAGTGCACCAGTAAATCAAGACTGGGCATCCATAAAAAGCCATAGAAAATAAGAGACAAACATCATGTACCGGAGGCAAGAACAGGTCAGATCTGGGTATAATTCACTGATGATGCAATGAATTTTTTACCTGACACCTTCAGTGTAATCACTTCCGAGGAGCAACGCCATGTGGATCAGCTTTTCTCTGTTCAGTCCAAGCTCGTTCTCTATGTCCTAGTACCCAAAAGAATCTAGCAAATGAGCAATTCATCATTGACTAGTTTTTCTTTTATCATCACTGCTGACCAGGCAAAACAGAGAGAAATAAAAATCCATGATATGAACATATATCAGCAATGATACAAATTCAGTGCGGCAAGAAACTTCTAGAATGGGCGGGTGGGAAGAAATTAGATGGAGAACAAGAACATACCGTGAAAATGGATGCTGAAACAGGAACAACTAAGCGACTTGAAAGTTTCGAAAAGAGAACTGTACCTTCATTAAGTATGTTTCAACATACTTCCTGTCGTCAAAAATATTCTTATACACATTTTGGGCCCCAAACAAGAACGCATCAGAGTCGTCCGTAACAATGCCGTCCACTAGGTTCATTATTTCCATATATGCGCATTGAGCTTCAGCTTCCATGGGGGCAATGATAAAAGGCAAGCCGAACATTTGCAGCAGCTCCTAGAATGCCCAGAAAAGGAAACAAGTCATCCTTAACGATCAAGGTCGCTGACATAGATTTTAGAAATATAAAACGTTATTAGCCACCCTTCATGAGTTTGATTGGCCACAATATATTTGAAGTGAAAAAAAACTATTTGTAGGCAGCAGATTTCTTGACGAACGCATAGAAAGAATGAACACAAAACCAAAATATCACCGTATTAGTAACTTTTCTATGATACTATGTGGAAAACTCTAGATGATAATCTCTAGATGCACAAAGAAAATAATCTCAAGATGGTTACACCAAAAACGCTATGAAATTTAAAAGCAACAAAGAGGCATTACGATGGTGTTTCTCCAGGTCATATTAGTGAATCATCTTCTATGAAACAAAGCTCGCATCTTGCACTAAGATGGCACTCAGAAGTTTTAATGAATAAAAAGGAAAAAAAAAACCTCCCAAATCACTGAAAGGAGAGAGAAAGAAGCGCATGTAGAAAAGACAGATTATGTTAATGAAAATAGTTTTCATCCGATATTTGTTCAAATCATAATGGATCCAAGGCAGCAGGAGTAATCATGCCATTTGTCAGGTATTTGGATAACATAGCCATTTGGAGAGTATTACAAAAAAATTACCTGGCACTCTGCAAACATCTCATTGTTGACTGACTCGGCATTACGTTCAAGTTTTCTCTGCTCATCTCCAAGATCCCTACACTCACGACTAAGAAGTGACAACTCTTCATCCAAAGTAGATTCCAGGGCTTCTGTACGTAAATTCATGCTTTCATGAGTTGAAGTATCATATCTGTACTCTTCTTCTTCAGGGACTCTGCAGCTATCCAGTACAGCTGCTCCATGTGTTTTATCAGGATTTATATCTGGCTTCCCAAAAAGGTAAATATCTAAGAAGCGCAGTCAAAAAAAAATATTTCAATATCAGCAAAGAATAAGAGTTCCATACCTGCCCTTGTAACACAAATATCTGAACTGTCTGGAGGTAAGACATCTACTTTATCTTCATCATTAATAGAAATATCTTGACAAGATTCCTGCAGGCAACTCGGCATTCCGACCAATCCACTGGTAGAGACCCTGTCTATTTGGGACCCATTCAGCGCCTTGCCATCGTTGTTTGATTGAGTGAACCATACATTACCGGAAACTCCAATCTCTCTGTCAGGCACATCTGTCACTGGTAATTTACCACCAGAGTCAATCAATATTGTATTAGTTGGACACAGCCTTTCAGGAGAGTTGATGGTTCGTCTACCGTCTTTGACAGCTCCATCCAGCAGACCAAGCCTCTCAGCAATCGCTGAGTCTTGCATAAAATTTTGCCCATCGCCTTGGTCAGGCCTTGGAGAAGAGCCTATCTCATTCCTCTCACAAGAAGAATCCTGACGTAGAGACCTACTAACAGATTGCTGACTGAAATCTTCAAGGCTTCTCCTTATTGCTTCCTGGATTTCAGATTCTTCCTCTCGTAATCCTCTTGAAACAGATTTAGCTGAAACAATTTGAAACTCTCCATCCTCCAAATTCAATCCATCATTTTCATTTATGATCCTTTCCTCTAATAATGATTGATCTATGCCCCTGCTGTCAGTCAGGCTGTTTATAGCTATGTCCTCAATGTCTCCATCCTCCCAATCAGAATCACAATCAGAATCAGAATCAGATCTATTCGAATCTTTTCCCACAGAGTAAACTTCCGAAGGAAATGCCAAGGTTGACTTTCCGGTCACTAACTGTGAGAAAATTTCTTCATCGCCGTCTACCATGTTATCCACGGAAAATGAAACCTCTAGAGGAGCTTCATCTTTCACCGTAGAAACCTCAAAAGAATGATCATCATCTCTAATGTTTTGTACAGACGTATTTCTGTTCAAAAGTTCACCAGGCGCCTCACTATCCAGTCTAGTCATAAAAGAAACGTCATTTTTGGAGTAATTATCAGGGAGATTGATGGCTTCCCCGCCATCAATAGGTGCCATGTCCTTGTGAACAGCAGCATATTTATTTGCAACATCGTTTTCCAACATTAATTCTAAATTGTGCTGTAAATCCCGAGTCATACGGATTCCCAGTCCTCTAACTCTGCTAACCCGCATCCGACCCCTCTCATCACGATATGTCTCTATATCATGGCCAAAATCCTCAGTTAGTGCATCCTCATTAACTCGATCAGTAGATTTCAGATTGCTAGATGATGGACCCCTCGGAGAATCATCTGGAATTGACTCCTTCCCGGTGCTTGATCCTGTTTTCTCTACGGTTCCACTTTTCTCACCTTCTGTTGGTGTAAACTTCCTGGCTAGAGAGAACAGTTACACACATGAAAATTTTCTTTTCAGAAAAACTAATAATAATGAAAAAAAGATAGAATTAATTAGGAACAATAGAATAAGTTGTCAACAGTATATTGATCTGGTACTGGAATTCGCACAGTATTATAGAGATTCCTAAAACTCACTGTTGAATGTAGTATGTTTTGTAATGCCATTCAGCATTGATCAAAGGAGCCATCATCGTATCCAAAAATGTTACCAATGATAGCCGTTATTCTTGCCATGGGAATTTTTAAATTTGTATCATGTCCTGCTTTTCAAATCTAATTACGGAAAATAAATAAATCTTTGAAGCATGATTACAGAGTACACAGGTCAATGAGACAAAAAGATACTGGGTCACATAAATACTAGAGATGGCTACAACGAAGCAAAGTTGAGGCATAGGAACTCAGGGATGATGGAGGGCAACAAGCCCTAGAATTGTGCAAACTTTGGTCTGCATTAGTCCTATTGAAGCAACAGGAGCTGCCCCAATATAAATGATGTTCTTAGGATGTGATAGGTTCTATCTAGCTATAAATGACACTCTTTGGGTATGTTTATTTGCTTTTTTATAAGATGACAAACCTCTCACGCCAAAAATAAACCAAAACGAATCAGAACAAAGAGCACGTTCTAAAAGGCTACGATGCTGACTGAATTCATAATGCAGAAACTTATCAAATTCCAATCAGTTAGAGTAAAAATTTTGAATCAATATAAAATATCTATAATCATTTAATCCCTTTTAAATGGAAAGATTTGCATGCTTACCTTTTATCCCCAGTAAATGATGTTGAAAATACGAACTCCCTATTAGATTCAGAAGCTATCCTGGAAGTCTGTAGTCCTTCTGGTCCCTTTCCAGCAGCAGATCTTTGGACTTCATCAATCTCTCGACGGAATGCAACAGTTTTGAGATAAGACTGTATTTGTAGCTCAGAAAATTTTGAAGGACTCTAGACAAGATCACAGAAAAGTAAAGTAAATGGTTGTAAGGTTGCAATAATTATTATAATACAATAAAGTTAGAAAATATCTAAAGAAATAATCTCCAAAATTGTCGATCTGTACAAGAACAAACTACAAAGACAACTATGCTTATCAAAAAATATGTATGAACACAAAGAAAAAAAATTTGTGCTTACTGCATATTTGCGTTTGACTCAGATTGGACAATATGAGTAGGTACTATAAATCTTAAATATAATGTCAAATGGTCACGATTGAATGAACACAGACAATTTTTCTGGAGAATTTTGGCATGAGTTGACACTTTAACATGCTGCCTTTACCTTAACTTAGGTATCATAGAAGAAAAGAATAACTGGAAAGTTGCATTCATCTACCAACTCCCAGTTCCTGGTTATTTGATCCGTCAACACCTCTGTTCAGACTTACAATGATAGCTTGTGGATACAGGTATAATCCTCAAGAGCCAAAAACGTAAGCTTCTTTGTCACAGGTGTTGTTTCAAAAAAAAAAAACCTAAGTTCCAGGATATCCAATTGATATCTCATCGATGTAAGTTATTTTTTTCATAACTCAAGTGAAATCTGAGTCCTACAAATTCTTTTCCAAGTATTCAGAACAATAAAATGAAAAATAAAACATAAATTTGCAAGGTGTAAACAATATTGGAGTTTATCACAAATTTCCAAAGTTCTTAAAGTTATATCAAAACAGTTAGAAGCCCAAGTGAAATTTTATGGCTATACATAATATGTCAACATACGTTATACGACCATTTTAGGCCAAAAATGTCCCCATTCTGTCAGGGAAAACAAGATTCCGAAACTTAAGGTTACATGCCTTTTTTATTGGGGGGGGGGGGGGGGGGTTTGCGCTTTCTCTTTGATACTCGTGGAAAAAATAATGGATACAAAATTTCTAGCATACTGAACTAACAAGATTTCTTGCTGAATTTCATCGTGTGTGATCGAACTAACTATGGCATTATTTAAGATTTCCATTGCATAATCACCAACATTCGAAAATCTGCGACTTTTCAACTTAATATTTGGCAGCATGACAGAATCCAGGTAAACGCCCTGGTACAAACTCGATCACACACATTAAGGAAAGTAATCATTTCTAACTCAAAAGTTTAGTTTTTTGAGTTCCATTAAACGTAAAATTGAACAAGCTACAATAATGAAGTAGTGGTTGCGTGCATGATTCAGATCGAAAATAATACCATGGTCCTCAAAGAGAATACCTTTTAATTATATTTAAAATCTTTAACAACTCACATTTACAAAATATCTTAATTAAACCACATTTTAACATACAGAATCTTCATACTACTTTAATAGTAGATATAAAAGTAAAATCACCATGATTAAATCCACTTGTTTTTTTTCCATCCTTAGAATTGGAATAAAATCAAATAAAACATCTCGCATACTTCAGTAAGAACCTGCTATTCACTTATAGAAGTGAATAGCAAGTTCTTGACAACCAGCTACAAAAGAAGACAGGTTTTCGAGTGCAACATCTTGACAACCAACTTTTTTCTATACTTAGAGAGCAAAACTTCATTAAAGTCGATTTCATAGAAGACTTTCCTCCCAGTATTCAGCATTACACATGATGTTCTACAAGTTCTGTGACAGTTCTTTAAATCGCAAGCTTGTACCACCAAATGGCAGGTGGAAACCAAAATATCAAAATACCTGAATTTGAAGGGAAGTGTTGAGAAGTTTGATATAAAATTGAGTGAGAGACATTGTATTCACAATTATATACCCATGAGATCTATGCAATACAACATTTTTAATAGTATGGCTCATGAGAAATGTCGGCACTGAGCACCAAAAAGTCGAGATTCAACTCTGATGAAGTAAACTCACCACACAGAAAACAACATGAAAGCTTCTGTAAAAGACAATATAAAAATTCAAAACGTTGGTAGCCATTGAATAGGAATTATAAAATTAAAAGAGAAATATGACAGAGCAAAACCTTCTTAATCTTCTGATACTTCTGTCTATTCTCAGCCATCAACCTCTCTCTCATCTAGGGGAAAAGGCATTGTTACATTTGGATTATGGTTCAGAATCAAGACGAAAATGAGATGAAATGGAACATCATGTCTATAGTATGGGTTATACCTGAACAAGAAGATCAAGCTGCATAGATGGCGGCAAAGAAGCTAACACGGTAGGGTCAAGACTACCATTTCCAACAGGCTGCAAGTAATCAATGCCAAGGTATAATTTTTAATGTAAAATTATAAAAAATATACTGCCCTAAACAAAAGTTTTAACATGAAACAACCGAACTACAAAAGTTTTTTCTTTTTTTGGGGGGAAGGGAGGGGGAGGGGAGGGGGAGGGGAGGGGGAGGGGGGCTTTTAAAATATAAGGGAATTCCATTTTATTTGCAAAATATAAAAAGACCAAACAGTTTCAATCAATGTTGGCAGCATTGAAGTTTGTAGGAACAACCGATGATGCACATGAATGACACTGGCATGCATGTCATGACCCCCAATGAAGTGCTGTTCTGCCTTTGCAAGGAAATTCAGTGCAAATCAAGCACAGTTCAGAGTTTAGAGCTAAGAGCTTTCAGAACAACTCGTAACTGGTTTAGATATACTTCATCAATAACGAATCATGGTATAACTCATTTTTTTAATATGAGCCAAAAATAAGAGAGGATAACTAGCCCTCACAGAGGGATAAAATGACACGGTGAGACTCCAATCATAATCCAGCAAATTTGACCGAAACCAACATTAATTACTTCCTCGTAAAAGAAAAAGTTTCACTAATAATGTTTCTGAATAAGGTAATTTGATTTTTTTTATTTTACAGTAAGTAAATCTTGACTATAAGAGGAGGATCTCGAGCACTATAAAGAAAGAGAGAGGTTTCGAATTTAAATTACCAATGAAAACAAATTCGCTAGGGAAGATACAAACCTTGGTGTGAGAAAGGCTTCAAAAATACTTTACGCAAACGCCACGAAATCGGTTAACCATAAATCATCACAGAATTCCAGGCAGTGAATTGAAATAAAAATACAGTAGATCATCTTAATGAATGTGGTTATCCAAAGAAAAGGTGTGGCCACGGTCCTGTCCAGTTCTTTATCGTTTACATCGCATAATATGTGGAAACAATCAATGGGTGATGAGGCTTCACACCACATTCATGCCTACACACTTCCAACACTCGACATAGGAGAAGATTGGACCACGTTGATAGGAACGAATCTTTTCTAATAAAAATTCAATACAAACGAAGCGTCCAATGAACTTCACTATGATCAGAACACAACAAAACAATTTCACAAAACAGACTGCCCTTTGGGAAAGTCAGTCATATATTTCTCCATTATCAATGCAATCCTCTGAAGACACAAATAACTAAGGAGACAATCTCGAGAAAATGAAACGCAGCTTGAGCTGTAAGGGAAAAGAGCATATTCTGATTGAATTCTTCAGAAAAGGCAAGCATTTTGGGTTGTTATGCCACTAGTTCTCAACAAAAACTGTGAACCTTAAAGAATCAATCATTCAGAAATATAGAGAAACTCAAGAGGCTACAGCTAGAAAAAAAGGGAAGCGTGGTCCTTCTGGTTGGACACCAAAGGCTCATTGTTAAGTAAACTAATATAAAAAACTATGAGGAAAAACATGACACAAGCAAGGGCTCTCAACAGACACGGTTAGTGTTTTTGGGACGTCAATTCAAGAAAACTTCAAAGCTATTATGGGCTTCTTGAAAAATCATCAATGCAAGAGGAAAAGTTTCGGAATATTTGATATATAACAAGTATGAGCCAAGTACAAACTTTTATTCCCAGACCCCGAGTTTATTCTATTCAGGGCCACCTTTAGATCTCTTCTAATCCACTTTCTTAATTATAGTTCCATATAGACAGACTGACACCAGGGTTATATGAGGACATATAGGAACCTGTAAGGTTATTTCAAATTTTATGTCATCCGCTGAAATAAAAACTGAAAACTAGATATATAAAATGATGGCGAAACATTGGATCATCCCGTTTCTCCGTCTATGGTTTTTTGAAACAGTGCGGACTTTTAAAACACGTTCTCCTACCGTTCTGATTGTGCTATTAAAAGTTCAAGTAAACTAGCAATGATTAGAAAACCTAGATAAAACTGCTTTCTCGCAAGACTTACTATTGTCATCTCTTCACACTCATCTTCATCAAACTCCTCTTCATGAGGAAATTGACTAGTGGATGTTGCTTCGTTGCTGATGAATGTCCCTTCTTCCTCTGCAGCAATGGATGCCGCTAACCTAAACATGACCCGCAAGTAATGAAACATAATGCACCGAAAATTTATAGGTGAAAGTTTCAACGTCTCGAAAACAAGTTCAAGGCGATGTGCTCACATTTCATCTAGCCGTTCCGGATTGATACCAGTACGCAGAGGGTGATCAGTTTCTTCCGAAGCTCTTGTGTCAGACAACCCATCCTTATGATCAGGTACAACGTGCTTCCCTTTTGGATCGTCCTTAAACTTGCTGTCTTTAATTTCTGCCGCCAATTCCTCCAGTTTCTTTGCTTTCAGCTGTTGAAAATGAGAAGAAGCAAGCGAAAATAACTTAAATCTCGTCGAAGTCGACCGACGGCACAATGAATATGCTGCCAGCATAAACAATGCCACAGCTTCGTAGAGGTTTCGAACGCACTTCGGGAATTAAAGAAGCTGGAAGTGAAGGGGAAAAGAGGATCGATTGTAGCTATGGTGATGATTGCACTCACATGGTTAAGAAGGAGCTTCTCGGCGGTCTTCCGGATCTTGGCACTAGCATTTTCCCGGTGGCGCCGTCTCGCCGCGACTGTACGGCGCTTGAGGGCGGGGGTACCGCCGTCGAAGACGAAGACGGGCCTGGTGCGGAGGAAGAGCAGCTTGCAGATGCGACGAAAGAAGCCGAGAATGTGCGCGTTGCGCACCATCTCTCCCTTCTCATCCCGCATCGCCTTGATGAACTGCACAAGCCATATGCTGGCATCTGCGACGGCAACAACAATTCAGAACCACTGCAATTGCTGCAGCGACTAAGGAAAATTGGAGACAACAAAGAAATCGAGTCCAATTGTGAGAAGACAGAAAGACACCTATGGCGACCTTTTTCCCGGCGAGGGTTTCGACGGAGACGCGGCGCCCCACCGGAGCCAGCAGTTCCCAGAGACCTTGCACTCCCATGGGAAGAAGACGACCGAAAAGAACATTTCTCCCTCCCCCCCTTGCGCAGTTTATAGCCCCGCCAAAACCGCCGAGGCACGTGATGGCCCACCCTTGAAGGCTCCTTCTCTCACAAGAAGTCAACGATCAGTGGGGCCCGAATCCGGTCAACGCGGCTCAGGTAGCTCCAAGAACAGCATCCAGTCAAGGTCACAACAAACCTTAGCATGGTCTAGCATCCCAGCGGGGCCCACCGGACGAGAGAACCATGGGCCGTGATTACGGGCCGGCCCAACGGATGCAGAGCCCGACTTCACGTCGACCACGAATTTATTATTTAATATATTCGGAAAAGCCCTATGGAGGAGGGAGAAGACTTTCGAGGGCCCCACCGGCGGGGAACACTAAGGCGGCAGATTCGCTTTTCCCGATCCGCGTGCATTAATTCAAATTAATATTATTCCAAGGTAATAAAATCATCCGCCATCTACCGAGGTACCGACGTAGTAATTATGCCTATATATATAAATAATATTTGGGCACAGAATTTCTAGTTCGGAGGAGATAATTATTTAATATGAGAATAAATTTAAAGATATTCTGAAGTGAGAGAAAGTTTCGAGAAGTTTGAAGGATGCCATCAATGTCGGAGCCGAGAGAATCAGCATCTGCAGAGGAGGCGGCGCCGGGAGGGCACCGGGGGGAGGAGGAGCGGCGGCCATTGTGAGCGGGAGGAGGAGCAGGAAGGAGATCGTGAGGAGTGAGGAAGAGTGTGGAGGTGGCGAAGGGGGAGAGGAGGGCTTTGGATTGAGATGGAGGTCCAATCTCGAGCCCCGGGGAAAGTTATACTCTGCGGAGAGCACGCGGTTGTCCACGGATCCACCGCCGTCGCCGCCTCTATCAATCTCTGCACCAACATCAACTTCCGCCCCGCTTCCGCAGGTATCTCCTCCTTTGTGCCTGTTGTGTTGGTGGAAGTTTCTGATCCGAAGTGGTGCCAGTTGCATACACTTGGATCTTACCTTCCGAATGAGGAATGTATTGATGGAGTGGGAAGAAATGTGTTGTTTCCTCCGTTTTCTTTGCGATAACTCGTTAATGAATTATGGAAAATCTTGAGAAGAATGGAAGGTCCTTGAATAGGTCGGATTTTGCCTCACTTTGAATTATTTTGGATCTTGTCCCGTCACTGTACTGAGGTTCGTGGCACAGAATTTCCGGTTGGATTAATAGCTTAGCCACCGGAAAAAATCGCGCTCCCCTCCTCTTTGAAATTGCACTTGGCCAAGGCATTTCCAGCGCACCTGATACCGATTTCCTGTCCTTTTTCTATGGTCTCATCACTCTAGGGAGTGGTGATCGATTGCTCGAGCTCGAGCTTAAAGACACGGACATCGTGCTATCATGGCCAACAGAAAGGCTGAAGGAGGTGTTCTCTGAAATAGGCTCTCCTGCTCCGTTGTCACCGCAGCCCTGTTCCCCGGAGACTCTGGAACTGATTTATGGCCTCTATGAGGAGCAAAAGCTTCCAGAGGCTAAAGCTGGGCTTGCTTCCGGGATCTCCGCCTTCATTTATCTTTACACTTCAATACAGGGGTATAACTTCTCCTTCTCCCTGTATTTATGATCGAGAAGTGTTTATATCTGCTTTCCAGAACGAGGCACTCATGAAAAAAACATATTTTTCAGTTTAAAGGCAGGGCGAGTGGTTGTGTCCTCTGATCTTCCTCTGGGCGGGGGATTAGGATCATCTGCCTCGTTCTGTGTCTCCCTCTGTGGTGCGCTTCTAGCGTTTTCTGGAGCTGTGGGCCTGCAACATGAGCAAAACAGTTGGTTTAAGTTTGGAAAAAATGAGCTTGAATTGGTTAATAAATGGGCCTTTGAAGGTGAAAAGATAATTCATGGCAAACCATCCGGCATAGACAATACTGTCAGCACATTTGGTGAGTGATTACTTCACAAGTCGACACAAATGGATTTCACCACGTCAACTGTTACTATTTTTTGCCTTTTTCAACGCCTAGCTATTAATGGCCTGTACGAGTGCTGTTATTTCTGGTGCCTATCTTCTCCGTTCCTTCATATTTTACCTGGCATACGATATATTTCTTCCCATTTTTGAATTCACGATACATTTTCTCCTAAATTATGACTGAACTTTGTGTAACAGGCAATATGATTATGTTTAGGTCAGGGGAGTTGACTCAGATCGAACCAAACGTGCCCCTAAGAATGCTTATAACTAACACGAAGGTTGAAAGGAATACAAAGGCCCTGGTTGCTGGCGTTTCTGCAAGAGCTAGCCGTCACCCACATGCAATGGCTTCTGTGTTCGCAGCGGTGGATTCTATTAGCAAGGAGCTGTCAGAAATTCTACAGTCACCTGCTCTTGATGCCCTCTCCATTTCAGCACGGGAAGATAAGATTGGTGAACTAATGGAAATGAATCAGGGTTTACTCCAATGCATGGGAGTCAGTCATGCTTCGATAGAAGACGTGCTTCGGACAACCTTGAAATATAATTTAATTTCCAAGCTGACAGGAGCTGGTGGTGGAGGCTGCGTTTTGACTCTTCTACCAACTTGTATCCTTTACTTGTGCACCTTTTCTAATTTGTTGATTCAATCAACTCAAAATTTTTGATCTAAGAAAAAGATGAATCTTCATTTTTCTGGAAATATTTGGAACCAGTGACGTGAATATCTAAGGTTATTTGTTTAATTGATTTCAACTTTATCTTAGTTTATTTATCCATAAAAGAATTCAATGTTACGTTTGCTGTAGTACACGTAATGAGTGTGCAGATGAATATCCAGAAACAGAGCATCATACGATAATTGCCTCTTTGACCTGCCAAGCTGTCAGCAATTCGATCTTGGTCTGTTTTTTTTTTTTTTTTTTCCCTCCCTGGGATATGAGTGTTTGGGCAGTAATTCTGGCTCCTCGATATTTGTTTATTCCAAGAAGCTGAACATCTGTTCGTAGCTCACAGATTATTGCTATCATGGAACTCATGTACCTGGATTACATGAACATGGTGTAGGCACTGTACATGGGAGAACAGGAGCGTCCACTACCATACCAAATCATTTTTTCCCCATATCAAAATACATTAGTTTTTGCAGCAAAACCTCATCTGGTCAAACTCATAGACTTGTTCCAGTCTTCCCTCTCTTTTGAAAAGTCAGCGCTGACTTTTTAGGTACACATTTTTTCACCATTTTAAAGACTGAAGAAACCCGCCCCTCATCCCTGCTTCTGTACTGATTTAAAGTTTATTTTATTTTATTCCTTCTATGATTACGCCTTGACATGAAAATCAGCCCTCTCGAGTGAAATCGTGGGGAAAGTCATGGCGGAGCTTGAGCCCTGCGGATTTCAATGCTTCACAACAGAAGTCGGTGGGAGAGGTCTCGAGATCTTTCTCTCTGGTTCCCCCCCCCCCCCCCTGATCGAGCATTTTGACCAGAGACCCAGGTAATTTTTTCCCAAGATGTTCAATCTTTTTGTCTCTATGGAACTTCCTCTGTATCAATAATATTTTGAATAATGTCATAAAAGAATGTTATGGTATTTAGTGAGGCATGATTAAATAATTTTCACTTATTCCTTCTCTATAAGGATGTATCTGATGCGTGCTTACTGCTATGTAAGCAGTTTTTGGACTGTATTATTAGTATCTGTATAAAAATACGTACAAATACATGATGTATACGCCGTTGACCTTTTACACAGATCCCCGAGGAATCATACATGCGCATGATATCGTGATCTTGTGATAAATATGTTCATGCCCCTCATAAAAATGCTGTCCTTCAACTCTGCACTGGGTTTTAATAATCGTTCTTGACTTTTTTTATTTTCCAAGATATTTCCCCAACTCAGAACTGCCTCAGTCCCGCGTGATAATCGTGGCAAGTGATTGTCAACGTGCCACGTGTTAGTGCAGGATCATTTATAGGCTAATCCTGGATTTTCCATATCTGAATCGTGGGTGGTGATGGCTTAAAATAGTATTATCTGGTCTATAATCATAGTGGGTCGCCTTTTCAAGATCTAAATTATGAATGCTTTAATAATTATTTTACTTCATAATCCACAACAACTCTCTCTCTCTCTCTAGCTCTCTCTCTCTCTAGGATCATTTGTCTTCGAAAGGCCCTGGTTAGGGTGGGTGGGAACGCCACAAGGGACCCCACGGGTTTAGGTCTCTGTTTCTAGGTTTAGGTGGTTGCCTCCAGTGTCGGCTGATATGGTGGAGTGGTCAACAGCGGGGTTTACCTTTTCATATCTGGGGAATCGTCAACGGTTGGTGAGTGACCACCAACAGAGAGGGGCTGCCCCAAATGTCAGGGTCCACGAGCGTAGTCAAACCTAACGGTAGGCCCCACATGCACAGGTCAAACCTCCGAGAGGAGCAAGGCGACTGACCCGAACCCCCGCCGGAGGAGATGTTCCCATTGGGCAACGATGAATATGATGTCAAACGCCGTCAGGAATATTGTCTGGAATCTTTTCCGACATAAATTGTGTAAAGCGTGTTACCAGATTTTGGTCATTAAACACTTTTCTAGTGATCGATGTCGGTAAATGTCATCTCCCTCGTTACAGACCGACCTCGTGGAGTTGACGGGGGATCGCGTGACCCACAACGGACGGTCCCCGATCCTCCAGTGATGACGAGGCGCCATCGTCCCCGTCCATTCAACTCGAGACCTGTCATGGGGCCCACCGTATGACGTGGAGGAATCCGTGCTACGTACCACCACCATCCACGCGTCAACTGAATTCGCCCTTTTACGGAATATAATGTATATCGTTGACCAAGATGGCTCCCAATCATGGGGATCAAAACAATGCCATTAATGGAACATCAGAGCCACTTAACCTTCTGAAATAAATAAATAAATAAATAAATAAATAATAACTTAAAATTTTAATTAATTAAAATTAATGTGTGAACATGAGGGAGAGGTGTGTGTGTGGGTGGTGGATGGGTTACTACCCTCAGCCTTGGGAATAGAACGGTTGTCTGCGTGGGGCTCACAGCCTGACCAGATAACGTGAGCCACGTCACGTCTGGCCACGTAAACATGGCGCGGCCCTCGTCCGGCCCCCGCCTCCGCCACTCACTGCCGGAGCCCACATGACTCCCCCCCCTCTTCCTCCTCCGTCCTCTCCCATTTAACAATCCCCACCGCTCTGGTTCTAGAGAGAGAGACCTCCGACTACCTCTCTCTGGTTCTAGAGAGAGAGAGAGGGAGAGGAGGGGGGGAGGAGAAGGAAAAAGGTTGGGTCTTGTTGTAGGAGGAAGAAGGCGGGAATGGAAGTGGGCTGGGAGCTGGAGGACGATCTGTTCTTCGCGGACCTGAGCGAGCGAATCGCCCTTCTGATCATGGAGGAGAAGGACGACGACGACGATGGTGGCGGCGCCGCTGAGGAGTCCTTCTGGCGGCGGCGGCGGGAGGGGATTCCCTTCCAGGTGAGAGCCCTCTTCCACGCCCCTCCCCCCCACCACCGCAGCGAGTGGGTGAGATGGCTGAGATTCCCAGAGCTGCTCGCGTTTTCAGGCCTTCGCGGCGGCGCCGCCGTCGTTGCCGGAGCGGCCTGGGGTGAGAGGAATCAGGGGCACCGGCGTCTTCATCCCCCAGTCCTCCCTCCCCAGAAGAAAGCCCAGAAACGGCAAGTCGACCCATCCCGGCAAACCCAAGCCCGCCGCCGCCGCCCCCGCCGCCAAGCCCTGCGGCCATCGCCACCGGAAGCCGGCGAGGGAGCTCCGATGGTAGAGAGGAAGAGGACGATTATTTACCATGCTATTGCCACGGGGGAATAAGCTAATAAAGCCGGGAGCATCCTCACTTCTTCTCCTTCTCCTTCTTCGTCGCCGCCAGTCTTTCCGGCGAGTTGCAGAGGCCATGTGAAGAGAGGGGCCGCCGCCCGCCGGGATTCCGACGTCCAGCTGGCTGCCGCCTTGCTGCCGACTCTCGCAGTCCACCAACCTTTCCCCTTCCGGAATGCATTCTTCATCCTCTCTTTCCGTGCCCAACGTTCTTTCCGCTCCGGGAATGAGTTCCGCATGCTGAAGGGATGTGGATGGGTGAAAGCCCGGAAAGATAATCCGATTATTTTCTTTCATTTTCTTATAAATCGGCTGAATTATTTATTTTACACCATTTAATTTTTAGGTGGCCTTTTTAAGACCCAAAAATCCCCTAAAATCCCGGGAAAATATTTGTTTTTTTCATTTTCCTAAAAATTAACTGAATTATTCATAACGCTTTTTTTGTGGTGGTTTTTTAATTTATAAATATTCCGATTAATTATATTTATGCTATAAGTTGACACATAATAAAGATCGTCTGTGAGGAGAGAGGAAATATTTATATTCGCTTCAAATTGTATATTTGGAGGTTAAATAGTCAAATAAGATTTATTCCATGGTTTTTAAGCTTGAACTGAAAAATAAAGGGATTTATATACTAATTCACTCCACTTGTGGGGAGGAAAAAACGAAATGATCTCAAATAATTCATTATTTCTGTGCGACTCCGCCACTCCACTCTCACTTCCGACGTCTTCAAATGGGCCTTTCCCGAATCCTTTTTCTATGGCCCAGTCCGTGGTGCCCGCCAATTGGACCGACCCATTTAAATGTAGATAGACAAGCCCATTTGTATCATTATGGGCCCATTAAGGGCCCGACTGGAGGGCTTCCTCCCGCTCTTGCCCCCTTCTCCCTCCCCCCTCACAAAGGCGGTCAGAGGGCCTGTAAGATCTCGCCGTCTGAGGGCTCTCCTCTCTTCAAGGGACTCGGAGGATTGACGTCCTCCACAAGGAGGGGTGGAGAACGCTGGGGGAACACCGAGTGTGGAACGTCCTCGTCAGAGATTCTCTGCCCATGTGCAGAGGAGAAGGCCGTGGTCGGCTGCTCTTCGGAGATCGGCTTCGAATCATCTACGAACGCGGTGCGTCTGTCTCCTAGGGCTCACACGGGACCCCCACCTTCGGCGCCGGGAGCCTCACTATTTCAGTAGGTTGCGGCGCTTCCCGAACTTGATGCGATAGAGGTACGGACGGATCGTCGATCTGCCATCTCATTTTTGGCGAAATTGCAATCGAGGTCGACGATAAGAGTGTAGGGAATATGTGGAGTTTTATTTATTTCTTTCTTTCTTAAGTCTCTTCCTGGAGTTTTTGCTGTGCCTTTGAAGAATTTTGTCTTTCTGATAATCTTCGCCTGAAATGTATTATTTCTTGTCTTAGAATTTGCTCAATTCTTGATTACCTTCTGCCGAAAAAAGGCTATCAGGGTTTTATTTGACTTCAGGAAGCCCCGTTGAGGCGCTCTTTCCAATTGACAGACTTGTGATGTAGACCCGGTGTGTGTGATTTCCATGGTATACAGAACGGTCCCCCATTAGCAGCTCTAAATTTCTGTTGGCAAAGTGCTGTTTTTTTATTCCCTCTCTTAAATGGGATCAACGGTTTTCTGATTCTGTGTGACTTAAGGATCCTTATTGTTTTATGTCATTGATATCAGTTACGATATCTGATTTCCATTCCATTCTGTTTTCTAGATTGACCTTAGACATTGTTTTCAAAAGTTTAAGATAAAGAATTGACATTAGCCGCTGAAAATAAAAGATTTATTCTAAGACAATGTGCTAGAACATTGTAGCCAAGCCCAAATTTTCTTCCCCCTCAAATACAAGACCACACCGCTGACATATCCATCGAGTTACGAATCTGTTGCTTGGACTATGAAAGTTTTCTTACCTTGGAGCCCCCAGTGCAGTAAAAGATAGCCCAACCCTAGTCAAGTCTGTTTACGAAGTAATTGTATGAAAATCAACTGGAAGTGTTGTTGGATTTTCAATAACTTGTTCTAGCTGACTAAGGCGTGCACCTCAAAATCCAATATAGTGCACAATATCTGACCAAAGAGCACATGGAGGATAAACGAGTGTCTCGGTGTGCTAGATTTTTGTGTATATGTATGTATCTATGTTTTGTACGTGCCTGCATAATAGAAAAGGTTAAAAAAATAAATGAGAATTTGACATCCCAAAGAAAGTCGCACAAGTGCAAAAATCTATCCTTGACGTGGAAAATCAAGTATTCGATTTGCTCATGTTGTGGTCATACCCGAGATGATGCCTTGATCATCCTTTAGTTGCTATCTTGAGTGCATTCAGCCATACTTGTCTGTACTACATCCTTAGAATTAGTTAGATGATATCTTTTGTAAGGGATACAAACATCATTAGCTTCATTATCAATTTAAACATTAACAATTATATGCTTCAATATCTGGTGTGCTTTCATTTACATTGTCTTCTTGACTTCCTGTTTTTAGGTATTTTGGTATGAATTCTGGTTTTTCATTTGTTCTTTGTGGTAATCTGTCACATATATGCAATATTTCTTGTTTGCATTACGAGAATTCTCTCAGTAGCATTTAGCCCTGCCATTGTTAGTAACACTGATTGGTGATGATGATCTTTATTGCTTTCCAGACAGTGTTGCCCTAGTAAGAGCTGGACTGAGCTCCTCAAGTTTCCCCTATTGCTGCTCTCTTGCTTCTTGATGGTCTTTGATTGCATCTGTCATTACCAAACATTGTCTTGCTTCATATGAGCTCCACTGTTTCTCCACCTTGGGGATCAAAACCAGAGATGACACTTGGGTCATTGGAATCATCACGTGCGGTGTCAACATCTGTTTCTTTTGGCCATTCTGAGTCCAGCCTCAGTGATGCTGATGATACTGAATTGCTTTCGGTCTCATGGAATCAGGATTATGGATGCATTGCTGCTGGTACTAATCGTGGTTTTCGAATTTACAACTGTGATCCCTTCAAAGAAACTTTCAGAAGAGATCTTAAAAGTGGAGGGTTTGTGATAGTTGAAATGCTGTTCCGATGCAATATCCTTGCTCTTGTTGGTAGCGGTGCAAACCCACAATATCCATCAAATAAAGTTATGATATGGGATGATCATCAGAGTCGGTGTATTGGTGAATTTGCGTTTAGATCTGATGTTCGTGGCGTGAAACTACGACGTGATTGCATCGTAGTTGTGCTTGAGCATCGGATATATGTGTATAATTTCACTGATCTGAAGCTTCTTCACCAAATTGAGACACTAGCTAATCCAAAGGGCTTATGTTGCCTTTCACATGAATCTAACACATCTGTGTTAGCTTGTCCAGGTTTACACCGTGGACAAGTTCGTGTTGAACACTTTGGTTTGAAGGTCACAAAGTTCATTAGTGCTCATGATTCCAATGTTTCCTGTCTCACATTGACCATGGATGGGCTACTTCTTGCAACGGCGAGCACAAAGGGGACTTTAATTAGGATTTTCAACACAATGGATGGTTCCCGTCTTCAAGAGGTAAATTCTAGCGGAATTTTGTTCTTTAGTTAACATCATATCTGTTTTAGTTATTTTCTCCTGGATATCTACCTCTCTTAATTTTTTTTGGTTCTTAGAGGTAAATTCATGTCTACAGTTTTAACGATTTTTTTTTTTTTTTCCCTCAATTGTAGTCTCCGTTGATACCTGCTCACTGTTTTTCCACTTAAGTTTTATTTGCCGTAGTTTTACCTAGTAATTGCTCAATTCTGCATACTTAGCATTAAAGATGTGTTTACGTGCGTCTGATTCTATTCTGATGTTATGATCAAAATGTAGGTGCGTAGAGGGGTGGATAGGGCAGAAATTTACAGCATTGCCCTCTCTCCAAATGCCCGTTGGCTTGGCGTCTCTAGCGACAAAGGAACTGTTCATATATTTAGTCTCAGAGTTCGTGTTTTTGGGGAGGATTCATCCGACCAGCATCCCCCTTCTCAACTGCTGGCAATGGTTCATCATAACTCATCCAATTCTATTGATCCTCTCATATCTCCGAGCACAGGCGCGAACCCCAGTTCGTCCTTGTCTTTTATGAAAGGTAAAGACTCAGCCCTTTTTGCCTCTTTCTCTATCATTTATGATATCAAGAAGACTCCATGCATACTTCGTCTTGCAATGTTATTAAAGAAAAATGTCAGTCTTTCCATTTCATGATTTTTTCAGCATTATTCTTACTTAGTTGACATTATATAAATTATTAAGCTTTGTGAATCCCAAAAGTTCCTTAAAATAGCGTTCACTTTTGTTGAAACCTCCGGTGATGTGGATTATGTTGTGCAGCATCTTTCCTGAGATTCGTATACATCATGAAAGGCTTATGTTGATGGGAAATCAATGCAGGCTTTCAAGTGCTGGTTAATCATTGACTATAAGTGGAGTAGGGTTCCAGTGGATAGAAATCAAATTGGATGATTATAGGCTGAACATTAGTGATGAGTTTACAGAGAGAGAGAGAGAGAGAGAGAGAGAGAGAGAGAGAGAGAGAGAGATATGGTAAGATAGATAGATAGCTAGTTAGCTAGCTGGATAGATCGTCCGGCCTTCATTATATTCATGTCCAAGCTGATGTGTTCGTCTCTGAGGGCATCTGTTCTAGTCTCCCTTTTTCCATCAGTGGCCAATTTGGTGCTTAAATTATCCGAACAATCTGAGCCAACCAAAACTAAAGCCACATTCTTGGTGAAAATCTTCAGGAGTCCTGCCGAAATATTTCAGCTCAGAGTGGTCCTTTGCCCAGTTCCACGTGTCGGAGACCACCCGCTTCCTCACCGCCTTTGGGTCCCAAAACACCGTCTTGATCGTTGGCATGAACGGCAGGTATCCACCCGCTTCTTCAACCATCTCTCTAAAGAGAGGATTCAAACTCTATTTCCATTTATGGAAGTGATCCTTCTCTTGCTCCTCCGTTCTCTCCCCTTTCAGTTTCTACAGGTGCCGCTTCGACCCGGTCAATGGTGGGGAGATGCTGCAGGAGGAGTACATCCGGTTCATGAAGTCTGACGCCCGCCGGGGGAAGCCGCCATCTGCCGCCGCCACCATCGTCTCCTGAAACTCGTGTATGTATTCATATGTCCATTTAGTCTACGCCCCAAGATCCCATGTACATGGAGGAATAAGATTGTGGGATTCCTCTGCGTTGACTTTGGATTATTTGATGATATCCTATAATTGTAATCGATTCATAGGCCGTTTGATGAGAATCTGATGGTCCAAATTGGAAGACTCTGGGCTCCTTTATCGGCCTTCTTGTTTTCTTTATTTTGCTTTCACTCCCCGTAAATAAATATCTTGAATCACCTACAGTGCCCTGATTTTTCATTTATTTTTTGTTAAAATCCGATTGAATCCACCCAAAGTTGATCTTATTATTACCCTTTAATATGCCCGGGTCATGTCTGTTCAGGAACCATCTCTCTCTCTCTCTCCCTTCTATTCATCTGGGGCGGCGGGCTCAGACCTCATGTGGGGACTCAGCTGGGCCCCGTTTTCTGGGCTTTTTTCCCGGGCCCGGGACTTTGGCTAATTTGATAACAGTAGATGGGAGGCATTTCATTTTTTCGTATACTACACTAACTCTAAGTCAGCATGTGCCAACACCCTTCTCACACTTACAGAAAAATAAAATAAAATAAATAATTCAGCGGGTAGCTTCTTCTCTCCTGACCTTCTCCCTTCTGTGTGGTCTCTCTCTCTCTCTCTCCCTTGGAAGAGGGGGGGCACTGGTTCCTGCATGCATGCATGCATGCAGTCTTCTCCCTTCCGGGTTGGACGTTGCTACGGCGATAAGAGACGGTGGAGCGCCTTCTTCACCTCTACGATGCTCGTCGTCCTCCCAAGCGGTCCCTCCACCACCTGCAAACCAGGAGAGATAAGGCCCCCCGCCCTGTTGCCTTTCTTAGATACCCTCTCTCTCTCTCTCGCTCCGCGGATAAGGTGGTGGCGTGAAGGGTTTTACCTTGGCTCTGATCTGCGCGACGAGGACGCCGGCGGCGGAGGAGGACTCCACGGAGGTGGTCTCCAACCCTAAATCGTGGACCGTCTGCAACATCCGCAGGAGGAGCCCGTCCCTGTTGGGGCACTGAAGCTCGAGGAGGGCGTCGGCTTCGATGATGGAGACCTGGACGCTGATCTCCGCCCCCACGGCGGCGATAGCCCTCAGCTTCTTCCTCTCCGGCTCTCCCGGCGGCACCCGGCCGCGGACGGGCGGCGGTGCCACCTCCACGGCGGCGCTGGTTCTCCGACCGGCCTCCATGAACTTGATCTGCGTCTCCATCTCCTGGATCCGCCGGAGGAGCTTCTTCAGGTACTCGATCGTGTCCCCGAGGATCGAGGCCTTGTCCATCTGCAAGACTTGCGGAGGTCAACGGCGGCGAGATGGAAAGAGCTCGGAAACAACGGCGGCGAAGGCGGTGGCGGTGGCAGTGGCGGGGGGATCGTACTTTGGTCACGCAGGGAACCATCGAGCGGAGGGTGATGAACCGCTCGTTGAGCTTCTCCCTCCGCCGCCGCTCCGCCAGGACGTGGCTCGCGTTCATCTCCTCCTGTGGCGCGCCGCCGCCGCCCCTGCGGAACCTAGTGGCGCCGCCCTCCGCCTCCGCCGTCCTCGGGGAGCCGCTCTCCTCCTTGCACCGGTCGTGGAGGTAGGGGACGCCGTGAAGGGCCTGCTTGAGCATCCACTGCGTCGCCCCATCGCCGGCGGTGGGGGCGGCGCCACCGGACCAGGCGCCGAACGCGGACTGCCGGGCCCGCTCGAGCAGGCGCCCGCTCGAGCAGGACTCCGCCCATCGGCTAGGGTTGTGCTGCAGGATCGTCGAGACCGTCTGAGAATAGTGAGCGTCCTCCTCCGACATGGCCGACTGCATCCCGCCGGTGGATTCGCCGCCGCCGCCGCCGCCGCCGACGGCGGCGGCGGCGGCGGCGGCGCGGCATAGAGCCAGCATCTGCAGGTCGGCGTCGAGGTCATTGGAGCAGTCCTCCGGCGAGCCCAGAAGAATCTCCTCCGGCGTCTGCATATGCACCATCTCCGTCGGCTCCGCCTTGCCGCCGCCGCCGTTGCCGGAATCAGAGCTGGACTCCGGCTCCTCCTCGTCTTCGTCGTCGTCATCGTCGTCGTCGTCGTCGTCGTCGTCGCCGCCGGCGTGGTCACCGTCGTCGTACCTATGGAGGTCCGCCGGAGGCGGCGGCGGAGGAATGGCGTCGAGGGACGGCGGCCGGAGGTGCTGCCTCCGGCCGTCGTTGGCGGCGGCGGGGGTGGAGGTGGAGTGCTCCGAGAGGGCGGGTTTGTTGCCATGGAGCGGCTGTTGGCGGTAACCGGAGAAGAAGCTCTTCATCAGATGGATCAGAGCCTGGTCTTCTTCAACCTGCAGATCAGAAGTATGAATGAATTCGTCCAGGGACATGAATTAAAACTGAGAGATCTGAGGGGTTCTTACGCTGTCAGTGGTGCCGACTTCAAGAACGCCATCTCCGACGGGAATGAAAACGACAGTCTGCAACATCAATGGAACTCCTCTTAGGTTGCTTACCCTCTCTCTCGTTTAGGGTTTCCAAGAGGAGAGGAAGGAGCGGAAAGGCGAAGAGGGCGGACCTTGATTTGAGCTCCCTGGTTTTGATGCCGTCGGAGTTTGTGGCCGCCCGTGGAGATTCGCATCCGGGAGGAAGGAAGAAGTACAAGGCAGTGAGAAATGGGGACGAAGAAAAAGAGGAAATGGCGAAGAACGGCGAAGAAGAAGAAGAAGAAGAAGCGATGAACGGTTAAGACGAATAATGAGGAGGAAGCGGAAAAAGAGGAAGACGATGATGATTAGGAGGAAGAGGAGGAGAGCGAGAGAGAGAGAGGACGAAGAGGAGGAAGGAAGAAGAAGAAGAAGAAGAAGATGAAGCAGACGGATGAAGGTAGAAGAGGCGGAAGGAACAGAAGGACGAAGGACGAAGGCCGAAGACCGAAGAGGAGGAAGGAGAGAAGGAAGAGGAAGCAGAAGAAAGAAGAAGGCGGCGGCACCTTGGCGAGGATGGCCCTGGAGAAGACCTTGCTGTCGACCTCGTTGGCTCCCGCGAGCCACACTGCCTGCTGCTTCTCGAACGCCTTTCCCGGCATCCTGCAACCAAGAGGGTGCAGATCTAAGTCAACGCCAAGAGGGGACAGACACAACTTTCAAACTATAACACCTGAAGAGAAACCACTCTTTGAGGGAGTTCTGACCACTCTTCAGACTTCTCAGTAAAAAAAAAACTGCAGAGAAAAACGTTCTTGGGAGAACACGAGGACATATTTTCCCCATCTCCCCGTTTCCGGGAACGCCGACGAGGTTTACCCAGGCCGGCCGGCGGCACCCTCGTGGGCCGAGGGAACCAGGCGAGCATTCTCTGGGAGAGGGAGGAGATATGATCCCAATGGGTGAAGACTAAGAAGTCGACTCTCCCCAGAGATGATTCCAGTCCCTGGTCGTCCTCTGATGGCTGAATTGACGGGGCGACACAGGACCAGAAAATCAGTGTGTCTTCTTCTCCGTTGAGCCCTCAGATTCATCATCCTGCGGGTAAATCATCGCTCCAGGAGCCCAAATCCTAATTACTCGAAGAGCCCAAACCCCCTGAACGTATTCTCTAGTCCATATGTGCCCATTTTTTCCTTCAATGGAACGATCGGAAGGCCGTAAGAAAATCCCACAGACATTCTTTCTTTCTTTCTCTCTATCTGTGTCGTCACCCTCTTATCTGTTTCTCCTTTGCCGTTCGTACTACTGCTAAAATCTGGGAGCGTCTGAGAAGGAAAGGGCTGGTCTTTACTCATCTGATAGAGAGGGATTCTAAAAACGGGACCGCTGAATCAAAACATGAAGAATGGGGAAGGCGTTGGGCAGTTTTGGTAGTCCGTCTGGAGGCAACAAGAGATATTAGGGTTCGTATCTATGGAAACAGTCAGGAAATCTCTCTTGAGAGAGCCTAACCTGGGAGGTTCTCCCAGTAATGGAGTGCCATGACCATACTAAGATTGTCCATACGATAACGATGCGATTTCAGAGCAATTATTCAGGAAAATATGCAGAATATTGAAAGAAATACGCTAATGGGTGCAATTAAGAAGATTAATGTGATGATTTCATGTTAAAATAGTAAATTAATGTGAAATCCAGAAAAATACTGCACCCATGCTTCCTCAGACAGATTTCCTCGGTTTATTTCATATAAAAATTAACGATCTTGGATGAAAACCAGCGATGTATCTCGTCTAAACAAGATTTCCAAGGTGGGTTTCCATTGGAAATTATAGGGACAAAACGAGGGAAATTCAGAAGAATATGAGAAAATGTTATATCTCAATACGATTTGGATGGTCTCTTTCGAGTAACAGTTAACCGAGGATTTTCCGAGCCCCATCCTCCGATCCGTTAATCCTCTGCTTCTTTCAAGCTAGCTTCCAGCCTCTAAATGAGCCCCAGACTTCTAGCAACGGCCCTTATCGTTGTCGACGATGAGAACAACAGCAATGATCATTCCATGGCCCAGAGCCCCTGATCTCTCTCTCTCTCTCTCTCTCTCCTCTCTCTCTATCTCAGAGGGTAGCACTGGCTGAGGGAGAAGGTGGATGCATATTAATCACCCGTCCCACATGGAAGCAGGCAGTGCGCAGGCTCAAATCTAGCGAGAATTCTCAAATCGTGCCGGCAAAGAGTATCGTAGCATGTAGCGTCATCATCTCCGTCGATTCGCCAGGAAAACTCGTCCTAGTAAAGAAGAGGAAATGGGGTCTGGACTCTATTTGGAAATCATTCCTTTGGCTGCACCAAAGAGAGGCGCGCCTCCCAACACTCGCCGTCGAGAATCGAAAAGGCTAAGAAAACGTATGCGTTGATTCGAGGCGCGTGAGGGAGACGGATAAATGGAGCAGAAGATGGCCCAGATGAATGGCACGCAGAGAAAGATTGATCAATGGAAGAGACGGATGATCGAAAGAAGATGAAGAAGACGGCGGCGGCATCGACGACGATGAAGTGGAGGAGAAGAGCAGAAGAAGGAGAGAGAGAGAAGACGAAAGATGATCGTGGTGACGGAGCGAGAAGAAGATCGCCGATGACAGTGATGATGAAGAAAAAGGAGAAGAGAGGCGGACTTACCCTACGCCTGGAGGGAAGAAGAAGGAGATGCACATCAGGTAGAACCACTCTGACTCGGTGAGATCCTCCGGTGAGAGGGCGGCGCAGGGGCGGCGCGACGGCTGGTTCTCCTCCCCCAAGGAGAGCGACTCGTAGAGCTCCCTCAGCTGCAGGCTGCGCTGGAGCGAAACCTCCTCTGCCGTCGCCTCCACCGGTTGCACCATCTTCCTCGTCTTTATAGCGCCATTGTAGTACCCATCAGCCCACACCAGAGCCCTAATCGCAGTCGACGGTCAATCAGAGATGATAAAAAATGGAGACCGAAGTAAGCTCTGTGATTCTACCAACCCTTGCTGCGGGCAGAGCTGCCAGAAGAGACTGTACGTCCACTGAAGCCTCTGCACTACCAACTGAAGCATCTGCTGAAGCGAGACGCCGCCGCCGCCGCCGCTCCTGGTAACGCCATCGTCGTTGATCAGCTGAGCTGCCATCGTTCCCGCCACCCCTCCGATGGAAACCTAGTTGCCCCACGAAGAGAATAAATTGGGGGCAGAGACGATGCCTGCGGAGAGTAGGGGATCGGCGGGTTTCATCGTCAGCTGTGGGATTTTCAGAGGGTGGGAGAAAATCTAAAGACGAGGAGTGGGGAAGGTCCAGCAGCGCGAGTAGAGATAGATAGGAGGGAGAGAGAGAGACAGAGAGGCAACGGGAGAAGGGAAGGTTGGAGAGTTCTGGGAGCTCGGTTTTTCTTTCTAGCTGACTGGCGGTTTCGACCAGTCGTTCTACCAAACGGCAACCTCTCCGTGCATCCGGCATAGGATCTGGGTTTATATTTTATTCTATCACCGAATTCCCACCGCCGCCGAGAGCGCAGAATGAGACAAGGAGAGGAATTTATAAAAACGTGGGGAAAATAAGTGTTTTTTTATTTGTTTATTTATAATACGTAGAAATATGTATGAAATTATGCGAGCGTATAATCGGATTTCTATTGGAATATAGAGCGTAATTATGTACAAATGGGTGCGTAAATCGGAGCAACCAGCGAGTCCTAAAACTGTTGGTTAGACTTGGATTTGGCCATCCCCCACAGACGAGCCCGATAAAGAAAGGGTTGTACGAGAGAGAGAGAGAGAGAGAGAGAGAGAGAGAGAGAGAGAGAGAGAGAGAGAGAGAAACGAAACGAGAAAATGGATTCAGAATTTCTGGGTTGGACCCGGGCAATGCTTGAAGCCATCTACACTCTGAACAAGGATAGTTTCGAATTCTTAGTTTCGATTGTGATTCCCGTCCAAAGAAATCGGGCCGAGCCGGAGGTTTTCTAGGCCTCAATGAAACCCTGGTCGTGCCCGTGCCCGTGGCCATGCCCATGCAAGCCTTTCGATTTCAAAAGAGTAAAACTCTCGTCTTTCGCGGAGACGACGCGAAAGGAGGAGGAAAGAGTTCTTTTTTTTCCATTTTCAGCTGCACTGGGTGATGATTTGCAAAGTGTTGGATATCTACAGTCACTCCTGGTGAAGAGGTAGAGAGACCCATGAGAGAGAGAGAGAGAGAGAGAGAGAGAGAGAGAGAGAGAGAGATCATACATCGGACGTAAGCCCAGAAGAGACGATGACTACGGAAATGAGTACATAACTATTTGTGATTCCTCCATTGGGACAATTTAATGTGAGGGGATTAATCAAGAGAATCTTCCACCCTCCGGAGCGAGGTCAGACTAACGATGGATAGAATCTACGAGAGCTCTAAATTGCGAGGGAGGTGGCAGTTGCAGGCCTGCATCACGGATCACATACTGCTCTACACGATCTTTTGACTCTAGAAGATAGCTACCTTGTTAGATTGATTCATGCAGAGAGAGAGAGAGAGAGAGAGAGAGGCATGGACCACCGTCGGTAGGTGGGAGGAGAGGGGGGGGGGGAGCACATAGACGAGTCGGCGGGGATCGAGCTACCCGTCCAAGGGCCATGTGGGGTAAGCTAGAAGAGGCGGGAAACGGAATTACCGTCAAAATGGGGGTGTTTTCTAGTGAGAAACCAAGGCAAGTAGCAGAGGGCCCAGGCATTAAGGTTGCTGCCCGGACCCTCGCCATTAGATTTCCTCAGCCCTCCAATACGAACAATTCCCAATGAGGACGACCATTTCTGCACTGGACGACCCAATTTTTACGAGAGCAAGAAGCCCGGGCCTTTGTAGCATGTGGGTGACCACATTATGGAGATCATTCTTTTGAAAGTATGATTTTTAATTCGCTTAGCTGTTTGGATTGAGGAGTTTTTTTATGAAAAGCAGACAATCTTGATCATCATTTGGGCAATTAGTTCTAGTTTTTCCTACTTCAGGCAACTTTCTGTATGAGATCTGTGGGCTGTTGTGTGTGCGTATGTCAGCGTGTGCGAGAGAGAGAGAGAGAGAGAGAGAGAGAGAGAGAGAGAGAAACCAGAAGTTTTTGTATAGACTGGAGGATGATAACGAGAAAAACGAACCAGAGGAGGGGCCAAGTATATCGAAAGTTTCGACCTTTTTTCTCGTTAAATTGTATATGAGCTCAGACAAAGTTATCGAAAGAAAGGATATTTAGTAAGTTTCCTATGTGGAAATACACTACATCTCTCCGTCCTACTTTCCCCCCGCTCTCTCTCTCTCTCTCGGCACCGCATAGCTTATAGCTCTTTGAACAATCCCGAAGGAGGCAACGAACGGCCAAAAATCATTGGAGAGAAGAAAAGGGAACCCGAAAACTCTACTATCTCCCTTTTCATGACACGGGACGCGCTAGATGAAAGGACAAGGGGACTTGAAGCCCTCAACGGACTTCTACAGCGCATCCAACGAATACACTCCATTTTCGTCTCCTTATTATATGCTCCTGTCGCGATCATAGATGAGAATCCACCTGCGGTGTTATTGCATCGTTCGATCATTTGGGTCAAGTAAAGAAGCCATCTTTATTACAGTTTGGGATGTGCTTTCTCGATGTGATATCTCCTCCTTCGTCAATCTTTTAACCATCTTCGTCGCCTAATGCCCAGAATAAGTTTGTATCAGAATCCATCGCCATGAAGCGAAACTATAAGATTGTAGGTTTTGAGGTATCGTCTTGTATCGAGACTTCAATTCCTCAAGGGTGAGTAGGGAGATAACTCCCTGAGGCAGCCCAAGGCTCCCTCCCCCCATCCGTTGTTTTCTCTTGGCATAAAAATGAAGGCTTGACTTTCCACCGGACGCCGCTGGTGGGAGAAAATTCGGTGAAAGAGAGCAATTTCCCCTTTAATTGAATGGGCGAACCGCCGCCATTGCCGCTGGTGCGACTGCGCACGCCCATCTGCCCGTCACGGCCGCGGTTGACCACCGGCCGAATTCGACGTCGCTGTTCCGTGATTCCTTAGGAATATGAACTTAGATCCTCTCTCTCTCTCTCTCTCTCTCTCTCGCTCTCTCTCTGTTTGTCTCCGTCTCTCATTAGTTCTATGCGTCCGCTTCGTACGGCATTTTCTATTGATAGAGAAAAAGATGGGTCTGCCTAGGTCCATCTTACCAAGATGTCGGTCTGTCTCCGTCCCCACGCCCTCTTCTAGCTAGAGAGATCCAGAAGAACCAGGGTACTCGATCCACAGGAACAACCATTGGAGATGGGTTTTCCCCAGATCCAACCAACAGGAGTTTGGATCGTCCTGTCGACGGGGAGAGAGAGAGAGAGAGAGAGAGGAACAGACAAAGAGGAGTCGCCCCAGATTAGAGGCAATAGAACGTGGATACCCAAGGAATCCCATCGGTCAGTCCGCCCACTTTTCACGCGATCAAACCCACCCAGTAGACACTCTCAAAGCAGCGGCCAGTGGGTAGAGAGAGAAAGAGATATGGGTCTGCCTTCCATCGAACCAAATAAATGTGGGCACTAGCTGAATCCGCTCTGTCAGGACGAGGAGGGATCCATCGATCCGTTTCATTTACTTTGAAGAAGAAGATTGAAAATAAATGAACCGAACAAAATCCCACTGAATGGAAAAGAAAAAAAATGAAGGATGAATTCACTTCTTTCTACCTATTGATCATTTTTAACTAAAATCAAACTTTTGGGGGAATATTTACAGTTATGGATAGCATCCTATGGTTTCCATTGTTACATACAAGGTCTACTGAGAGAGAGAGGGAGAGAGGGACAGAGAGAGAGAGGGAGGGAGAGAGAGAGAGGGAGAGAGAGAGAGAGAGAGAGAGAGAGAGAGGGAGAGAGGGAGAGAGAGAGAGAGAGAGAGAGAGAGGGAGAGGGAGAGAGAGAGAGGGAGAGAGAGAGAGGGAGAGAGAGAGAGGGAGAGAGAGAGAGAGGAGAGAGAGAGAGAGAGAGAGAGAGAGAGAGAGAGAGAGAGAGAGAGAGAGAGAGAGAGAGAGAGAGAGAGAGAGAGAGAGAGAGAGAGAGAGAGAGAGAGAGAGAGAGAGAGAGAGAGAGAGAGAGAGAGAGAGAGAGAGAGAGAGAGAGAGAGAGAGAGAGAGAGAGAGAGAGAGAGAGAGAGAGAGAGAGAGGGAGAGAGAGAGAGAGAGAGAGAGAGAGAGAGAGAGAGAGAGAGAGAGAGAGAGAGAGAGAGAGAGAGAGAGAGAGAGAGAGAGAGAGAGAGATCTATTCCCACTAATAGGTGGAAGAATCAAAAGTTCACGAATTTCTTGAGACTGGTCTGGTCTCACAAATTTGCTGAGAGAGGGCGTCCCGAATGGCTGGGACTGGGCCAGCTGGGGAATTCAATGGGCTGGCTACCAGTCTTCAGCAATGTCATACCTAACGTTCACAATGCAGAAATTGGAGTGCAAATCGGTGTGGCCGAGTCACAAGGAAAGACAGTCTATCAGTTTTAAGTGGACTGGGAAGAGAGCGAGAGAGAGAGAGAGCTTGTCACACCGAGCGGTCACGAGTCAACCACGGACAAAGCTCCGGGTTTGATTGACTTTCTTGCGAAATATACCCCTTTCACAAGGAAATACGACTAACTTTGTAGCAAGGAACGGGGAGGGAGGGAGAGAGAGAGAGAGAGAAGCTCATTGAGTGATCATGAGTGAACTAAAGGACCAAATTCCGGATCTTATTGACTCACGAACACCCTTTTTACAACCAAATCTTATGTCAGGGATCATTCCCAACATAGGAACCAATACTGAGGAGATAGAAACTAGCATGTCTCTCTCTCTCTCTCTCTCTCTCTCTCTCTCTCTCTCTCTCTCTCTCTCTCGCTCGCTGGCTGAATATCTGAGAGGCCAACCACAGAGTTCACAAGAAACTTTCCCAATTGGGACCTTTCACCTGAAACTCACTCAGAGTATTTGGAACACATTTCATGCGCTCAGATAATCATCAACACAGAAAGGGCAATGATCATCATCGTTCAGTCAGAAACTTCCTCACAACACAGAGACCTGCACCTCAGTATCACAGGCATCTATATATATATATATATATATATATATATGTATATTAGGGCTTACCTCCATTAGAAAAACAGCTCAACCATGGCCGCCGATGATTTCCAAACTTGGAAAGTTTTGAGTTCTATGACCCCATTGCTGGTTCCCACCAGTCAAATGATCTCATGGGTATCCCGGGTGAGGCGCTGACCAAAAGATTTTATGTTGATGAAGTCAACGTTAACTCCTGGCATTCAAATACTAGTTGGTTCTCGAATCTCTGCAGCACAAACCGCTCTTCCTGGGAAATGAGGCTGGTGACAGTGCATATCTCATCGGAGAATGGCCTCCGGCCTGCCCTCCCAGCTCGGTGGAGATAGTCAACTGCGGTCTTGGGAAGGTCAAAGTTGTATATGTGAGTCGTCTCCGGCAGGTCAAACCCTCTTCCTGCAATGTCTGTCGCAACCAGAAGGCATCCCCCTCGCCTGAGCTCCTGTCAGCGTATTGAAGGTATGAAATTGGTGAATAAGGTCAAAGCTGAACCGACCAATGTCAAATAAAACAGTTCAATTTTTTTCCGGCCCCAAACTTCAGATCTGATTAACCAGATTAGGAAATTTCAGTGTACATGGATCAGGCTTAAATCACTCACTTCCAAGAATTTGCTGGATAATATAAAGCTCAAGAGGAAATCATGGGGACTTCAAGTCAATGATGAAAGCTTGGTGGTGCCCACAAATGCCCAACCAAGTATCCAATAATTTAAAAATAAATAAATAAATAATAACAACTTTTCATGTAATTTGTGAAATGCACTCCGAAACTAAACTTGCCTCTAGAATACATCCAGGGAGAACAAAAAAATTTCAAGACTGATACCTATGCCCAGTCTCTGATGCAATCTTCAAGTCAGAAGTTTCTCTTAAACGATTAATTTTTTTTTTTTATGAAACAACGTAAAGAACAGAGTCTATCTTACCACTTTCAGTATTCAACCTCTGTTGATGTATTTCTTTCTGCAAACCGTCTGGTCATAAAAAAATTGTCCAATTCGTTGGGATGTAGTTCATCAAATGTCAAATCAGCACTAATTTTATTAGATAATATTATTAAATGAAAAAAAAGTCTCATCCAGATGAGTGAGTGGTACACATTCATGCTGATCCAATCTAGCTGATTAAGGATTTCTTGTTCTCAAGAGAATCAAACACTTTCAAAATGCAACAAAAATAGGCATGTCATCCGACCATTATACTTCACAGCAATGCCCATTTTATCATACCCTTTACGGTTCATGAAACTACTGTGGGACATTGCATTTTTGTTCAATAAATGTTCTAAGAATCTTTACTTTGTTTCCCTCATCCCAAAATGCTAGATCATCCTGGTATAATAATCATGTGTTGATGGATTTAACCTGCAGTTTAATGTGAAGCAACACCAACGGATCCCTCTTTCATTAATGCAATTCTTTGGAAAATACTTACAGATAATGATGCCGCTCGGGCATTAAAGTTCATGTCTTCCTCCAGGAGACGAACTTCTAAACGCCCGCTGTAATTAGCTTTCAAGGATTCAAGGACCTTGAGTGCTGAAGGGAGGTCCCCGGCCCTCTTTGATTTCTCTGACTAAAGAAGAAAAACAATAGGAGAATATCAATTCAGGGGACGGTCCCAGGAAATTCTTCAAAGTTATCACATGCAAACACCATTACAAGCTAGTCTAAGAAAAATAGTCCAATGAGCTCATATTGCAGACATATACCACCACTGTGATACCATCAGCCAGATTGGTGTGTCTCCATGCTCTCGTATTGCACTCCATGTTCAAACATTCTTAATGTTTAATACATTGCCACCATATGGTTAATGTTGAGCGATTCCGGAATAATAAGTAACATATGTGAGGATCAATCCTTATGTTGCCTGATATTTTCACTACGACAAACATCAGTGTCTTATCTCCAATGTCAGCATAGACTAAGAACTGGCAACGTTGGCTGACATGTGCAACGGAATGGTTCTGAAGGTTTCTCCAATGTCTTATAAAGCTGCGGACATGTCCTTAATCCTAGTGGTCTGCCAATACAATATTCTTTACACATTGCATGAGATTTCACCAGCCCTGCATTCGAGTTCAAACTTTGACAAAGTAAAAAAAAAAAAAAAAAAAGCAATTCCCCCACAACATGTAGAGAGCAGGTCAATGATCTTAGAGAACTCAAGGCTAATCACTGGTACTACTAATGAGGCGGTAGAAGCAACTAATGCTAGTGGAACTACTGGAGGATGATGGGTCATAGAAAGTCATTCTCTCAGTTTATCCAAGTTTTAGTCAACCATAAAGAGGAACGAGAATATCTTCAACAACACCTTGGCTAAAGAGATCTCGAGAGCACCAGTATCTAGGCAGTGGATTGGACTAGGAAGCATATCATATGCTACGTAGAAAAATAAAATAAAATAAAATAGACAGATTCCGTCAAAGCCAATAAATGCAACATAAACTTGGGTCACCTGGGCAGAGGACTGAAAAACAAAAGCTGCTCTCAAGACTTTGGGTTTGACTATTCAAACATAACATGGAGCCAGGGATATGAAAAGAGGTGGTCTGGATGTGGACAGACGTTCCATATGTTGTGACGATTGAAGACAGGAAACTTCTATTCTTCTCTCTCACCGAATCAGTGTGATTGGGGGGTCCCCATTTCTGATACTAGGCGTCCACCTCAGAAGAGTAGGTGCGCTATTAACGTGAATTGGACAAGGAGGGTGGGTCTCAGGAACGCTACTAACCTGTTGGTAGAACTAGATAGTAGAGAACAACTTTCTCAGTGGTGCAGGATAGGTCCAGCGGCAATCAGTGCAACTTACAATGATTTCAATCGGTGTAATATGCATACATATGAAGCACGCCCCAAATAAGTGTCTCTGACTTTTCTCCAGAAGCGTCTCTATTGAAGACGTACAGACCAATCGGGATCACCTCTCTACCATGTTGGCAAGATAACATTTGATCTTACTAGTCCTACATCCATTGGGCACGATGATCTAGCAGCCATTATCAACTTTGAAGAAGGTAGGAAACACAATGTGGCATTTATAGTCTCCCTAACACAATGTGTTTCCTGCTAACTGTAATTCATTTCTAGTCTCCCCAACACTCATACCCAATATCATCCTCACCTGTCAATTAGAAAAAAAATCAAGTAACGAATGGAACTGTGTGCATACTACTAACATATCTCATGTTATCCATGATCATTTCTCAGAGATCAGAGTGATGATCAGTCACTGTTCTAGATCACCCATATTTCTAACCATTCATGACTCACCGTTACTATCCCAAACTTTCACCAGTTTTCTAGTGCCCCAATCCTAGAAAATAACGCCAATAGAGTTTCCATCTGTTGTTGGGTATCTTCAGTTGCATGACAAGTAAGATGAACAATTTATCTACAGCATCCGAATGTTGTAAAGGCGCCTGTAATTGTGGCAGACCACAAATTATGAGGAAAAGATGTCCTTACTCATATGTTGTATTTGTCACAGCAACTTCGGAATCGCTTTAACCCAGTCAGCACACAATCAATTCAGCAACTAAGCTTAATTTTCAACTCCATGTGACCAAGACAAAATATTGAGACGAATTCCTTATAAAGTCTCTTTTCTTACTGCATTAAAAGTGTTTACGAAAATATCGTGGTCATAGAAGCATGATGCAAGAGCATTTATACCACTTGCTCTTATAGGCATCCCAGTGTTGAATGTATGAAAAAGTCCTGGTTAAAAGAAAATCCTGATGCAGCCAAATTGTAAACAACCGGCCTCCCTGGAGACTGTGCATCCAATCCTTTTGATCCCTCCCTCTCATAAAGGCATCTTTACATTGAGGTGGAGTCTGCTATTCCAAGGTCAATACTTAAAATGCTAATCGCCTTGATATTTTTCATATATTTCCATTCAATATTAGCTTATCAGCTGTTTGCAAGCACAAGAGACGGAACAAGGTGTAAAAACCAAAATCACAATTCAAAGACGATATTTTAAATACAAGAAATTTTCTTCAAGGTGTTAAATAAACAAGTTGGAAAACACAGTTTAACCAGAACTCGAAGTAACAGTAGAAACCAAATGTCCAGTTCCAAGAGCATGAAGGCTAACGGATTCAAATCAGATTGGAAACCAACATAAAATCTGATAACTTTCTTGGCATCTGGAACATTTACCAAATGGGAATTATGATGGCCAAGAAATCACTCCAGCACAATCTACTAAACTTTGTCAGATACGTGATCAAGCAGGTAGACTAAAAATAACAACCATGCAGATTCAGAAATAAATTAAAGAGAAATACAAAGGATCAGACTTCAACCCAGATACAAAGAGCAACCACATAAGACAATGTTGCTAGAAATTCGAATCTCAGCATAAAATAGCTAATCCATTACGAAAGAAATGCACGTCTGTTGATACTGTCATGCAATTTTCCACATAAATAATGACGGATTTAGTCTTTCTTTAAGTGCTAGCATGAAAGCTGACCTACACAAACCTGATCGTTTACAAAAATGATGGCAGCTCTTGGCGCATCTCTGTGCAGTAAGAACAGCAATACCTCTAGCTTTTCATTTTTCCCACACGTCTGTTAATCATTTAAACCATCACCATAAAAGAGTAAGGAAAATTTCCAGATATGGTACAAAAAAGAAAGCCTAACGTTTCTATAAATATATCACACATTACCAGCATTTTCACCTTCAACAACACAGAATGTTAAAATTCTGTGTTGTTGAAGTTGAAATACGAAATCGGGCATAGGACACAACATAAATCCACACGGCATCACTTATGAATGAAGATCATAACTGCGATGAAAAACATTGTCGCTTAAAATTCTTACCACATATCTGTGCCTAAGGCATGATGGTAAAGGCTCCACTGCATTTACATGGACATGAACTACATCATTCTGTTTAAAACATCAAAATAAAGAGAATCTAAAATAAGTAACATCCCATAAATAACCATAATGAAACAAAACGAAATGAACACAAACTTTCAGCTCAAAACCTTGGTCCACTTCTGCTGCACACAATCATATAGAAATCGGTTATGCTGGGGGATGGACGCACTTGCAAAAATTGTCTGACGAGTCACAATTGTAGAGTATGACGTCAAGAGTTTCCGAAGATACTGTCCTTGTTTTGACGAATTGAACATGAAGTCAACCTATCAACCAGGAAATTTGGTGTTAATCTGTTGAAAAAATCATAGAGCAGAAAGACTAAACATTGAGTTCAGCATTCAATCCACTGAACATTGAGTTCATCAATTTTATAATCGGGCACTGAACATTGATTTCATTGACTTTAGCCAAAAAATGAAGAAGAAAAGGGCCCATTTTGAAGTTTTTCCTTAGTCGTGTCTATAGCCATCGCTGAGTCAAATCTAAATACAAACTTTGATGGCCTTTGTTACTATTTCCTCATTAGCATCACCAGAGACTCTAAAATGTTCACTTCAGCAATGATGTGAATCAACAAAAGAAGGTAATAACACGCTCCGTGCACAATAATGGACTCAACAGGCACATAGTCTAGACTGGAAACCCCACTATAAGCTCACCCAAGTACAAAGAGAACCATATTTTTCTTATGCAATTTTCTCTTACTATTTTGTTCATTACAGATAGAAAAATGGCTAAAACTGACCATATATCCATAGAAAAAGGGAAGCTGTAATAATTAAACCATTAATCTTGGTAGCTATAATTTTAGAGTTCAGAGATGCATAAAATATATAATCAAAGAAAGAAAGTAAATACCCAACCATCATAATCATATTTAGACCGTCATTATTGTTAACCGGTTAATCGAAAGATGAGAATGAACATAGTTGAAATTTTATCAGCGTCAGGTGAGTTAGAAATAGATGCATAAGAGAAAAATAGCCTAGGTGATCAACTTCTTTGAACTGCAAAGGTAAGCCACATAGTACCCATTTAGGTACCAACTTTTCAAAATATTGGCTTCTCTATATTGAAGCTGTAAGTTAGCCATTCACAATCTGGTGAAAAACATAGGATAGGGAGAATGTTCTCTGTCACAGAGGAAAGGCGGAAATCGCCTCAAGATTCATTCACCTCTAACACCCATTATATAGGGAGGAACACTACGCAAGTTTCCCAAGATACCCTCAGTCTTTTACAGTATCTCCTTGCGACCTTGAACTTCCAACACAATTCCAAGCAGTTGCTAGAATGTCGGTATCCAATCAGTTTAATCTAAAAATTCTAACTTTCTACATCATGGAAAGACATGGCACGTCCAACTTTCGTAAAACACTCGTATCTCTAAAATTAGGAATCATAGATATATATACCTCATCAACAACCAAAACCCGAATTGTATCAAGCTTTAAAACATTCTTTTCTAGCATCTGGCATAGACTGCTAAGCGTTGCCACCACTATCTCTGGGGGTTCAGCCTGAAAGTTTAAATGACGTTTTTTCAGAAAGTATGCAGTAATAAGTACAATTCCTCATTAATAAAAAGAGAGGGAGTGTTTTTTACATGATGTAAACGGCAAACAGATACAAGCATTTAACCCTGAAAGGGAAAATATTGATTACAAGCATTTACATCTGAAGATATGTCTATAAGTTGAGACCTCGATAGAAAAAATGTGGTGTCAAAAACAGTAAGAGTATAATGCAAGAAATCCAGAAAATTTGTGACAAGTCCAATTCCTCAATATAATGAGACTAACTTTTAGTCATGTCACAACGTCACAAAGAACTTTCATTTAGTAGAAAAGAAGCCCAGCTCAGAGAAAAATAAATGTAAAATGAGACATTTCACAGAAATAAAATTTGCCGGCCTTCTTTTCCTGTTGAAAAAATTCTTGAACAAAGTTGGCAATTCCAATTATTGTGAGCAGCATCCAAGCTAATTCGTTTTTTTTTTTTTTGGAATCAGTCAAGATAACATTTTACAAATAGTTAAAATTTCTAGCAATGGATCATCCTTGGAAGCTATTAAAAGCAAAGTTAGAGTAATACATCATCATGTCCAGTGTTCAGTAGACTGAGTACTTGGCTTTCAGCCAAATCATGCTTGTTTATGTCCTTTAAGTATAATAGTTTAATAGAAAATGAAATTCCAATCCAGTAAGGATCATTCGGGACTAATATTTAACATCAAATACGTTAGAAGACCAAATTTTTTCTGGTAGTCAAGCCAACTTTGAAAATTGTAAATTTTCAATGTTACATGACTAAGAAGACATTTACATTGCTAGAAAGCTAATCAACTTTTACAACTTTATGATTCACGTGCAACAATGTTGAACTACATGAATACGAATTCCTACATGCCTTCCCACTCGAGCTATTTTGAGTTGAACAATGCAGAAGGCGTGTACATATCGCCACTTACTGCTACCACCAAAGATCCGAACACATTCTCCTCGACACTTTTTGTCTGCTTTATTTTACCTCCGCAACCCGTCATCATGGAAATTGAAGCAATGTGATGAGATAGAAAATCATCAAGTATTTCAAAAGAGCTTTTCTGATATGAAACTTCTTCAGGATGTATAGGGTGTCATTTCGAGACGTCATGGTTTTAAAATTTGCATATTTTCCCTTCCCTTAACTGATATTGTGTTGCTAACTCTTTAAGAAAAAACCTTAATATTTCTCCATCACGGATTGACCAATTTCATACTGTTACTTATGCAATCCTGAAAAAGGGGCATGGAAACATCAATCTCATATCATTTTCGGCAAGGAAAAGAGGAAAAGAAGAAATCTATAAAGGTAAAATGCCCATTAATGCAGCCAGAATAGTTGTTTCACTGATACTCTGCAATTGAAGAATGGTAAATTTGAAGGTTTAATGCAACAGAAAAGAGAAATGAAGCACAGACTTACAAAACTTGCCAATTAACTGGCCATTAGCCATGTCTAGATTTAGAGGTAAGAACAGTCAATGTATAAAAAAAACCTTTAGCCATGTTTTATGTCTCTTTAGCATTCCCCCATCTAGAAGCGCCATTATAGTGCATGTCTCGTCAACAGATTCAAATCCTGTTGGCTTCGCTGCAAGCATCCTAGCAACACTAGCAACCTTCACACACAAACAACACTGAGAACATGCAGAATAGGTACATGCTCGCTGATAATGCTGTTGACTTACTTGCATACCAAGTTCTCTGGTTGGTACAATTACGAGTGCTTGCACAGCAGACCGTTGAGGATTGATGGCAGAAAATATTAATAATAAGTACGCCAGTGTTTTCCCTGAACCTGTCTAAAACAAAATAGGAGCCCAATTATTACAATATTTATGGAAATGATGTCTACAGTGTATCTGTCCAGGGTGTAGAATACATTTTTTTTTAAAGATCACACATGAAGACATATATAGTCGGATAGAAGTGCAGGGCTATGAAACATGATAGATCACTTGTCTACTCTACATCAATTAGCAAGAGAATTCTGAACCAATCAACTCGACTCCATGAGCTACCATCAAAATGTCTTTGAAATTATTAGATTCTCCTTTCAAAAGCCTTGACTCTACGCATCTTAGTTGATCCCATGAGGGTATAGGATTTATTAAACTTGACAATCGTGTTGGATGATATGCATCGATCCAATTCAGATCAAATCAGCAAGGAATGATTGCATATGAAGACACATTCTGTAATAAATTGGGAAGAGATGGATCATAACTGACTTTCTAATCAAAGACTCAAGCTAATTAAGATCATTATGTAGAATGTAAGGCAAGTTTCTTATTTCATACACATGCCGACTGGCTTTCCATTACAGCATTCTCACAGTAATTTTTTATAAACGTTCACTTAGTTATCTTAAAAATTCATCTAAAAAAATATTTCTAAAAAGAACCCCTGGTAACCTGCTCGGCAATTTTCTTCAACTATGCACATCCAAATTCCTCCAATAAATCCATCAAATGTTCTCTTAATTCCAAATCGTTTCTTCATCAGCTCATCAGAATAAGTGGATAGGTTCTTCAAATAAAAATGGATAGTTTAAAATAAAATAAAAGGGTAAATGCCAGAGATTAGTGTACCAGAAGGGCCATGTGATTGATTTTGTTAGGTCAATTTTAAACGAATTTCCCTGTATCAAATTATCAGAAAACTGAAATAAAGGAAATGGACTGACTTGTTTACTCTGATTTGATTCCTTGAGTAGTATATTATTTTAAACCTTTAATGGGAGCTTTTCTAATTAAAAATATCCTTTAAAAAATAAATGGGCATATACGTCTATGAAGATAATCTTGGGATGTTTTTCATGTTTCAGTTCGTAAAATTCACCAAAGTGAACATAAGTGCTTTTGACCGCACAAGGAAAACATTGTGTTTGCTTCAGCTCTACTTTTTCAACTTGAAATGAAAAGGACTCCAAGGGACTGGTTTGCCAAAAACGAGGCCTTGAAAAATTGAACTTTATGGCTGATTAAGCCATCATTAAATCTGCAAGCCCACAAATAGGAAGATGACCATAGTACCGGTTGTCAAAAACGTAAGCAGGCTTTAACAGCATGTTTCGGTCCAAATAGAACTTAGGATCAATTTTCAGGTAAAACCGGCATAGTTTAATGCATTGAGATCCATAGCAATATATATCTTGAAGGAAATGATGCACACGCACATGAAGTTCTGGCACAGTTGCACCATCATGAACTGATAGACAAGGTAAAGCTATCTACCATTAACAGGATCATAAAATAACAATACTTCTGACATGTGTCAAAAGTATGCTGACGTCTTCTAGAAAACTAGAATGGAATTTATCCCAAGCATTTTCGTTTCAAACTCCGCCTTAAGCCCTCCGAGACACTTGAAATAATTTAACACGATATAAAAATGATTTCAGTCATGCAAAATCTTCCACAACATTTTAACGAGATAAATAATAAAAATTCTATATTGCTTAACCTGAGCTTGGAGGACGCAGTCCTTTCCAGATAGTAGAACCGGTAAAGACTGCCTCTGGACTTCAGTAGGTAAAGTAAATCCAATATCTTCAGCTCTGCAGGATAAGAAATTGTGACTAATATATGTTAAGAATATCAAATCCAAAACATAATCTAAAAAATGTCACTCAACTAGACTAATCAGAAAAGTATAACAGTCAACACATCTTCAAATAGTGGGGTGGGCGCATTAAGATTTTAAAAATAAAGGCCATAAAATTGAGAAGTGGCATCCAATAATGAAGGAGCTTGAGGACATAAACATTGAGAAGTTACCTGAAAACGCAATAGATGATAAGTGTGGAGCAAAAGGAGAAACATATAATAAAATAGTCTATAGCGCAAAGATCGTGATTCAGTAAAGTTCTTCCAAAATAACAAGGCACACGCTAAATAAATTGTCTTTTAGTACGAAATAGAGATGCATTCAGTTAAAAAAGTCAATATTTATCATCCTTGTGTTCATCAGCCCACAAGAATGTTTACGAGCGGCCAAATATTTATGTAGAAGGAAGGTGCTAGGATGATGAAGGGAATGGAATAAATGTAAAACTATGATAAAAGATCAAATAAGCTTCCATATTATCTCCATTAAATTAGGCAAATAGTAACATTACGATGGATACTCTCGCCAGAAATTAGAACATACATCAGTATATTGGTGGAAAAAATGGAATATACCATGCGAAAATATCACCTGCAGTCGAGCGAACCAGAAATGACGAAACATGTCAAATGCCGACAAAATTGGAACGCAAAAAGCAAACGAAAACGCCGGGATGGGTGAGAGAATTAGCGAGTCGTCGGCGCCATTACAGGCAACAGTCAAAAAATCCAACGCAGGCAACAGTAAAAAATATAATCATCTACAATCCCAGTCGTCAGAACTAATGAGCGACAAAGCATCGTCCTACCCAGCAAATTCAAACGAGAAGAAGACAGACAGCCCAGTCTCTGCCCATATCAGCTCCCCAAAATGCGTAAAAAACACGGCGAACAAGGGAATATGAGAGTAATAATCAGCGGGAAGGGAAGTGAAAAGTCTCGCCTCCGTAGGACGTGCTCCGGGACGCGACTCTGGCATATGTCGCGAAGAGTGAGGGCCTCCACCACGGCGGTGGCGGCCCCGGAGGCACGGTCGGGTCCGCAAGTGAAGACGCGCTGCGGCGCCGACGGCCTCAGAGACGTAATCCTACATAGACGATGGTAGCTGATTGCTCGTGGGGGAGCGGGAGCGGCGACCCGCACCATAACCCCGACGGAGGAGCGAACCATTTCGATATGCTACAGACGCCGGAAACAGCAGCCTCACAGGCATAAGCAGCGGTAGACTAAGATGAAGAACCCTCAGCAGCAGCAGCAGCAGCAGCCGTAGAAGAAGAGGAAGGAGAAGAAAAGGAGGCAGCGGCCGGTTGCGTTCTGTGAGCCGTGGAGGCTTGGGATGAGAGAAGACGGAGGGAAAACAATTATCACAAAGTCCCTGTATTTTGAAACATTGTGAGTATTCGTCTTGGATCCGAGAAGCTGAGCCTTCGGTTCCAACCGTCTATGGCACGGAACCGTTAACAATCGGTTGGGTACTTACTATCCGACGTGCGCGGCATATTTGCAATATTTTATGATTTTAGGTTATTTATCGGCAGATCTTCAAATCTTATTCGAATTATCAACGAGGCATTGTGTTTTACAATTAACCTCCAGGTCTTTGAAAAAAACTACATGGCTGCCAAAACTTTGCAAAAATTATGTACAATGGCAAACCTTCCCCTGTCTGCCACGTGGAAAATACAGCTGGCAATCGACTAAAAACCCCCAATAGCCATAGCTACCCCTTGATGTGACGGACCAGATTGCCACGTGGAAATACAGCTGGAATGGACTAACAGCCATAGCTACCACTGATGTCGCGAAGTGGTACAATATTGACAGGTGGCACATACCGCTGGCAATCGACTAAAAACCCGTCCAAGCAGGCACAGCTTCCCCTGACGTCACGAAGTGGTAAGATTGCCACGTGGCAGATAAAGCTGGCAATCGACTAAAACCATCCAAGCAGCCATAGCTAGCCCTGATGTCACGAAGTGGTACAAGATGCCACGTGGCAAATAAACCGTCCAAGCACCCATAGCCGCCCATGATGTCAGGAAGTGGTAGAAATTGCCACGTGGTAAAATACAGCTGGCAATCCTCTAATTCCAACTAAAATGGTGACGTCATGAAGTAACTTTGGCCCACCCAGACGAGGTCTCTCACCCACACCCACCACCCCCACACTCACTCTCAGTAGAGAGAGAACGAGAGGGAGAGAGAGAGAGAGAGAAGCAGCATGGAAATCTACAAGGCCCTCTGTTCTCTATATACACATCAAACCCACATCAAAAAAGGTAGATTCACATGGTTTCCACACCCACATCCACCTGCCCAAGAAATTTCCAACACTCTTGTCTCTGAGCCGACGGCGGTCGCCTGCCGCCAAGCTCTGCCATTCTCTGCCCCCCTCCACCGCCATGCCCAGGAGAAGGTGGAAGCTCCGCCATGGAAGAAGGCACAGATTGCAGAATTCCTCCAGAAACCCTTCTGGCACAGGCTCTTCTTCTCCTCTTTCTATTCACTTGGGAAGCTCCATTTGAGAGAGAGGGCATAGAGAAGCTCATTCCAGGTGTCAGGAATGCCAGGCAGGCACCAGTGGCTGCAGTCCTGGCGGTGGAGTGGGGCCATGACCGTGGGACCCAGGTAGTACAGGGAGGGGTGCCCATCTCTCCTTCGAAAAGTCAACTGGGTGATGTTCAGCAGAGTCAACTCTGGCAGCAAGCCCTGTCTCATCCCCTCTGAGATTATGCCGCCAGCGGCATGGAAGGCCCATGACTCTGATGATGATCGGCCCGAAGCATCTGGAAGGGTTTCCCCGTGGCAGCTTCCCCCCGTCTTCCAATCTCCTCCTCTGTGGATCCAAAAAAGGAAAAGAAAAAGATTGGAGCTTGAGGTCAACCATGGAGTTGACTTATGGAGAACCAAGAGGAGACTGCCCCAAGCTGGCCATCTCCTAGTGGGGGTGTTTCTCTAGGCCTGTCTAGAGCCTGCAACATGTGCACAGAGACCCTTTGACCTCGGCAGCCAGGCGTTGTCTTAGCGTCAAACAGAATTTACCTGAAATGGATGGGCGCGTAGGTCCGAAAGACAACCCGGGTCTTGCTCGGGTCAACTTCCTTTCCAATCCAGGCCAGCAATGTCTCCAGCGCCCTTATGTATGCCTGCTCCACGCCCATCTCCAGCTCGATCTGGTCCCCAACTTGGAAATAGCACCCACTGGACAGAGAGAGAGAGAGAGAGAGAGAGAGAGAGGTGTTCTTCAGTCAGATAAATAATTTACACATGTGATCATACAACACAACCAATGGACATCAAGAACCATGAGAGATCAATCGAGGAAATTGTAGGGAAAATCAGCGAGCCCACCTGGATGCAACTCCATCTCATCTCAATCAAGAAGAAATCTCAACAAAAAAAAAAAAAAACAGATGAAGTCGGCATGAAATGATGGATATATGCAGAGGAAGAAGAGGTGGAGCATCGGTGGGGGAATGGCAGCGACCTTCTGAGGGTCTTCTGGTGGTTCCACCAGTGCCCAGTGTTGAAGACAAGAACATCAGCGCTGCTCCACTTGGCGGAGGTCCAGTCGAGGACATCGAGCCTCAGTGTGGTCTTCACCTTCTCATGAGCACCCAGGGGGGGGCGGCCCTGGAGCACAAGGAACGGTGCCCGGTAGTACTCGATGGTGCAGTTGAATTCCCTGAATCTGAAGATGAGGAAGCCATTGTGCTTGGTGATGGGGCTCCCATTGACTTCATAAATGGAGCTCTTGTCTGATACCGCTGAGGAGAGCATGCAGAGGAGGGACTCCCACTGGTTCCTCCCGATCGAGTCCCCGACAAATGCTAGCCTCCGGTTTCTTAGCCTCTCCAGCATCATCTTTCCATCAAATCTAAATAGAAAGATAGATAGATAGATAGATATATAGATAGATAGATAGATAGATAGATAAAGAGATAGATAGATAGATATATAGATAGATAGATAGATAGATAAAGAGATAGATAGATAGATAGATAGAGAGAGAGAGAGAGAGAGAGAGAGAGAGAGAGAGAGAGAGAGAATAAAAAAACTAGAAATGGGAAGATCAAGGTTCTAGCTTTTTTTTTTCTGGGCGTAGAAAATTGCCTGCAAGCTTGAAATAGTAATTGTTCAAGATTGCAGATTACTGAAGCAGGAGTGGCGCAAATATGATGGATGATTCCAATTGGGAGCCAGATTTCTTTACTTTTCCGGGATCCTCGTGAGGAAAAAAGAAAAAAAAAGGAACAAAAATCGGGGGTGCCCTCCGCAGGATATGAAGTGAGAAGGTGTGGCTAAAACAGGTGAAGAACAGACTATAAAAGGAAGATTTTGCAGAAACCCAGATGCTAAATTCTTCTAAAATCGCCCGGGGAGTAGCCCCATTGGATCCAAGACATCGGTTATTTTTTTTGAAGAAAAACCCGTGAATATTTGACCCAGAATGTCGCTTTATTTGGGCAAAAAAGCAGGATTTTAGTGTACATTTTCCTCTAGAAAATCAGCAATGCGGGCACCGATTTCACTGTGTGAATTAGGCAAAAATGATATTCTCCATGAACCCCTAGAAAACAGAGAGAGAGAGAGAGAGAGAGAGAGAGAGAGAAGGAGAGAGAGTTGTGGGAAGGACCTTGGCAGGTCGCAATGTGAGGGCTGCCACCGCCACTTGGTGTAGAAGCTATCCGGCCGCCCGTTCTCCGTACATCGGAAACCTTCGTCCAGGAAGGAGCAGTCTCCAGCTTCGTAGAGAGGATAGCTCTCGTCCCAGACCCACTTTCCCTGGAACAGATCGCATCCCCCTCCTCTGAGCTCCGCCTCCATGAACTCCTCCTTCCTCTGCTCCGTCTTCTCCTGCTGCTGCTGATGATGATGCTGCTGCTGCTGCTCCCGATGGTGGAACCAGAGGATCCCTCTCACTCCTCCCCTCCCAGGGGAGACGACGCTGTAATCCGTGTACAGGAAGCAGAGGAGGAAACACACTGTCGACACGAGGAAGACCGCCGACATCACCCCCGGCTCCGCCGGCTTCAATCGCACCACCTTCCTCAAAACCTCCGCCGCCGCCCGCTTAGACGGCGGCGGTGAGGCGGTCGGAAACTTCGGAGGGGTTTGCGGGCTCATCGCTTCCCGTTCGTCGCTCTCGCCTGGTGACCTAGGGAGCAGAATGGGTCTACAAAAACCCCATCAAGGAGAGAAATCCAGAGGAAGCTTCAGGCATTAACTGCAGAGGAGGAGGACGATCAAGAGGGTCGGAACGGGGGGAGAAGGGGGAATTCAGAGCGAAGCCCATTGGAGTAATGGGCAGCCATGATTAGCCCCTCTCGACTTCCTTTTCCACGGGATTACGATGAATGTTCTCCAGAGGGACGGAGCGGGAAGAGAGGAAGGGATGACCAGGTCACACCCTGCGAGAAGTGGATTCAAAACCCTTACACCATCTCCAGTAGCTAGCAATTACTCCACCTCACCATCCTAGAGCTTCTGGGTGGCCCTCAATGATGAGCGAGAAAGAGAGCGAGAGCAGGGCAGAGAGAGAGAAAGAGAGAACAGGGTCAGGTGGCTTCTTGCGGATTATTAAAGGCCGAGGATTTCGGCAGAGCGTGGGAATCATGGGGCGAACGAAACGCGCAGACAGCCGTCATTCATTTCAAACGCCCACGTCGTCGGTGGGGGAGTGTCGCGCTGACTTGATACGTACAGAGTGCACACAGACATGCGTATGAGGCGGGCTGTGTCTTGCCACCACCTGGGATGGAAGGCAATGGGGAGACGACTATTCGCTCCTTGCTAAGCCAGCAGCTACGCCAGAAAGGCCTTTTGTACTATGCCCTATAAATCTGCATACACCCAAATCTCTCTCTCTCTCTCTCTCTCTCTCTTTCTTTGCCTCTCTCTACCTCTCTCTCTCTCTCTCTCTTCAGCTCTCTCCTGCCTCTCTCTATCCCTCTCTCTTTCTCTGCCTCACTTTCTCCTTTCTCTCTTGCTTTCTCTCCCTCTCTCTCTCTCTCTCTCTCTCTCTCTCTGCCTGTCTTTCTTGGGGTCTTCTTGATGGAAGACATTAGTCCGTCGTCGTTCCCACTTCTCTGAAGAATAGAACCCAACTAATAATGCTTATTATTATTTTATATTTATAAAATGTATATTGATTTTACAATCGATAATAATCCGAAGCGTAATTATTAGCTAGAGAGCTTTTTTTTGTCGTTGGACTTTCAAGCCTTTGAAAAGCTATCATAACATTATTTTTTAGTCTCAATCTAATTAATCATAATTAACCTATAAATTTTCCTGTACAAATAATAAATTTTTCGTGTAGAGCGAGAGAGAGAGAGAGAGAGAGGTCCTCGTGCATGGGCTCATTTTCATTTAGGCCATTACCTTCGACTAAAACAAGCAGAAAAATGGAGAAAGTCTCACTGGCAGGGCCACGTGCCTAGCGGCCCAGTAAATAAGACGTGACCTAATAACTAAACTCGGCCCAGATAGAGGCCCACTTTCAGGTCGGGCCTCCATTCTATGAAGCCCGGCCCATTATCAGTTCCACATGGTTGACACAATCATCCCCCCTCATCTTCCGGTTTCTCTCACTAAATTGCAACCTAGCATAGCCTCTCTCTCTCTCTCTCTCTCTCTCTCTCTCTCTCTCTCTCTCTCTCTCTCTCCACCTAGGCCAATAATACAACGTCAGCTTCTGCTTTCAGAGACCGGAAGCGAGAAACAGTGGAACGAAGGAAGGTGACCGCGAGGAGCCGATTGACTTTTCGGAGAAGAGATGGCGGCGCCCTAGAGGGTGGCGGCGAAGAGGGCGGTCGCCTCCACCTGTGAGTCGGAGGGAGGATGAGGATTCAGAGGAGAGAAGAGGAGGGGGCGAGAGGTTTCAGGGCGAGGAGGGAGGAAGACCTTGAAGGTGGCGCCGCAGATCTCACCCTCCGGCGAGGGGACGGCAGTCACCCTGTTCTTGGGGTTCTCGTAGCTCCTCAACCCTCCCATGTTGGTCGAGTAGAAACACCCTGCGAATGACCAACAGATACCCCGCCAGCTCAGAGACAGAGATCCATAGCAGAAAGACAGAGAGAGAGAGAGAGAGAGTCGCAGGCACCTCGGGGAAAGGGGGCGAGGGACTTGCCGCAGGAGCCTTTGAGCAGATCGACGTCGTCACAGAAGGCGACGCAGCCGTCTGCGGTGGTTCCCCAGTACAGAGGCACCTTCCCTTCGGGGTCCTGAAGCCCACAATTGCATCCTCAATTCGTCTTCAGAGCCTGGTAGAACGATGGCAGAGCTCGATGCTGGTAAGAACTTACTGAAGCGGCGAAGAGGGAGGATGTTGAGCCGTCGAAAACGAGGAAGGCGAAGCTCCCGCTGAGAAGGCCGACCATACGGCTGGGGGGATGGGGAGCTCTGTCACGCAGAGCCTTGTAGGCCTCGATCACCAGCAGGACCTCGCTGGCGTTCTTGGAGAGGCCGTAATGCTGCCTCAGGCTCCCCAGATTATCGAGAGCCCCTTCGAACAGGCAGTAAATCTCGTCCTTCACCGCGAATGATCTGCGAGTTAATCATCGACAGAAGATGAGATCGTGAGGAAGGAAGGTGGGAAGAATCGGAAGAGTCAATCAACACATCTAGGATCTGTGGTTTTCTTGAACTCGTTTTCTCCCTGATTCATGCACCTCCGTAGGTCAGATCACTGGGCTTTTTTTTTTTTTTTTTTTTTATAGAATCGTGGAAGATTAACAAAAAACACAGAAGCCATTTTTAGGTCAACCAGATAGACAGTGTGTCAGCCTCGGAATATCAGATCCGTTCTTTGAACAGAGATCCAGCCTGTTCAGATACATCAACCCAAACCAGTTTCAATGGTCACATCCAAATCTGATCACGATTCTTGGTCTGACTTCTAAAGAGCCAGATCCGGATCCAAAAGAGGTGCATTATCCTCCAGATCATTTGTCTCGGAGCTAGAAAAGTTGACTCGGAAAATAATGCGCCAAATAATCACAGTCGCTGACCAGTGGTTCATTCTGGATCTCGCAAGATGGAACAGTCCCAATCCGGTCTCCTTCCTCCCAACGGAGCCTGCAAGTCATTTAATCACTCTCTGTCGAAGCCTCATTTTTTTACTTCCATTTTTTAAATCTCTTCGAATATATAACAGCATTCTTTCCATTAATCGTCGAATCAGAACCAGATCTGCTTGTCCAGAGGTGAGGCGGTGGTTCTGTTAGGGCTATACGAATACCTAGCATTGAAGGCGGACTCGCCACGGTGGGAGTAGGCCAGGTGACCGCCGTCGCCGTCGCCGATCCGCACCGACATCGCCGGCGAGGCGATCTCCTGGAACCTCGCCACCAGATCCGACGCCGTCGTTTTCGGCGACGGCGAGCGGCTCCCCGCGGCGACCAGCTCCTCCGGTGGCGGCACCACCGTTCCGCTGAAAATGCCCAGCATTGTCCCCAATCCCCTCCCTCTCTCTTTACTCTTCTCCGCCGTGGTGGCAGTTTCCGGAAAAACCTTGCCTCAGAGGGTAGAAAACGTGGAGACGGGAACAGAGCTTTCTGTGGTATTTATAGCCGACGGGGACGGCTTTCATACTGTTCCTGCAGCAGCATCCCTCTTCTCTCTCTCTCTCTCTGTGATTGGTCAATGTACCATTGCCACGTGGCATAAAGCCAAAATATCTACTAGAGGGTTACTGCCCATCGCCAACTAGGCCTCTCTCCATATGTGTAAGGATTGCCAGGTGGCATAAAGGCTGGAGGGGTTATTGTGCCGTCGCCAACTGGGCCTCTCCCTCTCTCTCTCTCTCTCTCTCTCTCTCTCTCTCTCTCTGTGTAACTGTGAGGTCAATGTAAGTTTGTCACGTGGTTGAAGGGACAAAAATATCTACAGGAGGGACTATTGGGCCCGTCGCCAAGTGAGCCAGTCCACTTGATTTTCAGCCTGGAAAAAGAAAAGAGTGAAGGAAAAAATAAATATTTGGTAAATAAAGCCGAAGACCGAGGCGATTAGTTAAATCCCAAACGACGCCCCCGACAAATTATTGGGCCCCAAGGCGGCCCAATAACACCCCAACAATCTCTCTCTCTCTCGCTCTCTCTCCCTCTCTTTCTCTCTCTTCTACCTATAACTCGGATTAAACAGCAGACGATGGAGCCCACTATGACCTAATAAAATCTGCCAGACACTGAGGGATTTAATGGGCCGGAATTCTCGGTGGTCCAGAATGCGTCGATATCTGTGCATATGGGTACGTACGCAAATATATTTCTGAGGATGAATTTTTGTTTTAGAGAATTGTGAGGAGGATATTGAATAAATTTACGATGCGATGATCCCTTCTGGACAACCAGGATTCTCCGTAGATTCCGCGGTTCTGGCTACATTGGAGGTCTCAGGAAACTACCACCCGGGTCTTACCTTCTCATCTCCACCGTCCGATTTCATCCATAGGAACGAGATGGGGGTTTAGTAAATTAATTCATAAAAAAACGTAAAAGACGGGTTTTGGATAAGATAAATATATTCATATTTTTGTTAACGAATGTCAACGGACGAGGGTTAGTCCGAGCCCGTTGACTTTTGAATTTCCCAGGATCTAGTCCAGCCCATGTTTAGACAAAAACCCATAAAGTAAAGCGAAGGTATCGCCATATGGCCCAAACCCAGAGAGAGAGAGAGAGTGAGAGAGAGTGAGAGAAAGTGAGAGAGTGAGAGAGTGAGAGAGAGAGAGAAAGAGAGTGAGAGTGTATGTGAGAGAGAAAGAGATAGAGAGAGAGAGAGTGAGAGAGAGAAAGAGAGAGTGAGAGAGTGAGTGTGAGAGAGAAAGAGAGTGAGAGTGTGTGTAAGAGAAAAGAGATAGAGAGAGAGAGTGAGAGAGAAAGAGAAAGAGAGAGAGAGAGAGCGAATGAGAGAGAAGGAGAAAGAGAGAGTGAGTGTGAGAGAAAGATAGCGAGTGAGAGAGAAGGAGAAAGAGAGAGTGAGTGTGAGAGGAAGATAGCGAGTGAGAGAGAGAAAGAGAGAGAGAGAGAGTGAGTGGTAGAGAGAGACAGAAAGAGAAAGAGAGAGAGAGAGAGTGAGTGAGAGAGAAAGAGAAAAAGAGAGAAAGAAAGAGAGAGTGAGTGAGAGAGAGAAAGAGACAGAGAGGAGAGAGAGAATTTTTCTTCTTAAACTCAAATTAAGGCATTCCATTAAGATCATTAATTCTTACAAGGGCCAATCATTTGATCTTAAAATTCTTCTTGAACTGTGGGAAAATCTTGAAGTTTTCATTAATGCTACCAAGATCAGCTCTCTCTCTCTCTCTCTCTCTCTCTAGAAAAGAGAAAATAAGTGAGATGGGGGGGATGACCTCACTCTATCTGTACTCCTCTGGGAGGCGATAGCCCGCCATCACAATCCGATCGGCGAACATCTTCCCTGTCTTCGGCATGACGTGCCAGTGCAGGGTCAGGTTGACATCCTTCCCCCGGAGGTTGCTCCCCTGAAGAACAGCAAGAACAACAAGAACAAGATGTTGGGACATCACCAGAGTCAGATCGACCATTTTTATTCTATATTTGGGCCTGGGAATCAACCAGGCTCAGAAATAAGAAGCAACCCAGGAACTCATTCAGTTGCTTGCCTGATCGATGAAGCGGTACTTGTTCGTGGTGTGGATGGAGAATGTCGCACTATCCTTGGAGAGGATGATTCCGTCCCAAAGAGAAACCTGATCCAAACAGATGCCACCGGTGAGATGCTGATCTTCATGAAATATGCAGCGTGAACTTACAAAGTCAGAACTTAGATCAGAGGGAGATATGAGAACAATAAATAATAACAAAAAACAGAGCCCGGGATGGGTTCCCGGAGTAAGTGGCGTTGACTTATTGAGTCAACGGCCGAGCTTTCTCGAAAGGGTTGTCTTCTGTGACAAATCTCCGCCGTCTGTTCTCTATTTTGCAAAGGCAACGTGCGGTGATGTGGGAAATATTTCAATTTCATCGAGTCAAGAACAGGAGATCTAGATTTTGAGAAATTATGAGATAATTTTATTCTGCATAATATGAGATGTAGAGAGAAAAACAAAAAGGAGAAACCAAGAAATAAATCCAAAAGAATTAATAAAAAAATTATAATTATGAGTTTTTTTATTAAAAAAAAGAGGGAGCGAAGCATGTTATATAGTACAAGAGAAATCAATCCTTGCACGAGTAGCAAAGAAAAAGGGGACAGGACTAATCGGTAATTCTGATGAAATATCAATCTGAACTAAATATCCTCATCAACATTCTCATAATCCCATCTCCGATAAGCGTTACTTATGAAAGCAACCGGTTTTAAAATAAAAAAAAAAAAGAGAAAAAAAAGAAGAGAAAAAGCATCTGAACGAGGACTCAATGATATGTGCGTGCTTTAAGTTTTCTGTATTTTCCGCCTTGTATCCAGAGTGGAGTTATGAGTTAATTTAGGCTGAACAGCCATTTAGCGGGTAGGGAGAAGTCAATGAGAGTTTCATGAAGGTTGTTGGACCACGAAAGAATGGCTACTTAGTTTGGTAAAAATCCCTAGAAAAGGAACTAATAGGGAACAAAATGAAGTGCGTCTCTTTCCATTTTAACACATTCAAGTGCCATGGCCAGCAGGAACTATACACAAATTTGTATAATATATATATATATATATATATTGGATCTATACCCAAGTCAACATAAACTGCGGGTTAATGATGAACAGACGCCAAGTTTTCCAAGGAAATACCGAAGAAAAATTAGCAGCCATAGGATTGGGCTTAGATAAGTTGACTGTCAAGTGAATGTAGCATCATGCTTTTTGAGGTGATTTCAAAGAGAATCGCACTTTCTTGCATCATCTCGAGATTCCTAAGTAAACCATTTTATGCACCTTCTGTTTGGTCTCATTGACGTTGCCCCCATTAACTACCAAAAGATTGAAAGGATTATCCTAAATTATTATATAATTACAATTGTGGCCGCTGAAGCGTTCAGATTGCTATGCATAGCTGAGGAAAGAGGCAACAGATATTGCATTTTTCGCATGGAATGGTGAGAAGTTGTTCAAACTTACCTGGTTCAAGGAATTCTGTGGAGTTTCATACTCTGCAGCTACGAAGACAAATACCTGTATAGGGCTAACATGAGAGAAAAGCATGGAAAATTTTACCACGGAGGATATTATATATCGGTCAAGAGGCTAGGAGTCCCTACCGCGGAATAATTTCTAAAAACCAGCGGATGAAAGAAAATTCAAGAAAATAAAAAAATTGCACCAAGAAGTGAACACTAAAATTTATTTTACAACAGATCAAAATCCATGCGTCATAATAGAAAGGACGTAGGAAAATGTTTGAAACGAAAAATAATATGCAAAAAAATATATTGCGTACAGTAGATGACGAACAATTGGTGATAGATCAACGTAGATAAGCAAATGTGTGGTGGAATATATTTTAGACAACAGAGATCAGGAGGTCAAGTGAAAATGAAGAAGGAATCCAAAATTGTTGTTTGCTGTTTATTCTCTTGCAAAAGATCATGCTAATGGTGGGTCTAGATTTCAGAGGGGGAGAACGGCTTGCAAGAGTTGACTCCCCTCAGAAATAAAAGTTCCCACAGAAACTGGTCACCAAGAGGTTTCCCACTTGTGACAGATTCAAGAGATTAATCAGCCAAGAGCAGCGGAAGTGGGAAGTAATCATCAGACTTGCTTAATGAATTCGATTAAGGTCAGGGATAATCTTTCTTCTAGGCGTTTTTTTCCCTCGTTCTATCTATCATCTTGTTTCTTGAGGAAGATCGTTTGTCTCTGCTGTGCCTTCTAGTCGTAGTATTTCTGCCAGTCATGTTATCTCCAGCACTTTTGATTTTTATATGGTTGGTAATTTGCATGTAGCCCTTACAGTCATAATACACAGGCATACACCATCTTGAAAATTTTCAAAAACAAAGATGAGCAAATATGCTCAACGTCTTCTTCCACTTTTTTTTTTTTTTTTCTGAGGAAGCCTTTAAATCCCTTTTAATTAATAATAGAAAAAGAATTACAGACGCTGGATCAGTGCGTGACATAGAATGAAAGAAAACTTGCTCATTATTTTTCCATGAACGCGGACACAGCATGGTAGGGAATCAATCTTCAGAGGAAAACAAGATCAGTTAGAGTGGGCTTCGATCTCTGTTTATGGCCCAACAACAATGAAAAATACAGAGTACTGATTCAAGAGGTACTGCAATACAGTATTCCGAAAGCTTGATGCATTGGGGTTTATTTTAACTGAAATGCCAGATTTCCTAGGGAAGAAAACGTATTATCAATGGAACAGAAGGCAGAAATAGTCAAATAATGTATTGGACATTGAAAATTAATTAGGAGAATCATCCAAGCGGAAATACCGGATCCACCCTCCAGCCACTACATGGGTTTTCGAAGACTGATTACAATCGAGTCCTGTCTTTACTATGGCTTCAAGAATAAAGCTTTAAAATGTTCCAAATTTTAAGGGGCTTGACTCAGTCGAAGTATTTAATGAGCTAGTGCAAAAACTGTTCAAAGGATGTTCCATCCAATGGAAGTGGCAGCAGTACATTTGCTCAAAAGGAAAAACGGTAAGAAGGTAATTATATGGGTTGCGTACGGGGAAAATGAGCTGCTGGATTGTTCTTCAAGCAGAAGAATAGGCACTTAACATTGAAGAGTTTCTAAAGCTGAATATGCTTAAAAATGCTTATGGACTGAAATACATAAAGAAGGAAATGGCGACGCCACTGAGATAAAGAAACATAGCCAAATGTGGCTTTCAAATGGTTGCTTCTACTAAAGAAAGACATGCTCAAATTCAAGATCATTCCGGTTTTTGAGGAGAAGGAAAAGTACAAATGTTGATGATCAAAATCTTCAATAATCGTATTCGAGAAAAGGAATTTGAAGACCTCAGATGGAGATGAGAAGCTATCCAAAGCTGGAGACAAAAAGCTTCATAAGCAATCGGCTGTTTGTTCTCTTGAAGTCTAGACCTCTGTCAATAAGTTGTCAAAATATGTTAACAAAACTAATGCAAAAAGAAGGGCCTTCAGAAAAGGAGGTAGTAAGGAGAAGAATACAGTCCTCCACTAAGATGGACTAGAGGACCCGTTGGCCTAATCAGATTTAAGAATTTTAACAAAGCCTTACTACCTATCAGTCATGTTGTGAGGACCATTGCTTAGAAGAAGACTCGCAAAATAAAATGTTGCAGGAAATCTACTTAGCATTGGCCAAAAAATGAAATAAGCACTTGCCTGAGATAATTATGACACTTTGAGTACAAGAAATATTTCTAATTGAGGAGGTCATCTCATTGAATTCAGGAAAAATCAATAGAGAATAAATTAACAATATGAACAAAGAACAACAAAATTCCTCATACGAAGGATTATCCTTTTGTGTACCTGCTTCGTGTTCCAAGTAAACACTGTCTGAAGGTTGGCAGATATATTCATTGTCAAGCTCACCTGAATGAAATGAAATTTTAATAACAAAAAAACTATATATTCAACAAGAAGTTAGACCAATATAAAGCAAATATTCAAATAATGAAAGAGAAGGATGAAGACTATCATACAAAAATCTGTTACATAACATTTTCGCAAAACATTCAAAAAGAGGAAATATGGACGGGGATAATGAATATATACACTGACTCATCTACAAAACGGGAAATCCAACAGAAAAATTGTAGACAAAAATTCAAAGCCCATAAACAGTAATGGGCAATGCTCATGAGGGATACATTTCAGCTAAAAAATCTAACTCCAATAGAGGAATACTTTTTGGAGGAATACCCGCTATGGTTCCTCCACATAATATAATGTAAATCTTTGTTTTCGTTGACATTTAGTCCCCTGAAACTGCTTAACAGATATCCAAAAGTCTTTCTATCACTTGTTGTCTCCTCAGAGCGAATTGGCCACAGTTAACACCAACAAGGATCAAGAGATGACGAGGAGAGGTGAGCAGGTGTCTATCACTAGACAGGGAGAGGCCTAGGCACCCACAAATGGGGACAAGAATAACGGGCTGGAGAGAAGCCAAGTGCTAGGCCGTTGCAGGAGAGACATGAGACCACATAAAGGGATAGAGCTAGAGGGCGAGCCATGCTAAGCCAAAGGGGATTGAGTCTGCGGAAGGAGGCCGTGTGTAGGGCATCACTTCAATAAAAGAGAACAGCGAAATGTTTTTACTCAGGTGGCTGAAAATTGGTGGGCTAAGCATTCTGGATGTGTGATGGATGGGTGAAAAAGATAACAAGACCATAAAAGGCCGAAAATAAGATTATGCCCATAATAAAACCCATCATAAACGCATCAAAGATTAGTTTTCCTGCTATTAGTACGTTTTGAATTTGTTTTGATGCCCTATTTTAAACGCATTTTTAAAGCATTTTTTAAAAGCGGTTTAAAGCACATTTTAAAGGTATTTTTAAGAGCGGTTTTAAAGCGCTTGAAATCTATTCTAAAGTGTCACTAAAACCAATCCGTCCTTCTAAGGGCGCCATAACGGAAACTCAGCCTATTTAAAGTACCCACATTGTAGCAATAGAGGCATTGCTCAGTTATTAAGAAATTTTCCCTCCTTTTAAGTTTCTATCTTTTTGCATGTGAATTCAAGCAACCCTTGTGGATTCAAGAGGAACCATCTTGATCTTGTGGATTTAAAGTCGCCCGCCTCAACAAGCCCTTGTGAATTCAATGGTTAGATTTGCCAGTTCTGAGGATTCAAAACCTGGTTTCTTCGTCATGCTTCCTAGATTCAATGCCAGATTCTGCTATCTCCTACGTCAGTGCTGCATCAAGGGAGCAGCAAGAGAGGATTTGGTGTAGCCCATTGGAGAGGAAAGTGTGGTGAGTTGCGTCCTATCAGGCAGAGAACGGGATGTAGTTGACAAGTAGAGGATGAGGAGCGCCTGGCCTTTCATCATTAAAGAAAATTAACAAAAAAAAAGGCATCGTGTCATGATTATGAAATAGACGAGGGTTCTGATCATGGATCATGCTATAGAAATGCCATTTTTTGACAGTTTTTGAGTTTTTTCCTACAACATAGAGAGATGCATATAAGGAGTTTTAAGCATACAAAAGAACAATAAAGAAAAATTTAACATTGGATGCTAAATGATAAACCAAAAAATCATAAAAATTATTTGAGAGGGTTGATGATCACCTCGTCATTTCCATTAGGCTGTCTCTGGAACCAGTTTATATTTAATACCTAAAATATGCAAAAAAATATATCAAAAAAAGGAAATAGACACGAGCATTTTTCAGGAACCTAGCAGTGACAGACGACAGCATAGATCTCGCTAAAAGCAACGCGAAAAATTTCGAAGAGATAATAATGCATCGGCGTTTACAAAACTTTCAAAGTTTTAACGGAAACGTTCTTCAAACATGCGGGAGGAAAATGTCATCGTGACTCAGAAATATGTCCGCTACAACAATCATACAAAGAACAAAAATGAATTCCCATTGAATGCCCGTCAAAATGGAAAAATTGAATACACATTTGATAAAATCTGTTATGGGAGAAAGTTCGATCACGTCAAAGGGGACAAACACGATTCGAAGTCCATTGACACCGAGCAAAGAAGAGAAGACCCTACCTCGACTTCGGCGGTCGGAGAGGGGACATTGAGGTTGTCGGAGAGGGAGGCCATTGCGCAGAGCATCGCCAGGATCGTCACGGCGAACGTCACCAAGGCGTTCACCCGGTACCCGAACGAGTGCATCTCCGCTCCTCCAACTTCCGTTCACTACCGCTCACTCACCGAATGCCTCCTCCCCCTCCTCTCCGGAGACCGACTGCTCCGATCGCCGCTTCGGCGAGGGATGAGAGCTCGAAGGGCCTTCCTCCCCCCTTCCCTTATTCTACGTTCTCGCTCTTCCTGCCCACTTTCCACCCCGTTTCCCAGCTTTATTTGCCCCCAAAAGCATAGACCCCTTATTCTACGTGGTGCAGATGGCGTGGACCAATCAGATTCCAGGAATTATCCCTTAGTCAACCTTACCCCAAAAGCAGTGTTGACTTTCTTCTGTTTACTGGGCCTGGTCCTGACTTGAGTACACGCCCTTCCTTTCATGAGTTTGATGGGCCAAGCCAACTATTGCTAATGGGCCTATTTTGGAGGCCATTAAGTTTATTGCAAAATGTGACTCCTCTCTGTCTCTCTCTATTGATCTTCCCTCTTTCCCATAATCTCTCTCGCTCTCTCCTTCCCTTGCTTCCATATCTCTCTATTGGTCTTCCCTCTTTCCCTTAATCTCTCTCTCTCTCCTTTTCTTCCATCTCTCTCTACTGATCTTCCCTCTTTCTCTTAATCTCTCTCTCCTTTTCTTCTATCTCTCTACTGATCTTCCCTCTTTCCCTTAATCTCTCTCTCTCTCTCTCCTTTTGTTCCCTCTCCCTCTAATGATCTTCCCTCTTTCCCTTAATCTCTCTCTCTCTCTCTCTCTCTCTCTCTCTCTCTCTCTCTCTCCTTTTCTTCCATCTCTCTCTACTGATCTTCCCTTTTTCTCTTAATCTCTCCTTCAGCGTTTGGAAGCCATGATACTATATGAGCAAGCCTTCTAAGAATATAAGGTTGGCAGGCCTTGAAGGCCTTCAACAAGATATTTTTTCTACACTTTCATTATGGTATTTAAAATTATGTGAAAAATCATAATGCGACGAACTATATGTACTACTAGTTCTGGTCATCCATTATTTAATCCTCTATTTACCGCCTATCTACACTTTAAAAATATTTTCAACCGTTGGGAAGTCAAAATATTTTATTATTATTTCAAAATGGCATCCCATATCCACATAGAAGCTGAGTTGACTATTGGAATAAGGAGGTTGATGGTTCCACGGCTAGGTAGCTAGCAAGCTAGGTACCTAGATGTGTAGATAGATAGAGAGGGAAAGAGACAAGTATAGAGAGAGAGAGAGAGAGAGAGCATAATGGAAGGGACTAACAGTAGAAAAAAATGGGATTCTATGTGGCATACTGCAGCGGACAAGATATGCATGTCCTATCCTTCTCATAGGCATCTCCCTATTGGCTTGCACCGTACAATACAGATTAGGCCACGTGACCTTCCCATGTGCTCATTACGTAGGTGGAGAACACAGTCCTGAGAGAGAGAGGGAGAGAGAGAGAGAGAGAGAGAGAGATGGCTTCATGGGGTGATATCATCTCCCCATGAAGCCATAAACAGGATGAGAACGAGTATAGAGAGATAAACAGGGGTGTGAATGAGCCGGGCTAGATGGGTGTGAGTCAACTCACGGCGTGGATAGCTTGTTCTCGGCTAATGGTGAAACGCGAAGATCAAATCTATGGATTAAACTGAGCAATAATAAATTAAATTAAATGCCTTGCCAGCCCCCTATGGAATTAAATTATAAACCTCGATAAAAAAATTCCAAGATGCCCAGCTTGATGACACTAAATGTTCCATTCTTCTGGTCCACATTTCTGCCTAGATTATTTCCTGTAGTAAAACAGGTCTATCCTCCTTGTTCTTCTGTCAGGGTGAAGATTCAAGCCCCATTAATGAAAAATACCAAAAAATTACAGAAAAGGTTGGTAACAAACATATCGTAGATGAGAGGGCACGCCCTTTGATGATAATTACACACATTGGCCACTATTTATTTCACAATGACCTTCTAGAGGTTAGGTGTCTATGGAGATTCGATGTTTAGTATGAGCCGATAGAGAGAGAGCGAGAGAGAGAGAGAGAGAGAGAGAGAGAGAGAGAGTCCATAGAGATTAGGCATTTCAGCCTGTTATTAGCTTTCCCTTTACGTTAAAATTCAACGTTTCAATTAATTCACTATAGCCCTTTTTTTATTTACAAGGCTATCTGTCTATATTGAATCACATTATTGGCCTTTCTTTGCCATGCATCCTTGAAGTTTTTACTATATAAATGAAGAAATGTGTTCCAATGTATTCTTTTCTGCCCCACATCTCGTCGATTTTTTTTATTTATTAAAAATAATTTATTGAAATTCCTCTTTATTGTGAATTGGGAGAGGCCAGGCGAAGTCTCTGGAAATCATAATAAGTTGGCTATAATTATGTTTTAATAATAATTTTATAAAGATATTTCGAACCAGTTCACGGGAGTCCTACCGTGTCCTCTTGGAACACAGGTAGAGGGAAAATTCTTGTATTGAAGAGCAGAGGCCATCATTGAACCGTTACTGACATTTTAATGTTAAAGTCAACGCGAGGGATATGGTAGATCTCACCGAAAGCACCCTGAGGGACGTAACTCCGCCGATGAGGAGACAGCACTTTCTCTCTCTCTCTCTCTCTTTCTCTCGCTCTCTCTCTTCAAATCAGCAGTAATCGGTGACCTCCAGAGCCCATGAACTTAATGTCTCGAGAAGGGAAGAGGGTGAGGTGGATGGGAGGTTGTCTCCTCTTTTTTGTCCCTCATCAGACCTACAGTGGCCTCGGTTAGTTTAACTGGTTCGGACGGGGCCCTCAGAGGGAGAGAGAGAGAGAGAGAGAGAGAGAGAGATGGGCAAGGTTCATCTAAGGAAGACCCTCGTCGTGGGCCTTCTTTCTCCTACCACATTGCTATCCCCATCACCCCCGACATCCCACGTTAGGAGCTGCTCCATGCAATAGTGTGGTTGTAGCTGGGTTTAGAGTAGGGTTTCCTCAACGACCTTCCACGGTGATCACTACCGTCCATTCTTCTTCTTCGACAACCGGCCAGAATAAAGGGGCCAGCGAAATTCACGAACCTTCTCTCTCTCTCGCTCTCTCTCTCTTCCTGTGTCTCACTGTGGATCACTTCAAACCCCCACCCTCTTTCAAATTACGGGTCTCTCTTCCCTCCTACTTGGTATTCGTGATAATGGGTCTCTCTCTGCTCGCTCTCACTCATTGTTCTCTCTCTCTCTTTCTCTCTATGTAGCGGGCAGCTTCATGTGGCAACGCAGTGCTGCCTGCGGTTATTGATCACAACACGTACATGCACATGCATGCATGAAGGCCCCTCGCCGTGCACATGGAGTCAACATAATGTTCATTCATTAGAACGTGCAAAAGCGTGTCTATGTTCCCCATATACGAGCTCAAAGCTCGTAAATACAGAAGAGTTCATTATCAGTTACCAAAAGTGGGTGTAGAGAGAGGGAGAGAGAGAGAGCGAGAGAGAGAGAAAGGTTACCAATCAGTCATCCTTGTCATTTACAAAACTGGAGCATATCACGAGATCATCTATGATTTACCACGAGTAAGCTTCTTACTCGACGCATCGATTTTTTCACTCTTCTAGGAGAGAAGAGGTCTCTCTTCCAATTGATGTGATGGTTACCAGTGTCCCCTTCTCTGTCTGTCTGTCTTCCCCACTCTCTATCTCTCTCTCTCTGCTGGCTCTTTTCTGCAGAGTCCATGTCGACAGGAGCAGGTCACGAAAGGATACACTGATTGGACTGGTCGGACGTTCCTCCATACGTCCGACCATGGGGAAGGAGGTCCATCCCTGCCTTCTTCATGCATCGGAGTCACGTCTCTCGTTTCAACTGAGAAGGTAAGTTAGAATTCACTTCGAATATTTACAAATATTCAATTTTACTTCTTTAAAAAAATCATAATTATCTACATAAGCAATAGCAGGCGCAATAACATTTTTACATGGTTATCGAAATCAATCTAGTAATAAAATCAGTTTTAATCATCTTCTAATCTAACTTAAGTTATTCCCTTAAGTAATGTGACGTCCAATGCTCTGAGCATGTTTTACTCATGTGTACCCCTCCCTCGATCTTACCCTAGGATGAGTGTATGTTGAAGTAAAAGACATCTATCCTTGGTCAATGGACTTGGCTTTAAGTATGCCTCAACTTATTCAGGCGATGTTTTCAATACTTATTAACCTTACATATATTTAAGTATAAATATGCATTTATATATGAAACGTGAGTTGATTGAACTGTAACCTTTGCTTAAATAAAACCGGGAAAAGGAAAAAGACGATATAATTTTTTCCCTTAGAATGCCATGCGTGGACTTTGTCAAGATCTTGACGAGCAAAAAAAGATCAGGAAAAAATGGCCCATTATTAGTAGCGCCCAGCATCTTATGTTGATGGGTCTTCTTCTGAATGTGTAAATCAGATAACAGAAGGAGTGTTCATTGAATGGACCAGGATACTATTTGGTTTGACTGATTTCATACCTAGAAAACGGCGTATGAAGTCAACGTGTTCATTGCTTCCTACCCATTCGGTCTCACTATTTCCAGTGTATGTTTTTTCCTTCTCCTGTAGAATACGTGGACGTCACTCCAAGATTATTCGTCGAAAGCCTTCCCCACCTGTTTCTTCCGATTATGCACATCTCCAAGATAATTACAAGGGGGGGGGGGGTAGGAATTTAAAATTATAAATAAGATTGGAAGATAATCTGTATCGATTCAGCGTCTTTCAGCCGCAGCTATCATCTTTGTGCTTCAAGAAGAGAGTTGATCTAGAAGCTCGATGTGTACTGATCTTCCAATCCCGAGGACCCGGCACTCCGATTGGTTGACTTGGATTGAGGTGACTGATTACATTCGCATGCCGAAGTATGAGGTGATGGGTCATGAAAAAAGTTCAGTCTCGAGCTGGATGAGATGAAGGAGACATTCAGCCGAGATTACAGAGAAAAAAAATCCATGGTCACATGGAGGGAGGAGGGGTAGAAGACGTCCAAGCTTGGGGGGTTCCTTCCAAGGGAAATGGCTAAAGAAAAGGAAAGCGACTGGGTGACGGTGGATCTATCATTGCTCTTCGCTGGAGCCATCATTGGACGTAGTGAGAAGAATCTCTCTCTCTCGCTCCCCTCTCTTCTCCCGAGGAAGAAAGAAACAGAGCCCATGTGGAGAGAGAGAGAGAGAGGCCATGTGATGCTTCACCTTTCCGTCCAAGCCTCTTCCTTTCAGCGACGCGTCACAGCACGTGTCCGAACCCACCCATCCATCCCGTCTCCTCCGAGTAGTTACACGACCAGTAGTAGCCTGCCTTTTTTGGTAAAAGAGGGGCTCTGAACCTCGGGCGTTGACCATACCTTCTTCCCGCGCAGCAGCTTTCTTAAGGAACCGGAAGCTCTCTCTCTCTCTCTCCTGCCTGCCACAAAAGCTGGTCCAGGGGCTGCGAATCCTAAGGTTGAAGGAGGGAGGAGAGAGAGAGAGAGAGAGAGAGAGAGAGAGAGGAAATGATAAATAATGGAGCAGCCAGGTTGCATTGCTCTGCCATTATTGCTCGCTACTTGACTGTTCTTCGATGAGATGAAACATTTATATTTATATAATCGTATCTTACACAAGATCTTATATAAAATAGGCTGTAACAGTGAAGTGAAAGAAGGAAGAAGGGAGAAAGAGAGCAGCTTTTCAGGATAAGGGCCATCGCCGGAGCTTTCACATGACCCTACAGCTGCTGGTATTCTCGTCGCTGAAGATGTGGGTGTACTCCGGCGGAGGCGGCGGCGGCATGTAGGAGACCGCCGCCGGCGGGCGTGCGTAGGCCATGGCCTGCAAGGAGAGCTCCTGCCCGTTCATCCTCATCCTCTGCTGCTGTTGCATCATGGCGGCAATGTACTGCTGCTGGTAGGGGTTGGCGGCGGTCATCATCTCCGGCGTGATGGCGTCGCCGGGGAGGTAGCCCGGCGGAGGCCCACCGGCGCGGATGCCCTGCGCTGCCGCCATGGGGCCGCCGGCCCCGCCACCGCCGTAGCGCATGGGCGCATTCATCGGCTGGCGCGGGAAGGCGGCAGGGCCCTTCCCGCCACCGTTCTCGTTGCAGTTCCTATCAATGGTGGCAGCCTTGGCATTAGCAGCGTTCTTAGATTCGGTGACAGCCTTGCCATTGTCCTTGCCGGCGCTCACATCGCCGCCACCTTTCTTGGAGGCGTCATTTTCCTTGGCTCCGCCCTTCTTCTCGTTGACTGTAGCCTTTGTCTTCACGTTTTTGACATCATCTTCAAACTCCTCTTCATCTTCCCAGGACTCGTCGTCGAAATCGTCGTCGAAATCGTCGTCGAACTCGTCGTCGAACTCGCTGCTGCTGTCGTCGTCGTCCTCCTCGGGGGGGGCGAACTTGACGGACGCCTGGTTCTTCAATTGGGGAAGGTTCAGATCTCTGAACCCTTTCAGCAGCTGTTGCATCTGCTCAGGATTCATCTTCTGCATCAGCTGAGGATTCATCTGCAGCGGCTGGTGGCTCTGCTGATTCTTCCCTTCTCCGGCGCCGGCGCCGGGAGAGATGACCTTCTTCGGAGGTTTTGTGGGCGCCTTCTTCCCGCCCTTTCCCCTCTCAGCGGGCTGCATTTTTGGCAAGATGATCTCTGCATGCTTGCCGGCCTTCGCGAGCTTCTTGACGAGGGCGGCGGGTTCAACGTCGCCGGAGACTGTGACCTTCCCCTGATCCAAGTCTATGGCTATGGTGTAGACTCCTGAGGAAGAAGAACAATGGAAGGATCAACATCAAGAGGGGAGAGAACAAGGAGGATGATCAAACAACAGAAGATCCGGCAGGAGAGAGAGAGAGAGAGGTGACGATACCGTCGATCTTCTGCAGCAGCTTCTTGACCTTCTGCTTGCAGCCTTCGCAATGGATGTTCACTTTCAGGACACATGTCTGCATTGTTCATGAATATACCGAGGCAAATGAGAAAATCTCAGGTAACCGATGCAGCGCCAGATCCGAAGAACCAACCCATATCTTCAGAAAGAGAGAGAGAGAGAGAGAGAGAGAGAGAGAGAGAGAGAGAGAGAAGTGCTTGGGTACCTGTGTCTTCAGAAACTTGATATCTTCTTGCTTACTCATATCTCCTCACCGCACAGAAGCACCCGGCAGGAGAAACGAGGAGACGGAGAGAGAGAGTGAGGTAGATGAGGGGGTGGGGGAGTCGGGCTTAATACGGACGCCGGGCTGCCCCCGTCTTCTTCCACCCTCTCCTCCCTTCTACCTACTTTACTCTTTCACCCTCTCTCTCTCTCTCTCTCTCTCTCTCTCTCTCTCTCTCTCTAGAGTGCCGTCGCTCCAAAAATCTTCACTCTCTGGTGGCAGCAGATTCACGAGGGCGACGTGCCCGGCTCAGCCGAACTCGACCTAAAACCAGCTGCCAAAGTTCCCATTGGTTTATGTTCAACGGTCCAGATGACTGATCGTCATCCACCTTCCGATTACTGAAGTGGAAGTTATCATCTGCACGAAAATCAATGGCGTGAGGCTCGTCAGAAACTGATTTTCGGATTTTTTAAGAAAAAGAGTCACGTGGACGGGACGGCACTCGACGGCGGCTGTCGGCAGGTGTCCGTTGACTACTCAGAAACGTGACGTATCAAGTCAACCGGCCGGTTCACGGCCCATCCCCCGTCCAGGGTCGGGCGGCGCAAAACCCAAACGGCTCTAATTTTATTAAAATCCCCACGCTTCCTCATTAATAAATTACCTACTTTATTTGGTGATTATTAACTGCTCCAGCTGTCTGAAGCCAGGGAATATGCGTGTCGATTCAAATTGGGACCCAGACTGACCGACTTGGGTCCAATCCACCGAGCATTGGGTCCAAAGAATTGGATCGGACCCGATCGAAACCGGCGGATGTTACGGACCATCATGGGTGCGCGCCGGACGTAATTAGGAGATCTGGTGGGGCCTCAATGTGGTGGACCCAACCCACATACGTGGGTGCTTGGAGACAGTTGGCAGAATGGGCTGCCGACAGCTAGCTATTGCGATGAAAACGCTCGTTCCCGGTTCACAAAGTGGAGTGTTCCGCTTGGGGGTAGTCCGTGGCGGCGTTTGTCATAAATGCTGTCGATGAAGGGAATGAGTGGCAGCTGAGATGAGAGCTTCTCTTAGAGGCGCATCTGACGGTCTAGATGTACCGACCAGCAAGGCTAGATCTCTCTATCTCTCTCTCTCTCCTTCTATGTCAACATCTGTATTTATTTCCTTTGTTCTAATTGAGTAGATCCTTTTCCTAAATTGCAAACAGTAACTAGAAACATATTCACTTGATCTCGAAAATTTTGAGTGATGTTTCCCTAAATTATGTTAAAGTATAACCATAAAATTTTTAGAGTCATAATTCAATTTATATGATAGTGTGAAAAGGATTAAGGCTATGAGAAGTGGGTTTTTAACGACGTACTTGTCAAGGTTATGAAACTAAGAGGCTATGCATTTACTAAGATGATTGTTGAATTTAAATGCAATGTTTAAATGACAGGCTAATGTATACATGAACGCATGACCAAGCTATTAAAAATTCTTTTGGTGGATGATGAGTAAGTAATTCCCTTTGAAACCTAAAAAAATCTTATTAAATTAATCCATGAGGAGATGAAAGTGATTGTTCATGGTGTTGATTTTTTTTTTTGCTAAGATTAAAATATTTAAAGCTGGTTTTATTCACCTAAGTTAGACACATGTTCATATGCTTTTATTAATTGTAGTTTGAAGATTTCAATTACTAGTCATTGGAAACATTTATTCACCAAATAATATTAGAAGTTTCAATTTTTGACTGTTTTTTTATCAATTTCAGATTAAATTATTTAATACTGATAAACATTAGAAAGTATGATTTGTTGAATATAACTAAAGTGTTAGAAATGACTAATTTGTTGTGTACATCATTTCTGGAGTTCATAGCACATATCATTCCATTAGTTTATTTTGTGCGCTGTACCATTAGTCTATTTTAGCACATGATTCTTCAGGCGCTTTCATAACTAACTTGATTTTTACAATCATGAAAAGTCCATAATTGAGAATTGAATTGTGTGATAGTCTCATGATCTAAAATGTTAGTTGAAAACCTAACATTTGCACATGCATTTACTCCTTAGTAAAGTCTTTCATAGAAAAATATGATGTAATGATGGATACGAAGAAATTCAAAAATAATAATTGATACATATTTTAAAATAATTATGCATATTTTTTAAGACCCATTTGAAGCATTGTTGTGATGACTAACAATTCAAGAAAGAATTCTAGTCAGCTCAACATGTGAAGAATCTCTATTGGATTGAAAACAAGTAGTATTTAATAAGTCAATTATGTGATAAGTTTTTATGTTCAAGTTAATTTTATATTCTATTGATACTTTTATAAGAAATTGGATAGTGTGTTACACTACATACTTCATTGATACTACCTTGAGTTGTGGAAGATTATCAAAGTGTTTGAGCTGAAAACTTTGTGGAAGAGGAATTACTTGAAAGTGATCCAATTGTTAGTTATGTGAGAGTTATATCAAAATGAAAATAAAAATAAATTGTATGCTTTTAGATAAATAAATATCTCAACTTTTTAAGATTAGTAGAAATGTAGAGAATGAGGAGCTATTGAGATAGTAGATTTAGGCTGAGGACCAAACCACTATAAAACTTGTGAGTGCATCTATCTCATGTGTCTTAATTATTTGATTTTATGATTACAATTTTTCATGCCCTTGGTTTTAATATTTTAAGTGAAAAAATTATTAATATAAAAACATTGAACATTGATGATTATCTATACATATCACTAATACGCCTCACATATTTTATATGATTAAACTAGTTATTATGTTAATTATGTTTGATGTTTTATGATTCTATCACTAATAATTAAATCTAATATTTTAATCCTTGATGTCAAGTGCATCTTCATATTAAAAATATATTATCCACAAAATTATTCTCCAAGGAAATAATAAGTATATGATTAAATGGGTGTACAAGAAAATTATACAAATGCTTATTTTTGGTTATATATTACTCCAGCCATAATATATGGTGTCTAACATTTTTAAATAATTATAGACAAGTTCTCTATAAGCAATCGTGGACAAATGATCAAAAGAGTTAGAAAGCAAAAGAGATATTTAAGCTTTGAACATAACATCTCAATAGTGACATGTTAGTTGGTTCTGTAGATATAAAGTCAATTAAAATTTGATAATTTGGATTCAACTTGAACATTCCACTCTTTTTCATAAAGTTAGGAAACTCTAGTTCAAATTTAAATGAAAATAGAAGATTTAAACTTTAAACGGTTTAAAGGTCATTCACATATTTTGAAAAATGACAAGTGTTTGAATGAAGATTTTAAATGTTGGAGATCCTGTAAAATTGAAAATCTATTGGAGGACAAAGGTTAACTTAAGTGAGAAAACTTGATGACCAAAAACTAGTTGAGTACACAAAAATTCAAGTTATCTTGTCAAAATTCTTTAGCCATAAGTATTACTATCATGAGAGAACATTTGTTCCATCTTCTTCAACTAATTTCAACAAAGTAATTAGTGCTATATTCACAATTTTTTCTCTCCATCAACTTGCTCTCCATCAACTCCTAAGGTAATTAGTTGGTGATAGAAGAGTGGTTTGGGTGCTTTGGGTGAAGGCATGAGATGTTGGTATTTCCTAAAGAGATGAACTTGAATTGTTGGGTAGCTAAGCTTGTGAAAATCAACTTGTATTTCCTAAAGAAAATAATAAATACTAAATAAGGTTTTCTCTAGGACTTAGATGTAGCCAAGTGAGTGAAAAACTAATATGGAAATATTTATGTTCTTGGTGAGAGAGTTGGGTGACCCTATCAAGGTACATACATGTTGACACATATATATAGGTATAAGTCTAAAATAATTACAGATCTCAAAAACCCTAATTCACCCCCCACTTGGTGTTTCACCTAGTCCTATAAATTGAACCATCTATTTCTTAAAAAGTAATCCAAACAAAGTATTTAAAATTAAAAAGTCTAATTATATAGATTACATAATAGTTAAATTACAAGTTTTATTCAATACATGTCATGATTGTTTATTCACCCTCTCTCACTATTACTAATTTGTAAATAAGTTTGTGATGATGAATGTGATTTTTGATTCAAAGATGATTAATTAAGATATGTATCTATTAATTTTTGACAATACTAAAGGGTGTGGTAAGTGAAATATTTGAAGTAATCTACACAATGATGTTATGCTATATGAAGAAATTAAGTAGGAAAACAATTTGACATGAGTGTAACAAAATGAGTTATTTGTATTGTCATATAGCATATTAAAAGAGTCTAACTCATATAGTAAGCTTATAAAAATTTTATATGAAGACATTGCTTGCTAATATTTTTGACAAGTTGAACATGAGAAAACATACAATATTTTTGTAGATTTCTATATATCAACAAGACAAAGCAGATATTACAAGGATAATATATTAGAGGTTTTGTAATACTTTGTATTTCATGTGAAAGGGTTTTGTTATATATCATCTTTAGATCATAAAGTAAATAAATATGCTTTAATCTTTGTGATAGTAGATTTTCATTTTTCCAATATGAATGCTAAGTAAAAGATGACCAAGAAATCAATTAAATATTAGCCTCTCCAAAGAATCATAAAACTGTGCTTATTTTCTTGGTTAACTTTGAATTGTGGGTTTTACTTTAATTAGGAAGTAATAAGAGATGAGGGAAAAGACTCACCTATAGATCTATAAACAAACAAAAAAATTATTATAATGATACTTGCATAGTATAATACCATCAATGACTAAATTTTTTATATATGTTGGATGTAAATTTCTCTTAAAATCTCTATAGCATTAAAATATGTTGGATGTATAATACTATAAATGACACATATATTTGATGTAGTAACCAAACAACTAATTCTAACCTCAGCCAAGATAATTAAAGTGGCAAGGATTGAAGAATAAGATTGCTGAGGCAGCATCAACATTAAAATATGGTTAAACAAATGAAAAAAAATAGTAGAGTGTAATTAATTAGAGGTCGAAATGAGCCAAGAGTGAGTGTCT